GACGATATTGGAGGATTTGAGCATTTTCCGGAAGTGCCCCCATGGGGTTAGGCCATTCATCAAAGGGGGGTCGTCACCATTCAGTGGGTGGTCCGGGGAAAGAGTGCAGGGAGTGGTCGTCGGCGACGGGACTTCCCTTGGGTTCTTGGATGCGGACGATGATTCTGTCCCGAACCGTAAATCCTAGTCGTGTGGCTTCTGGATCGTCTCGGGCAGGCTCCTTTCCCCCGCTGCTGGGTCCGGCCTCATCAGGAGGGGGTTGTGCCCCTAATAGTCTGCTCCCCCTCCCAGTCCATGGGTTTCGGAAACCTTCGATTCGGCATTCGCTGGGGTGCTTCTTGGTTTGGGTAAGCCGAGAAGCCGTACTTCGAACGGAGCGTCGGCTGGCTTCAGCGACGCTTCAGATTGAAGGTGCCGTGTATATGGCTCTCTTCGGTGCGACGGGTGGGCTTCGTGGTAATGGCTGAACGTTCGTTTGTGGTTGGAATGGGGGCATCGGCCCGAGTGGATCCTTGGGATGCCAGCACCCATATTCCTTCCAGGCATATTCCATTGCAGCATACTGTAAAATTTGTTTTTTCTCCATTGAACCTGCATACCGATATTCAAGTCCTAGGGGAGTCGCCAACCAGTGGGCGTCTCCCCATAAAAAGAGCATTCCTTGCTCGTATAACTCCCTGTATTCCTTCTGTCTGCTTCTTTCAATTTCTTCCCTCAATGCTACCTCATCTGGTTGCTGTCCTGCATATGTCATGAAATGTCGAGGGTCAAAGGGCCCTTCCTCGCTGTCCTCGTTGTCCTCGCTGTCCTCATTGTCCTCACTGTCCTCCCCTAGGAGGGAACCTGCGAGCTGGTCGGAGGTGAGAGGCCTGAGTCGTAGCATCGATGGGGAGTCCTCCGATGTTACTGGGTCTCACTTCCCCCTCGGCGATGGGCTGGACCGGAATGGCTGGAACTCCGTAGTACCTCGTCCTGCCCACCGCTCTTGCTCTCTCCAGTTCCTCGCTATAGAGGCCGAAGTTTCGGTAGAACTCCGGAAGGAGGAACTGGTGGGCAACTCGACTTCCCAGGAATCGTCAGAGGGCGAGGTCGGAGACGTGGGCATTGTCGGGTACCCGGAGTCCATAGGCGTCGAGGACAGAGTCGACGTCGGATGCGATAGTGTCTGTTCGGCTGGGGTACTGTAAATCGGGAGGGGAAGGCCCTCCTCCCCTTCTGATGGCTTCACTTCTGGTGACCGGGCTTCCTGGTCCTGTCCAGGGGTCTTCGTCAGTCGGTGGCTCTCTGAAGGGGGACTCGGACCCTGAGGACTGGAGTCCATGCCATGCAGGAGAGGTGGAGCCCATTCTTTCTGCATCTTCTCATCTCCTTCATGCTCACCCCTGTCTGTCGTACTCGGCTTCCTCGTACTCTCGCTGGGCTTGCTCCTGAGTATACTCGGCGAGCTCTTCTCGCGCTCACTCTTCTTCTGCCCTACGCTGCTGAATCTGCTGCTGCTGTCATAAGGTGCTGTCATAGTCGAATGGGACGGTAAGGTCCCAGTCTGGGAATACCCTCCGGATAATTCTGTCCCTCGCAATTCTTCCCCTTGCGCTGGCCGTGCCGATCTCTGGCTCGCTCCTGACATGAATATGTCAGAATGGGTCTCTGGCCGCTGAGATGGCAATCTCGACGTTGGCATAGTCGGAGTGTATGGTCCTTCCATGAGGGTTTTCGACCCCTAGCCTACTGACGGACCTGCTGGAGTCGGAATTCGGCTCAGTGGGCTCGTAGAGGGAGTCTTGGGGCAGGTTGGGGGCAGTCCTGGCTCTTGAAGCCACCCGAGAGGCATCACGGGAGTCCCGAGCGTGGTTTCCAATCCCTGGGGTGCGAGAGGCAGTGGAAGGGTTACTGGGGTTTGGAGGGATATCATGGGGGATCTCCTGGGCGACCTGGGGGACCGTCGTGGTCCACGGGTTTCGGAACCCTGTGAGGTTATGGTTCCGGTCTCTACTGTCAGGTCGTCAAGGAGGGTATCAGTGTCTTTCTTCTTCTTGAGGGCTCCCCATATCCTGGCGGCTATGCCCAGCTTCTAGTATGGGAAACTCCTCCAGCTGGAGGGTCGTTCTGGCAGAGGGGGGGATGTCATGGAAAGGGAGATCTGGGGTTACGTTTCGGAGGATGTGTTGGATTTGTTGAAATGCTTGGTAGTGCCTGACAATCCAAGCAGTGATTGATTGTCACCCTCGGCAACAGGTGATGATAGCTAGAAGGCTGAGCAGCGTTCCGATGATGGAAGCTATTAGCTCAAAGAAGTCATGATTTAGGGCGCGGGTTGTGACTGGAGTCATTCGGTTTCTCAGCACAATTGGGCTTGAGAAAGGGAAGGAGGAAGCTTCGAGCTAATTGTTAAGCCCAAGCATCATGTGAGCAGACACATGTGGTAAGCGGGTGTTCCTTCGCACTTCAAGGAATCAACCGGGTCCACTCGGATATATCTGCGGTTCGTGACTCAAGGTCAGAAGTTGACTCGAGGTAGAATGGTGTGTATAAACTTTAGCTCGAAGCTGGGTTTCTCCAGCGAGAGCTACAAGCCTTAAATACTGTTTGTGTGAGGTTAAAAATACTACTACTTATTGTATCGACTTGTGTCCATGGTGTCCGTTGTCCTTGAGCACCGTTGTTGTACATAAAAGGGCAGCTGTGCATCGTCAAGCTCGTTGTATGGGCGAAGAGAATAAGTTCTTTATGCTGACCAATCTCTTCCCACCATGCCTTGACTAAGCATCGATAGGGGCTAGAATGCGAGAATGAGGAAAAATCGTAACAATTGTGGATAGCTGTTGCATTTTTTCCACGTAGAACTGTCCCCCAAAACCACAGAATCAAAACCCTGCCATGTGTTACTATGTATCCAAGAAAGGTCTGATAGGAGTGAAAACTTACATCGGGAATCCCAGGCCCAAAGCGCAACTAGCCAGGATGGTGTTTCCTTTCCCGTAACCCAAGTGCTGGTACCTATGTTCAGAGCTCAATAATGGAAAGAAGCAGGAGAGATCATGATGGCTGACAGGCTGGGAGAGCCTAACGGCAAGGCAAAACTGACGAGCGAGCGAAGCAAAGAGAGCCCTCCGAGAGCTGTATAATAGATCAGGTCCGCATCAGTACTTGTACAGCCCATTGACTTGCCTAGTGCCGCACGAACGGTGTAGGTGTCGATGATATATGTTTGTATCGCTTGCCAGTTCACGGTGATGCCCATTCTATTTGTAGGCAAAGAGTATTCTCGGCTAAGACATGTACAGTATGAACAAGTGATGGCGTCCAAATCTTCCCATGCTTACTGAATGACAATGACCAAGGAGTATCTTGGCCAATTGCTCTGACTCTTTATAAAACATATTCCTGGAGTCCTCAGTTTACACCCCAGGCCTAAAACCCTTGCCCATTATACCTATCTATCATCATTATATGGTATATACTAGTACGAACCTGGATAAGTCCAGTGTAAGTCAACTCTTCTTCCCACCTCGGAATTAGAATTTGAACAAGGTCTACCGTAAACCTCCCGCCGTGCCAGCTCTCCTCGGAACGTTGATACTCCTTACTCAACCTTTCGTCCCCAACGCGTAACATATCAGGCAGAGTGCTATGACGAGTAACTTGTACGTTGTTCTCATTGACAGCGTAGGGTCCCGGCTAGTGGTGCTGGCATGGCAACATATGGTGGCCCTTACGGCGGGAAATGAGTGTGAATATGGAATGGAGTTCATGGTTGGAAATGTCGGGTATGGGATTCCCACTGGCGTCCACAGAGTCGCGGTCGACAGGACAGGACAGATGGCGTCAATGGAACGCAGGTCCTTAGGACATTTTGACGCTGTGGAGCGCAAAGATAGCTTATACCATGGTCTGAATACAACCACAATGATATTGTCACCGTGTTGGATTTGAGGGTGGTCGATAAGACCATTTTCGGGCCCGCCAACCTCTTTATGGACAGTGCATCGTCTTTACATCCAGTCCTTGCGTATGCCCATTATTGCTGGGTGTCTAAAGTGAGGTGTATCTGGATATGTGGATATAAGGAAATGAACAGAAGAGAAGGTATGACGAAAAGACACGTACTCTGTACTCCACTTTCTGAACAGGATTGGCGATGAGAGTCGTTTGGTTTCTTTTGGGAGCCGTCTTTCCTAGCTAATTGGATGTCGAAGAGTCGGCATGGGTCCCATCAGTCGGCATTCTCCGACCGCACCTCAATCAGGCAAGCAGGATCCACGCCCACGGCCGGCGACAAGTCTTGATTATTGACAGAAGAATATATGTGAGTATCTCAGTCGGGCACAACGTGGGTGAAGCGACTGAGGCATACAGATAGGAACGGCTGGACTATATAGGTGATCGGGAAACGACAGGAGGTGTAAGTATATATAAGGCAAATAGAGCGAGTGATCAAAAGTAAGATAAGATGAAACGTACGGATATCCTCCAACATTGATTGCATCTGACAGAGTACCTTCGAATGCAGCTAATCTAAACTTGTTTTTAGACCATCCCTTCTGAAGAGACTGCCTTGGCCATGGCAGAGTCCATGATATCGATGGGGGGTACTGAACGGAAACCCAAAATTTTCATTCAATTTTCGGCTACATACATGAATACCGGCGATGAACCAACAGTGATACATGAGCAAAGAGATTGCGGACACGGGACGTGGCACAATGATACGGGACATGTAGCAACACGCTGACGGTGATGCTCATAATGAAGCAGCAATTGTAGGAGGAAGTTGCCATCTCCTCCACACAGCACTCAGCACTCAGTCACCCCCCGAACAGCATAACATTACCCATGTCAATATTGAAGCTTCAAGGACGGAAAATTACATCAATCAGGCTTCCGTAAGCAGCGCCAAGGTAAGAACTTGATACCGAGAGTCAAAAATCAGCGCCCGCGGGAGCGAAAAACTCGTCGGTGGCATTGGGAACGGTCAAAAAATACCATCAATAAAACTTACTCTACAGAAATTCAAGTCCGATCCCAACTTGAATACCTCTCCTAAGACCATCACTTTTATTCGCCACCAGAGGCAGTCCGAAATTGACCTCCACCCTTACCGGATCGAACCGATAAATGAGTCCAACCCCTGCTGAGACAGACGGTCGCGTTACCATGTCTTTCACATTCTCAATCACCGAACGAGCTGCAACACATTGATAAGGATGTCGAAACAATCCAAACAGATTGTAGCGCTTACATTTATCCATGTTGTCTAATCGCCCACCATTTATCCATGCATGCGTTTTCAGGGGCCAATCCGGCTTCAAAGGCAGATTTGAGACGACGCTCACTCCAGCAGACCAATACATATCGCCTCCCAATGTATCTTCTGTGAAAGAGCGTCACATAACCGGTGTACAAAGAAAGACCCCGAGCACATCACTCACGTCCATCCCTCGGACCAAGACCGTTAGGCTTAAATGCACGAACAGACATCGGTCCCCCAAGCTGGAACCGGTCAGAGAACAACGTCGGTCGCAAAATACCAAACATCAGTCCGGAACGGAGAGCCAAAGAAGCCGACTTGACTCTACGTTTAGAACAAAACATCCATCCAGCACGGAGATAAATTACACGCACCACTCCTGACAGAAGAGAGCGAGAAACTTGTGTCTCTGCTTCGGCCTTGTAAAACGTTGCGTCGCCACCCAAGCCGGCCATTTCCTGGTACAGCTTAGCGTATACGCCTCGCGACGCGCTAATCCTATCGTCTCGGGTGTCCAGCGTGTACGCGTAAGACACAGACGACTTGGATGTCGTACCAGCAGCATGCCGCATGCTATCTCTAATCAAACACAGACACAACAGCAACAGATAGCAGGACCCACCTCATCGACACCGTCGGCGTCAACCCTCCAATATTCCTCAATACTCCCTCATAAGCCAATTCATGTATCCCTGTCGTCGGAGTCCCATTCTAAGGAGAAACCGACAATGAAAACCATAGGCACACACACACACAAAACAGGCGGCTGACCTAGCTCACCCTGAGAATAGCCTTGAGGCCCTGAAGAGACTCCCAGCAACTCGCAAAACCCGTATTGTCCCGCTGCATCGCAAAAATAGCAAGTTCTGCCCGCGTGGCGAGGTCAGGCGTAATCGGCGCTGACAGTGTTCCGTGATAAGACTGCCTCGTCGTCGTACCAGTGGAAACGTTCGCTTCAAACATCTCCGCGCCTCCAAAAACATTCCGTACACGTGCAGTGATACTCTATACCAATACCATGAGAAGAACAAAACAGAAGAGGAAGAGAATCACAACACACCGCGCTGCCTTCGTTGTTCCCAAACTCCGTAGCGGACTTGACGAAAAAACGGCCTTTTTCCTTCGTCTTGACGACGACGTCGACATCTCGCGGGCTCGCCATCACATCTTTTGCATGCTCAAGGCGTGCCTCCACCGACGCAAAGATATCTGCCCGCTGCAGTAGATCCGAAATCCGGCGCGTCGCATGAAGAACCTCTTCAACATTGCTGCCCTCCGCCGTCGGTATCAAAGGTTTCACCAAGAATCCGATAAACGAATTCCGGGTATTTTCAGCCCCTTCAACGCGTACCGAGTGTACACGCAACGGCGTCGAGAGATTGTTGTTGATCTGCCCCCCTAACTCAGCGTCCGTCTAGGGAAAAAAAATGGAGGTAAACGCACCAACTCTGACAGATGCAACACGGCTGATTCATACTCTCCTCTTATCTTCCGTTCCCTGCGAGCTTCAGCCCACTTCAGCAGGTTCTCGATATCATCCGGTTCTTGGTCTCGCGGGGACGACGAATTTTGCAAAGGGGGGCTCAAGGGAGGGGTGCTGCCTGTATCCATGCAAGGATGCCTAGAAACAGTTGGATCCAGCCCTTAAAGCACAGAATAAGGCCATACCAACTACCAGACCCAAGAAAATTGTCGCTGTCGGTTTCGGAAAATAACGTGGCGATTGGTAAAGAGGTGATTTCTATTTCCGGCTTTGATCACGGGCCAATGGCAAGACGTCTAAGGTCATAAAAATTCGTGATGCCCAGCAGTATTACACACAGTTACTAGTAATACCGATCAATAAAATAGGTTATTTGAGGTTTGGTATACATGCATGCAGGAAAAAAAAAATTAAACAAGTTGGAAAGCAGATCCACCCGCCGCCGCATCGAGCTCAACAATCTCATTCAGACCTTGAGAAAACAAGACATTAGAGGTATGTATTATTATCAGCAGAAGCCAGGACTGACCCATAACTTCAAAGAACTTCTTGGGATCCATGCCCTGAGCAGAGCTAAAGTCTGTGCCCGTCTTCTTCAGGGACTTCATCGCAGCGCGGCAAGCATGCACCATAGCGACACAGGATACCAGCGAGAAGACTGTTTATGGCTTAAACCCTGCTATTGAACCGCAGGAGCCGGAAGTAACTCACTGATGATCTTGGCTCCCATTTGCTCGGCTTCAGGGCATGTGAAGGACGGAGTCAGACCGCCAGAGATGACGTTGACGAGGACCTGGCGCGATATTTGAGAATTGAATCCCCCAAAATGACAATGCAAGACATACAGGAGTAGGAGCCAATGCAGCGACAGTGGACTCCAGCAAATCCTTAGTCTTCACGCCCTCAATAAAGCAGACATCGGCGCCAGCTGCCGCCGCTAGCTTGAGACGAGCAATAGCTTCATCCATTCCCAGCACCTGTGCCGAGTCCGTTCGCCCAATGATGACCTATCCACCCATCAGTATCATGAGCCGGAATACTGGTCACAGAGTTAGACTTACAAAGTCTGAACCACCAGGGATACCATCACGAGCGATAACAGCCGCGCGGATACGAGTAACGAATTCCTCTCGTGAAACGACCTGTTTGCCCATAAGATGACCACACCGCTTGGTCTGTACCTGATCCTCGATGTGGCAAGCAGCAATTCCTGCCCTTGCGTATTGACGGACGGTGCGCGCGATCATAGCAGGCCCGCCGAAACTGAAAGCAAGTCAATTAAAATCAACAAAAACAGATGCTAGGCTAATGCGCGTACCCTGTGTCTGCGTCGGCGATGACCGGCACCGATGGGTTCAAACTGGACACCATTTGTCCGGCCTTTAAAGAATAAGCCGCCTGAAAAAAAAAAAGAAGGCACAGAAAGAGCTATACTTACACCGACAAAGTCGTTGAGAGTAGCAATGGCCAAGTCGGGCTGACCCATACGCGAAGCGGTGGTAGCTGCACCACTGTCCGAATTCACTGATGAGTCCAGCGGCTCAGGAGTGCACATATAAAATGCAAGTCACCTCTGATAAAGGCAATCGAAACCAGCCTCCAAGGCGCACCGTGCACTGATCCCATCGCAGATGCCAGGCGCGACCTTTCGTTATTCCATTAGCGTATACTCGCCGGATGGTAATCGCCCAACTTACGACAATACCTGGGCGAGCAAGCATTTGACGAAGGCGGGTCGCAGGGTTAGGCGACAGCGGTCCCTCCAAGAAGTTCTTGGGGTCAAGACGAGCATTGTAGTAGGCGTCTGACTCTCGTAACGGTTCCTCGACTGCAACAGGAGCAGGGGCCACAGGCTCGGAAGCGGTGGTCTCGAGGGCAACGGAGTAGCTGGGAGCAGGCATGTGGATGGGTTTGTTAGTATCTCTGAAAGACTGGTATCGCTGGGGATGAAAAACCAACAATGCTTTCTGTTCTTTTTATACAAGCCAACGAAATATTCGTGCTGCCACTACGGGACCAGATACCTAGACCGACAAAACAGGGTCCCGGTAAGCCAGGTTCGACAGATAACTCCTTGGAATTACAAAGATTATAGATAGACATACGAGTTTGGGTCCCGCCGAATGGCTTGGCGATCGGTATTAGAACGGGCATAGTAGAATTGTTGCAAAAGCAAAAGAATTTTGAGTGTCCGTACTCATGGCTTGGCATGCTATCGGACTTTGGTAGGACTTTGTCAGAGCGTAGATAGTATGATTCGCTCCACCTACCCGTTGCTCGAAAGGCACCGACCTGAGAATGTTCTGTGAGCCAAGGATGATTCATCAACATATGAAAAATCAGAAGAACGACAAAAGTTACGTCACTGATGCATTGATATCGATCCGTCGGCATACCGCCAGAGGCCTCCCAAAGAGAGGTCACAAGTGCGCGACGACGACTTGGCGGTGAATCTCTTACAGTGGTAATGGTATGTATTAAACTCGTCCTGCAGTGCCAAGAAAAGTTTCCTAGTAACCAATCTGTCACTTTCAGTGCCCAACCTTATTTTTCGGGGCGCTGATTTCCCTGAGGCAGGAGAATTGGAAACCAAAAGGGCTAGGAAATTGTTCAGGTCCGAGGCGTCATCCCACCGAGCTCGGAGATTCAGCGCTTCCCCGGTCAATCCATCAGGTAGACATGTGGTGGGAACCAATTAAGAGTCCTGTACAGAGGCTCCGAGTGCAAGACTCCATCCTCTGCGGAAGACCGGAAAGACAAAGTCGCCTAAGATCGTGGGAAAAGTTAGCCACTCGGCAGTGATCTGAGAGTACAGAGTATCCGCCCGAGATATCCGTCAGAAGGTAGGTTCCCTGAGAGAAAATGCCACTGTGACGATACAGCAGAGTCTTGGCCTTCGCAGAAGCGTGCTACCTTTAAGGCCTTCTACCGCAAACTGGCGTGAATACAGTTAAAATCATGTGAAAATCCACAAACAACCTAACCGATAAGGATCAGTAGAAATCCAGGATTGGCAGGAAGTCACACCGACCCCTGCGCTGCTTGTTGGTTTGTTGACATCCGGCATAAGAGAGTGGGTCACCGCCGACTGTCAATCTAGCTCCGAATATTGTCAGCCAGAGATACTGTACCGGGTCATCCGTTTCTTACCAAGTGAAAGCCGGCAGTCAAGCAGGAGAACTGGATTGAGTTGAACAACTTAGCAGGCCCAAAACAGGGCTGCATGTCACGATCAGGTGACTGCACGCGGCGTGACAGACGCGAGTCATTTGTCATATTGAAACATTTCTAATCAAAATTAAGGGTTCTCTACCGACTTCCACAACTTCTGACTAAGTAACGCATCCGGCTTCGTTCTTCTCTACCAATGCCAGCCATAAGGACTTCTGTCAATTTTATTCCTTCGTCTATCCTCAATTCTGGTCCATCACTCGCTACAGGCAAAGTGGCGAAAAGCTGGACCCAGCCATGTAGGTCAGGGTCTATCGGGAGAAAATCAATGAGACTGAACGGTCATGACGGCCCAGGCGATACTTTCTACCCCATTGAACCTACTGAAAGAGCTTTGTATCGCACCAATGATGGCAAGGTATGGAACATACTAATTAAAGGCAGCATCATTATCTAACCGTTTGACTCTAGAAAGTCACGCCATACCAATGGGATGTCTATGATTTTACGCGAAAAATCCCTTGCGGCAACGTAACCACGTACAAGACTGTCAGTTCAGCAATTGGAGGGTCACCACGTTCAGGTGTGTTGTACGACCACTAGGGTATAGAACATTTCGAACTAAATTACCGGATAGTCGGCGGAGCCCTCAGAAATAACCCATTTGCACCATACGTCCCTTGCCACCGGGTAATTGCTAACAACCTCTTTGTCGGTGGCTTTTGTGGCGAATGGGGACGGGATGCTAAAACAGGCACGCAATTCAACCGTAAATTGAAGTTGCTCGAAGAAGAAGGTTTGTTGTTCACACAAGACGGGTACCTCAATGATAAAGACGGGAAGGCTATTTGGCAGCCTGGTGCCCAGTAAGTAGTACTAGCAGTACTTCGGCGGACCTTGTAATTTATAGGCCTAGCGGGTCGGAGCATCTAAACTATCCAAAGAAATTCATTATGTACCTAGTTTTATTGACTCGATCACAACATGGGGAAACTAATGATCTACTACTAGGCGAGAGATAAAAGCACTTAAAGTCCAAAAAAGGGTCCAGGACCTTCAGCCGAAAGTTCTTCCCTACCCAACGATCCTCAGCTTCAGTTACAGTCAGAAACAACATCGCTCCCGGCAGCGATGGTGTCATTAAGCTTCGTTTGTGCCTCGGTAACCGCAGCGTCTCCTCTGTTGCCCAATAACAGGTGGTAAGAACGTGGATAGGGTTGAAAGAGAAACAAACGTGCGTAGTGATTCCACCCAGCGCAGACTGGGCAGCAAGCAGACCAGTCTTGACCTGGTCGCGTGCTGTGGCAGGAGCAGTCTGCCCTGTCAAGAGAGCTCCGGCGATGGTTTTGATACCAGCGCTCGCGGAGTCTAATCCTGACTGCGCGGCAGTGACTGCAGTGCCTGTCGTAGTAGAATTGCTGATGTATCAATGAATAAGCGCTTCGTGCATTCAAAGAGTATAATAGCACGTTTACCTGGTATCGATCTCCTGAAGCGCAGATTTTGTCGCCGCAAGGCTGGAAACTGTCTTGAGACGCGCAACGTTGCATTGAATATCACCGATCTGGCGGCTTCTCAGAGGAACTAGAGAACCTCATCAGTAAGGCGTCATCTTAAAGCTAGGAGCACCATATTTACCAGCTTCAACTTGGAATAAGTAAGCCATCAGGGCTACGGACAAAAGGGCGATGAGGAAGCGAGTCATTGTTGAAACAAGAAGAGAATTGGAGGGAAATAAGGGAAGTTGGAAGTTGAAGGTAGACACCAGGTCTGGAAAAGAAGTGGAACGGCGGATTTCAAGACGAGCCGAACTTCTTATACCACCTTGGATTTCGCATTAGCCTTCAGGAAAGGTTTGATTAATTTTTGACATGGGGACCGTACAGCCTTAAGTTGACATAGTGATTCGAATCAACCTAACGAGGAGGAGTTCGAGAAGATAGATGGAAATTCAAAGGGACGTTGCTTAATTTCACCCCCTGATGTAGAGACTCTGGACCAGCGGGCCGTGAGATCTACTTTGGCTGAAATAAGCTATCCAACACATTGCATCAACTCAAAAGGCAGTTTGAAGTTTAATGCAGCAGCGATTTAACGCATCAAAGAAAGTGGCGAGACAATTGAACTGCTGCCGGAAATATATACTTTAGCTCAATTAGAGGATTTTCCAAATCAGAGCAACTCATTCACCTGACGCGGGAGCGGTCGAAGAGATGTCCGCATCACCGAACATGACGACACAGTTGAACAGCAGCCGATGCGTACCTTTAACCGGGGTTCACGGAGAAAGGTGATTTCAGAACGATCAGCACATTACCAGAGGAATTGCAGAGTATTGCACGACATCGCACTGGTTAGCTTCACAGGTTTTCGCGGGTGCAATGGAGCTCAGTCGACAGTGAGTAGTGATCGATGGTTGTCGTACATGCCAAAATTATGTAAATAGAGAGAGTAACATGATGGAAATGAAGAAGACTGGCGAACTACTTTGGGAAGCTCAGAGAACTCGAAGAGCGCTGGTGCCCGGTCACAATCAACCCCAGAGCATGCGGTTCCATTTATGCAACGCCCTTAATACATTGCATATCTGCATGTGCCTACTATGCCAATCAGCTTTCATGCATTCCTGAGGAGAATAGAAGTGTGAGGAGTCGGAATATAGGCATAGGACACAGCACTAACCCTTGAGCAATATCGTGTTTTGCAATTGGAGCATCCTACGTTCTCTTTCGGGGTGTTGCAAACTACGCATGATAAGAGAAGCCCATCGTCTGAGCGCTTACGCAGTTCCGCGTTTAGCTCTCGGAGCTTTGCAAAACTTCACGGGAGAATCTGTTTGTTATTCGTTAGCAGCGACATCAATCAAATCAAGGTACCACTTGATGAACCAGTATGTGCCAGGGATTCTCGATTTCATACCCGTATCGTCCGTCCAGGAACTGCTTGGGTAACCCGTTCTTGATGCAAATCATGTGTCCCACTTTGCATTCCTTGGCGTATGTGACTGGATCGTTTGTGGAAAAGACGACTACCCGATAATTTCCCGCAAGTTTATCCTCTACTCGAAATGTTGGTCGAGAGACAGTCTCGTCTGATACAATCTGGGCGCATGCCAGATATCAGTACCGGCGATAGGCAGATACGGCAGATAGGGGTAGTAGCTAACCTCGGTGAGAATGTACCAGTTTCTTTCCTTGTGCGGGGAAAAGATAGGTACGTGAGTGATATCAGGAAATGCGATAGTATCCTCAAGATCTACAGCGTAGCGCCTCTGAGATACCGGCATTTGGCTATTTTGCATGATGAATGTTGTGTGCTATTTTGGTGCCGATCATCACAAGCGCCACACTCGCCACACTCGCCACACTCACCGTCAAGATTGGTAACCATTGTGCTGTGCATTACTCAGCCAATTTCCTTTTCTTGAAGATTCTAGTATGTTCTCTCTAAAGTAGTATAAAAGCTGTATGTAGAGTGGAACTCCCTTGTGCGTTTGTCTTCAAGGGTTCCCTGTCACTTGGTAATCTACTCCCTTATCCAATATGCTGCTGGTCAAGGTTAACCTGGGATCCTTGGGATTCCAGTTCAATGAACACATCATTACATACCCATATTTGATGTACGGTGACTTGTATAGTTTTTTTTCTTCCCAAGTATGCCATATGTACCGGTCAAAGCAGATTTAGAAGTACATGTACAATGGCCGCAAACGATGCGTGCGACAGAACAGATTGTCCTATCCGGCGCTCACGGCCACTACTATCCTGTTTATTCCAATGTTGGCATCATGGTGTGTCCCGGAAGCCCATCAGATACTGCATACTCTGGAATGCGGTCTGGAAACGAGTTAAAGTAATCAAACTCTTTATTGTCTGTTCTGAAATTTCACGTACCACAGGAGAGTATTGCGGGATCCTGCGAAGTACAGCAATCAGTGACGTTTATGGTCTTCCATATCAAAGATCTTACATGTGTCCACTGAGCGCTACCTCTATGAAGGTTAGTCCTCGCTCAGTGTGGGATGTACCGAGAGTCCCAACACCATCAACGATGAAGCTGTCATTTTGGATGGGAGTTTGGAAACCTTGCAATCCATTCCCTGACGTGCATCAAACATTCAGTCAGTCCATTTGGTCACCACTTAGCAACACAAACGGCGGGGTTCACGTACACGTCATACTGAAAAAAATGGATATTGTATACACTCAGTCAGCGCTACCGCAAAAATGTTATGCTTACTTTTGGATCACGATTCTCGCCCTGAATGAATACCCGTTAACAGGGAGCGATGTAAAGCAGTGATGCTAAAACACATACCCTTCAGCAATCAGAATAAAATCAGCGAGGCCATGCGCGATGACGGTGCGGTTACTCTTCTCAATGACGTTCGGCAAGACGGTAAACGAAGATGGAGGGCTGGAATCTCCGTCAGGGAACACATTAATATTTGAGCACTCTGTCCAATCCACGTCAAGTGGAGCATGAATGGCTTTCTTAACATCTTGTCGGTCAAAGTATAGTGGAGACAACTGAATGTCTTCGAACGACCCTCTAGAATCAAATCAGTGATAGGTGCGTTGGCCCATGGCAACTCCGACACTTACGGGAACCCGAGCACGTCCCAAAGAATTGGAAAAGTGTCGAAGATTCGGTAGATGTTGAACGCGGGGTTAATGGCAAAAGCCGCATCGAATATGGTGTCCCATAGATCGCATCCGCTGTCGGCTTCCGTTGACTGTCCGGGAAGCGGAAGAAGCCCTTTGGGAGGATATGTTGCAAAAGTCTCTGTGTAGCCGGTGTAGTTGCAAGCTGCAGCTTTAGCGTCAAGTTCGGAGAGAAACGCCTGCCTAATCGCCACATTCAATACGTGTATGTACAATGGTTGCTTTAACACTAACGTGAAAGCAAAGACTCCTTCGTACTTGTGAACGAAGTCAACCGCGGGAATCTGTTCTTGAACTACATCCCATCCAATGACGGCTAATGCAGTAATTGGTGCATGGAACGGACAGAAATATGCCTGAGATACATACGATCAGCAATCCATATGCCCTTCAACGTCAAGTCTAGGGCGCCAGGATGCTCATAGATGTAATTGGCGATGTCTGATGGCATATGGTCACCAGAAGAACTGACAGCAGCTGGTTGTACTCACAAGGCACGTACATTCCTGCGTACTGGAATTACTCCTCAGAAATTTCCGGACCAATAGGAAAAAGGATTGCGACATACACTTTCACCCGTGACATACAAGTTCTTCTCCTTTAGTTCCGAAAAAACCTCCAAGAATTGTTGGAAGAAACCAACAAGCTGCTCTGCCAAATCATCCTCATTCTGGATATACGACATTGGTTTATATCATGATAGAATAACCGGTGCATACCTTTATCGTCGGTGTTCCTTGCGAAAAACCAGTCCCAACTGGTTGCTCGACCCATAGGACACTCGAGAGATTAGTCCAACTCATATCATTGACGATGGGTTTTGCTGTTCCGACTCCCCATTGGAACGGCTAAAGAACGGTGAACAACAGAAAAGTCTCGGAAATGTAACCTACCCCGTTCTCTTCCAAAAACCCTTCCAATGAAGAACATCCAGGACCACCATTCGTCCTGAGAGCGTGTAAATTACGGTTTGTGCAATTTAAATCGACATTATCCTTACCAGAATATGAGGTCATCCAAGCTGCCTTGCGGGCCGGGAGGGAAAAACCAGAAGAACAGCTGAACGCGAGGGCGTGTGCTGATTACTACCAATTATTGTCTGACACCGCATGGACTGACCTTCCGCGACTCATTGGGATCGGCAGAGATAGGCATCAACCCTGACCAGCTTGGACCTACGTCAAAGTCGACTTCAGGAATGCTCGAGCCATCCACCCAAAACTCTATCGACGGCGAAGCTCCCGATAAGCCGAATGCCGTGATCGGATGGAAAACACTTAACGCACCGGAGGCCTTGGGATTAGAGAAAGTGATATTCTGTATTCCTGCGCGCCGTTCGAGGTCGATGCCAGTAGTGGGCTGAGGTATAGAGCGCCACCGCTTGGCCGCCTCAAGTTGTCGCGCCTGGATTTCGCTCTTGCGAATTTGACGCGCACCGTGTGTGAGGGCGGTTAGGCCGAGGAGAATCGTCACCAAGCGTAAGAGCATGAACGTAGGTCCTGGTGGTGGGTTGCATTTGCGGGGAGGGCGACGCGCTATATATCTTCACCCGGAAAACCGGAGCATAGCAAGAGAAGCTTTGCCGACTCCTATTATGTCCTACCGTGGGTGGTTCACCGTGTAGATTACAGCGTTGCGCTATATTTAGGTCCCCTAGTGCGAGGTGTCGTCCCTGAAGCACATGCATTGAGGGGCTGTATAATTACTACTGATAAGCTATCCCACATGCTCTAAATCTAAGGAAATCTAAGTCATGGTAATGTGACGCACCCACTCAAATGGTGCTTAACACGCAATGCCTAACAAAATACTCATGGAAACGATCGTCGGGAGTCAGCTCGGGATGGAAGGTCGTAAGCAAGTGGCGGCCTTGTCGAAGGGCCACGATGGTCTTTGGATCGGAGTCGTCCAGACCTGAAAGAGCTGGAGGCAATAGTTCGGCTGGTAGTCGAGCGAGAACTTGTATTGGTGTATCTTCGGGGGAACTAGAAAGCTCGAGAACAACCTGTACAAGAGATGAATACGGTCCCGAGAAACAATAAAGAAGGGCAAGAGATGGGCGGAAGGCAGCTATCAGCCCAGTGAGGCACACTAATGTCGATTTTTATGGAGAGGAGAACACAATAGAGTGAATACGGCTTGCAGTTCCGCCATACGGCCCTGCAGAACTCTGCGGAGGAACACTGCTAGCGAAGAAACAGGTGACAACTGCCTCGAAAATCGCATCCTCTGATGATTCAAATCGTCTTAGCGTCACGTACCGGAGCTCGTATAAAAACACCTATAAACGGCGTTTCCGAATCCTTCATTCCCTCGACACTTAGCGGCACTTCGAAAGATTCTACCTATAATGTCCGGTGTCAATATTAATAACATTTAGAAGCCGACGATTCCTCGTACTTGTGACCCCCAGCCATTTCGGGCAATCGATATCGATATTGCTTGTAGCAACTCCTGTCCCCCCTTCTTCGCACCAATAACAGATTGTGCTAGGAGAATGGCGCCAGCGCAGGTTCCCCAGACAGGTTTAATTTTCACGAATTCCTTGAGCGGATCGAGAAGACCCGACAGGCGTGCCAGTAGCGCAATGGTGGTTGATTCTAACAGCTGCGCTCAGCAATGGAGTCAACTTTCTGTACGAAAGAAGAAGCTGACCTCCACCAGGAATAATGAGGCCATCGCAGATGGCCAATTCTTCGGGGGTCCGGACTAGTATGGCTACTGGACGAATGGTAAGAGATAGGCGGTGCACTGCTGCCTGATGCTCCGCAAAGGCTCCCTGCAAAGCTGGAATAAAAATTTCAGCATTATTGGACTATTGCTGCTGAGATTATTGGTCCCCTCACCAAGGATGCCAATCGTTACTTGGATAGCCATGGAGGATGAGTCAGAGAGCGGGTCGACGGCGCTCCGGGGTTCATTTTTGCCATTTCATCGATGTCATGATCGGACCCCAATAGCACTACATCCGAATTTTTTCTGTATCGGTAGAAGAAGAAAAACCAATCTTCTGCTCAGAATGCATCTTCGAGACTGAAAAAAACTTACGCGAAGCGGCAACGCCAGCAGCCGGGCCGTTCAGGCCGCTCTGTGGTCTCACCTGACATGATTCATTTTGCCACCTTATGTAATTTGTGTGACGAATGTAAGCGTGACAAAGTCGAAACATTTTTGTGACCATTGTCCTTTCTTTCTCTTACCACCATGTCTGACCTCGACGCTGACCTCTATGGAGGTTCGTTATGTTTACGCTTCCCATAGTGAAGCAATACTCATTGCATTGTTTTCTAGACCTTTACGACACTGATTTCGCTGATCAGGCGCAGGAGGAAAAACCGACGACAGCCCCGGAACAAGTACCTCAGGAGCCAGTATCAACGCCGGCCTCGAAACCTCAGCAAAGTGCTCCAGTGAAGCCTTCACCGCCTTCAGTCGATATCAGAACGCCCTCTTATTCGACGCCGGCAGTCCAAACGCCAATAGCCCCTATGATGATGCCACTAACACAGCAAATTCCGACATACGAACAGCCGCAGGATGACTATGGGGACTCCTCGCGAGCTGATGGAGTTTACCAGAATATTTCGGTTGCTGAGCGGACCATACGGCCCTCAGAAATGAAGGACGAGGGGTAAGATATTCGTCACCATCATTCGTTTCAGGACCCTTTGGCACCACGTCTACTGTAATCCAGCATCTCTTTAGATGTCTGTCGCGTAGTCGGTCTGTCTGTCATCTACACCAGCACCTAGCGTATCTGCGTTGTCTACGACTAAGCTAGGCTATGCACAAACAGTAGCGTCTCTCTATTTTTATCATCCTCGTTGCGACAACTCTGTCCTAGCCTACTGATACTAATAGCAATTTCTCTGTTTTCTGCATGTCTTCCTCCGTATCTTCATCAACGTCGCTTCTATTCCCCTCTCGCACACTTCGACTCTATAGCAAGATGTTTATTGGTGGTCTCAATTGGGATACGACTGATGGTAGATATGTGATGTGTTATGTCAACGCGTAGTACTTACTGTTTGCCGTAGAATCTCTCCGTAATTATTTTTCGCAGTTTGGAAAAGTCGACGCATGCACGATCATGCGCGATGCGGGCGGAAGGTCAAGATGTTTTGCCTTCCTTACCTTTGATGATCCTGCCAGTGTGAACGCCGTCATGGTCAAGGAACATTTCCTTGATGGCAAAGCAGTACGTTGATCTCCGAACCCAAGATGAATGCCGATATTAACTTGATTCTAGATTGACCCGAAGCGAGCTATCCCCCGGCAGGAGCATCAACGTGCGACAAAGCTCTTCATAGGTGGTCTCGCGGGAAGTGTGACGTCCGAGTCCATGCGTGAATTCTTTTCACAGTTCGGCAAGGTTATTGACTCGACCGTCATGTTGGACCGGGAGACAGGCAGAAGCAAGGGCTTTGGGTTCATCTCCTTTGAAGATACTAATGTCCAGCCACTCCTGGGCTTCGGTAATCTCGAGATCGATGGTAAACTGGTTGGTATCTTCCCTTTTCTCGCAAGTTTAAACTGATTTGCCGCAGATCGACGTTAAGTTGGCGCAACCGAGGTACCAGCGGGATAACTACAATGAAGACAACCAGGGCGGTGGAGACTACACTGGAGCCGTTGTTGGAAGAGGCGCTGGTACCGTTGCTGCCCAGAGTAACTTCAACAACCCCATGGCTGCCACCGGAACTGGAAACACGCCTTTCGATCCCCAGGCTTTAGCTCAGCTATACACTCGCATGTTCCAAATGACTGGAGGTGGTGCGATGAACCCCATGATGGCTAATATGAATCCGATGATGGCTGGTATGGCTGGTACAGGCTTTGGTGGCCCTGGAAACATGAGAGCAATGGGTAATATGGCCAACATGGGTATGGGTATGGGTATGGGTATGGGCGGTGGAGGAATGAGTATGGGGAGGGGAGCTATGATGCAGGGAGGTGGTGCGGCCACCATGAACCCCAATATTCCAAGGGGCCCTCGCGGCGCCCCTAGTGGTCCTGGAGTTGGTCCCCAGCGAGCGGCACAACGGGGTCAGCACAATTACCACCCTTATGCACGCTGAACGGAGTCACGGCCGATTCACCGTCAAAAATCTTCGGACCTGGTCTTTTTATCTTTTTTTTCGTCTACCGTACTTTGTACAACTAAAATGAATGAACTCCGCTCGTTTTATCGTCTCGATGAGTTTACATAACACGGATGTATTCGTCAGATAATTTCAGCAGACAAACAACCTGGGCTGGATCCACACGAAGATTTACATCTTGCAATAATAATATTCGGAACCTACTTCCCATCATCGGGAGGACTATCTACAAAGACACATCTTTCCCAAGGCACCACCTCCCCATGCTCAGTCACACCCTGAACATAAAACCTCGTCCTCGTCCTGACTGGACTCTCCACAATAAAGGTCTTTGCATCTCCCGAGTACCCAGACGTGCCGATCCACGTCGCATCCTCTGGTCTCCCAGCATACGTCGCCGATGAAAAGGGAGCAGCGTATATGTTGCAGTACAGGAAAGACGGGACCCGGCATGGCTGCATATCCCATAGTGGGACAGGATCTTCGGGGGAAGTAAGCGGGCGTTGGACGAAGACCGGAAGAGACGCGGCGACTTCCCAGGTGAGTTTCCTATCTTGTGGGGAATAGTCCGCCCAGAGGACCATTGGAGCGGACGATGGAGAGGGCGAGGGTGCCCTGAACACGTTCAGCTGACCTAAGAGGAGGGAGGACGCAGCGAGAGACTGTGATGGACCTTCTGTGACGATCGCTATAACTAAGCCAATGGATGCGGAGGATGATGATGAGGAGACGGAAAATCGTATGGAGAGCTTCACCCATCCCTGTGCAAGCGGGGTATCATTTTCAATCTGGGGTGTGATGATAGCGCTGTCTTCCGTAGAAGACTTGACAGAGAGACTAACATCTAGGTCAGCGGCGGCGTCAAGCTTGTAAACCGCAGTAGCTTGGTAGGTGGTTTGCGCGGTAAGCGCAAGCGATTGTACCGGTAGCCATATGCAGCGGTACACCGAGGGATCCCCCTGGTCCGTGAGCGACAACCGAAGAGAGCTCCCCCCGTTCCAAGCGTCGTCCATGCAAATAGACGGCTCCGCCTCTATCTTCCCACCAAACAGCAGTCCCTCATCCTCACCCTCCCAGGAAATTGCCGGTCGGGGCCATACGAGGTCCCCAACGCTCGTCTGTTTACCGACGTCGGTCCACCCTTTCTCGCTCTCGAAGACTTTGACGCCGTTGACCCACCACCCATGGCCTGCACCCGGCGAGAAGGTGGTGTAGAGGGCGAGGCGCACGGGATCGGGCGGTGCATGATGTGCGAAGAAAGATGCGATAGGGAGGAAAGGGCCGTGCGTGCAATCAGGCTCACCCTGACGGTTGGGAGCTTCAGGCACTGGCACCTCGTCGTTGTTCGTCGTTCCAACCCAGAGTGTACGCTCGTAATCCCACCACTGCTGCCAGGTCCAGTCGGGTTTGTCTTGTTCGGACTCCCAGGTCCAGGCTTGGCCGAAGAGAGCGACGCTCAGCCCAAGGGAATCTGGGGATATGTGGGCGAGCGCCTTGTAGGAGCCAAAGCCTCCGCCGCCGTGGCTGCCTCGGCCCCAAACATCGACACCTATATTGATGGAATAGTTCATCAAATGGTGAGATTCGCAAAGAAAAGGCTTAATTACCCATATAAATGTCCTGAAGAGTCTTGTTCGAGAAATCCATTTGGCTCTCAATGAGAGCAGGATCCAGGCTGATAAAATACTGCGCCGTAAGGGCCGGATAATCATTCCGCCACTACAGCGAATGAGATGAGCCAAACCAGGATGCCATTTGAAGACATACTGTGTAGTTGCTAAAGAAAGATTGCGAGGATAAAAAGAAAGGCAGGTTCAGACTGTTGAGTCTATCTTGCCAAGCGAGCTGTCCCGATACGATGACACTGTCATACCTTCGTAAAAAATGTAAGCAAAATATACAGCATTGAAATATTAATACATACCATACCACTTCCGCATGAGGTCCAACCTTGTCACGCATTTCAGATTGCAACATGGTGATCCACGTGGAAAGCGCTCTCGTCTGCTCAAAGCTACCTTGCAGAGGGCACTCAAAGTTAAGCAGGTATCCATCAAACCCTCTTTCTTCGGCGAGCTCTGCAAGAACCCGTGCATAATGATGCGATACCGGGATAGAAGACGGGCTTGCGTGATGGACTGCAGGTCCAGTACTTGACTTTGGAAGCTTGCCTACGAGGAGACGGAGACAATCTGCTTCTGCGCCTCCTTCGAAAATACTAGCAAAGAAATTCAGTCAGTGACGCGTTAATGAAGAAGTATTACTTACAGGGTGCCTAGCATTTTAACCCCCTGTCGATGTGCGGCGGTTATCCAACCATGTGGGGGGATCGTAACGCGGTGATGCGAAAAACTGATTGTCACTTATCAGGCACGTCCGACATCATATTATTGGATACTTACTAGATGAAGCTTTCGCATGCCGACCAATAGTTGAACGTATACGAGAGTGCGAACGGGCTCTCAGTGTATCCTCCCTGGACGGTGATATTCACAAACAAGTACCTGGGCGGTAGAAAGATATGCGTACCTTGTAATCGTGACATACCTTTACTAAAAAAAAAAAAATAAGCTATACGATCCACTTAGGCTTGCTGAGGCTTCACCAGAAGTTTTCCCCGAGAGCTTGGTTCGGCCCCTGGCCTGCGTGGATAGTATTTCAAGGGAGATGTCAGTTTCTTCACCGGAGTTTCTGTCCATGAGTCGAGTTCCTCGAGAGACTTAAAGTACAGGGTCAGATGCCCAGGGGAGCTGTCCAGGCTCACAGATTCTCTAATCGGCATGGTGGTGGTGGCAGTCTGCGATTCGAGCATCAAATGATCGCGTAATTGCAAGCCACGGAACGACCGGGCCGTATGGTGTGGCTAATTTCTGCCAAGTGGCCATTTTTGCCCAGAAGATACTACTATCAAAAAATCGTCTCGTACTCGCAGTACTTCCTTCAAGTTTCCCACATTCAGAAGACAACAATATTCATTCGCAAAGTTCTTTTATATCAGTAGGAGAAAGCTAAGGCCATGGGGGACCCTTAACGACACAGGAATGTCTAGTCTCGTCCGACAGTCCTACGCGTAAACGTCTTCAGGTGCGACGCACAGAACCTAGACATGGTTAACTCTGCAAATATGATCCCCCATAACCGAGACCCACCTCTCCTGGATAGATATTAGTGCAGGTCGAATCCACATTGGGATTATTGGCCAACAGAACGTCGTACGTGGTATTCTCAGCAGCAGCAATAGCAACGCAGTTATCCCCTGAGACAACCACGTAAGTGTCCGTGCAATCTTGGCCGATAATGCCTAGACAAAGGACCTTCGATAACGAAAACCTCAGTACATATTCGCAATGCTATGAGAAGCGAGGAGAGCTACCTCGCCCAAAACCAAGTTGGTACACCCCACGTTGATGTTGGTGTTCACCTCAGCGAGCTGATAGCTACAAACAACAAACCATGGTAATCAGTGGGTAAGAACGACGATAAATGGGAGCTGCATACGTAGAAACGTTCTGAGCAGCAGAAATCGCATCGCAGGTGTCACCGAGCTGGACGGTGTAGTTGCGAGCACAGTTGGCCACTTGGGCAGCACCGAAGCGGAATCCCGCGGTGAAGAGGAGAGCAAGACCAGAGAGGATGAACATATTGGTGACGGAGAGTTTGCTTAGGAGGGACTGGGGGAGAGAGAACCTGGTGAAAGATGGCGACGCGTTTCTTCCTTTATACGCCCAAGGTCTGACTCGCTATTCGGCGGGAAGGGACATTCAGCGGGATGGTATGGCCGTTTTACGGAAAATTTGTGGCGGGACACGCGTGTGCATCATACGGCGCTAAATGTAATGACAAGAATCATAACCTTGTCTGGATAGATGAGTCGCGCCTTGCTCCAAGATGACTCACTAATCAATGCAATCGAGTCTTTTCATCAGCTCCGGTGATCTATCCAGTCCCGAAATCAGCTTCATCGAGTCACGAAGTCAAAAAACTCTCATGATGAGGTACAAGATGCAAGCCGCTGTTACACAAGACGCGAAATTAACACGTCAGAATATCTGATCAGAAAGGAGGGGTTCTCATGATAACCTGGAATAAAGAACGTGCCACTGCAGAGCAATGAGCGGGGTCACCGTCAAACGCGAACGCAGGTTCCAGGTTCCCGGCTGATGATCTCCGTCAGTCGATGGCCCTGACACGCGTACATGTACCTGTGACGGAGAGTGTGATCGTTGGCTGGCACACCTACTTTCCTGAATACGAAGAAGGATATACCGTCAAGGCGGACACTACTATTGTAGTTCGTCAACCAGAAAACTGTCAAACTTGTGAAGCCGCACCGACAGCGGGCGTTTTTCAGATGGGTCATTGTCGCGCGGAAAAGACATCCGACTGCCTCTGATAGAGAGAATTCACACTCTAACGTTACCCTTGGAAATGCGAGGGGTCTCAAGTCGTGTGGATGCAGTTTCCGATTCGTGATTCTTAATGTGGCGGCAAGACCGCCATGATATGTAGTCTGCTTCCTTATTCCTGGTTCGTATATTTTCATCCCTTTTTTTTTTGCAGTTTATTCACTGTAGCCGGTGTGAGAACGAGAGTGTGAGAGATGTTGCGAAACAGAACCCTGCCGTGGTAAATCACAACAAGGGATGGCACAGGTGGGTCTTTCTGGTGGGAAAGGAATATCATTGCTCGACGGAAGTTGCTTTGCTCCGCGTTCGTAGCTGAGGACCATATCTGTAGAAAATAAAAGGCGCCGGACAGCCAATGACCAAGCAGATCAAAGCCAGGATGGAGTTTCCCCAGCCTGTAGTGGTGAATATGAGCCTGATGTTCATTGGTTCATCGGAAAGTTGCTTACCGTCGCCAACTCTCTCGTACATCTTGTCAGCAAAGAGAGGAAACCCAAATCCAGCGAAGGCCCTGAACGACGAGACTCCTGCGATTGCACTGGCGGCATGGAGTGCGTAGTTATCCACCTGTGGGATCACTGAGTTTTTTTTGTCTCTCCAAGTATCGTTCATTCTTCACCAGATATGTCTGTATGCATGTCCAATTTCCGCCTGATACATTGCGTTAACTCAGTTCTGCAGGAAAATGTGGGGACAAACGTACCGATTCCGATGGAATATATGAATACGCCGATGTCTATCAGCGGTCCTGAGTAGAGTTGAAGGCACCCTAAGGGTAAAACACACCAGGAGCAAGCCAAAAGATACGCGCATTGGCGGTCCATCCGTATATCAACAATCCAATCGGAAGCGTGGTCGCAGAAACCATCAAAAGCGGTAATCTGAATGCTGGGTTCAAACTCTTTCACAAGATTCGGCGCGAGACTAGAACACTACCTCATTTCAGGGGTGCCAATCCCCCCATTTTTGACTTTCAATCGGACGTAAATCCTATTCAGGACGCGTGCACCAACTTGCCCTCCGACTGGTAAAGAAAGAACGGATATCAAGCGGGAGGTCACGGTCTATAAAAAGACTGAATGATCTCACCTGTGGATCCCAAGGCGATTGCGAGATAGTGCAAGCCTGAGATTCCAGTGTTTTCGTGATATTGGTCAGTGTATACCTTGACAAAAGCTGCTTGAATGGTTAAAGATTGTATTCAAAAAAAGACAAGAGTAGCACCTACACGAAAGACTCAGATACAATACACCATACAGAACAGCCATATACAGGGCGAAGACCTGCACAATAGGTTCCGTGGCCAGAAACTTAAGCGGCTTGATCATGCCTTGGGTCATAACGCTAGCACAATGTCGGCCAGGCTGCTCGAACCGTGAACGAATCATGACGTTGCCGGTCGACTTCCTGAGAGCCCGCGCCTTGCGCTTCTGCAGCTCCGGAACATACGTTTCTTCTAGGAAGATCTTATTTTGAAGACGGTGAGCTGATTAACATTCATGGGGGAAAAAAAGTACTCACGAAGCCTGCGATTTGTAGGATGGCGTCAGAGATGCTGACGCTCCAAAAGACCCACTCCCACCGGACCCGTGACGCTATCCATCCGCCAACTAAAGGGCCGGTGGAAGGTCCGACTAATGGAGCAAGGGAGTAAAGACTCATCGCCATCCCCCTCTCTTCTGGCGACCACAGATCGCCAACGACGCCGCCACCGACGGACTGAGGTGCAGCCCCGCCGAATCCAGCCAAGAATCTGAAAATTAGCATTTGTGTAGGCGTCTTGGCGATAGAACAAATGGTGTTGAACACTAAATAAATTCGTCAGCAAAAGGAAAACAGTCATCCAAAGAGCAAATACCTAAGAACCAGATATTAGATACCTGTAGAACTACAAGGCGACCACAGAGCTCGGACATTGGTCCCCATATCAAGGGCTTTTTTCCAAACGTGAAGCGGCGTGTCATAATGTCAAAGAGAGCAAAACTCACTCCTAATGCATACGCCAGGACGAAAATGGAGAGCGACATATTTTGTAAAATCGAGTCGTGCGGGATATCCAGCGCATCAGAGATAATTGGCAAAGCAGGAGAAGATATCGACGAAGCGACCGGGCTTTTATATGATAAGAGTCCCTTAGCCTTACCGTTCTGTTGGTTGTGGGAGTGCATACCTTATGAACGTGAAAAGACTGACAACCAACGTAACGGTCCAGCGCCTTCGATTGCTCCAGTTACGAGGATTGCTCGGGTCATTGAGTCCATCCCATCCCAGCTCCTTGGTCCTTGCGTTTCCTAAATGCTGGTAAGTTGCATCAACCGACGGTAATATTGTCAGGCTGGAACTAGGTCCAGATTCTATCGGGCCAAAACAAATGTTATACAAGAACACTGGATCTAAGAAGAAGCAAAGTACCGTCGACTTCAGACAGTGACATGTGTATCCACAGCAAGAAGCAATGGACAAAGTCGTACCAAGGAGGTGTACCCAGAAACGCTAACAATTCCAGAGGCTTTAAATAGTCGAAGCAGAGAAGAACATTGTTCTTGAATTCGCCGCAATAAGTTTCCTTGAAGGAGCCAAGCATCGCCCAATATCATTCTTGGACGACACAGAGCACTTGGCATGAGAAACAAGAGTCAGTTTCACAAATATCTCCGTAGAAAGAAAGCAAACAGCTCCCAGAAGCGCCAGTATCCGTGCGAAGTTTGGCACCGATATTAGCGTGATTCCTCACCGGTTATTCCTCGGCTGAAAACTTCCAGGTAGAAAAGGACATAGTGAGAAGGAAACGTCCCTCCACCATATTTTCGATGCAATGGACAAAGCCAAGCTGAGAAAAAGGGAGCATTGCGCGGTGGAAATTCTTGGACACATCCTCCTAGTGGCGTGGAGAGTATCTTCCTTTTAGGGCAGCCGTCAACAACCTGAAATTTCGATGGACCTTGGAATCTTTATCTCGAACGGTCGAATCTACGCTTATCATCTATGAACCAGCAATTCGGAAACTTTGATTCCTCCCCGTATCTGCAACTTAAAATGTCAACGCACCTGTGTCGATATATCTAGGGTCATACGGGATGATAGGACCTGTTCCTGTGGAGCATCGCAAAGATTGGCATGATTTAGGGATTCACAGTTGCTTCCCAAATGCAAACATCAAACATTTACACGGTAAACTCAAATTTGAGTTAAAATACACCTTATCTTCACCCAATACAACCTTGTTCTTGCAGTTTTTTCTTGTGTTATCCCGGCTGCGTCGTATTCCGCATGTCATTTGTACGACTTCTTATCGTCATATCTCACAATCCCCGGTATGTTCTACCGATTTAAGGAAGCGCGATCTCATCTCCAGTTGTTCTGCCATTCAAATGATTTTCTCTTTTCCGTGTTTCTACCACTGAAGGTGTGCTATCCGTCAAATTTAATACGGGCTGTGTTGCAATGCACGGAATAGGCATGGTCGGCTCCCTAATTAGAATTGCAGACAGAAATACTGGCGCCTCGAGTTCTTCTGCCAAAGCCAAGAACGACCATAAATGTGCAGTTCAGAAATAACTCTGGGATCTGCTGCTCATGGGGCGACATCGGTCTCGGCACCAGCTCCTGATTGCGTAACCAAAATGGTAACAGAACGAAGGTGAAGGTGCCCTCCGCGGAGAAACGTCCATTCACTTTCAGCTCAGATTCCACGGCTTCAGGTGTATGAACAGCATCCGAATTCAATGCGGCAAGGAGCAGTCGACCATGGCAGACGGGAACTTTTTATTGACTACACACGGATTTTGGCCTTTTCGCATGATTATGGAGTGCAGAAAGCGACATTAGCCAATGCCAGCGGTTATGTACTCCCAAGCCAAGACAAATCTATGTTTGTACCGAGCGCTGTCGAGCTATTTAATCCTCGTATTCAGCGAGGACGCGCCATCCTCTACCTTTTTTACCCTTCAGTTTTTCTATCATTCTGTGCACAAGCCCGTTTCCAATGCCTATGCTGTACGTTCACATGGTACCTAATACTCTATGTTTCCCACTGACTTCTTTGTCCAGGCCTAATCCTGCCGAGAAATACTTACCGTATCCTGCGGTCAATTTTCCGTCCAACTACGTTCGCCAATGGCCAGCCAGAAGAACCACCATCTCTCCAACGTGGCTCTCAACAGATTTACGGGACGGAAACCAAGCACTAGTTAATCCCATGAGCAATAAGACGAAACTCGAGCTCTTCCGGTCAGTTTTTTCTCTCGCGTTGTATCAGCTTGCCTGACTTCTAGTCACTAGATTACTAGTTGATATCGGTTTCAAAGAGATCGAAGTCGCATATCCGTCTGCTGCTGCTCTAGAGTACTAATTCGTTAGATCTCTTATCGAAGACGCCGAAATCCCAGAGGACGTCGCTATTCAAGTAGGTTCTGTTTCTCTGAAAATAGCGCCGCAACGATTCGATTTCTTTGCAGATCATCACTCCCGCCCGTTCGGATCTAATAACAAAGTCTATCTCATCTTTATCTGGTGCAAAGCATGCGATCATCCACCTTTATAATGCCGTATCTCCTGTCTTCCGCGAAGTCGTATTCAGGAACACCAAGGCACAGACAATCGAGTTAACTCTAAACGCTGTTCGTTTGGTCAAACACTTGACTGAAGAGGAGACTGCTCGATCTGGTACGCAGTATGTATGGAATCCAACGACCAGCCATCTAACAATATCATCGATTAGGTACACGCTTCACGCTAAATTATTGTTTCGAGACGTTTTCCCAGACTGAACCCGAATTCACGGTTGAACTTGGCAACAGAGTTCTAGGGGAATGGGGAAAAGCCAGCCCGGAAGATAAGGTTATTTTTAACTTGGCTGCTACTGTGGAATGTGCACCAAGCAACCATTACGCTGATATGGCAAGAGGCATCCTCCTTTGGTCTACTATAATAGCTCGCTGATTCGATTTATCAGGTCGAGTACTTTTCCAACCATATCAATCAGCGGGACAGCGTTATTCTCAGTATCCATCCTCATAATGATAGAGGTAGGCATCCACGGCCTGTGCAGTCCCCTTATCCTAACTTTCCTCAACCCAGGAACCGCTGTTGCTGCAGCAGAATTGGGCCTTCTCGCTGGAGGCGCTCGCGTTGAAGGCTGCCTTCTCGGGAACGGCGAACGCACAGGAAACGTCGATCTAATCTCCCTCGCTCTGAACCTCTACTCCCAAGGCATCTCTCCTCATCTCGACTTTTCCAACCTCCCGGAAATCGTCGAGATTGTCTGCCGTTGCAACGAAATGGCCGTACCCGCTCGTTACCCGTACGCCGGGAACCTCGTATTCTCCGCTTTCGCAGGGACACACCAAGACGCTATCAAAAAGGGACTTGACTCTCAAGCGAAGCGGTGGGCAGAAGTCGATCGCTCCGGGATGGGCATCAAGTCCTGGGCTATGCCGTATATCCCCTTGGATCCTAAGGATATCGGGTATGGCTACGAGAACCTTATCAGGGTCAGCAGCCAGAGCGGGAAGGCAGGAGCTGCGTATGTCATCAAGCAGAAGATGCAACTCGACCTACCTCGCCGCATGCAAGTATCCTTCTACGGTGTCGTCCAAAAGGAGAGCGAACGCTTGGGCAAAGAGATGACGGCCGTCCTGATCACCGACGCCTTCAAACGGACGTATTCCATCCACCATCTGCCTATTAACCGACTTTACCTTCAGTCCTACCGTCTCTTACCATTATCGCCATCATCCAAAGAGCCTTCTTCGCCAGCCTCGGACTATTCCGATGACCTCTTTGCCTTATCTTCCGCTGAAGACCACGAGACTCGCTTCAGGTTTGAGGGGCACGTCGTCGTCGACGGTGCTTCACGCGATATTCAGGGTGACGGCAGTAACACCGTCCAAGCAGTCATGAACGCCATGCACACGTGCCTCGACCTGGAACTCACCACGGGTGAGTACGCTGCACAGATGATCAACGCCGAGAAGGCTCCCAAGGCAGCGACGTTCCTCGAGCTGCGTGGACCAGGCGGCGAAAGTGCATGGGGGGTTGGTATCTCTGATGATGTGACGACCTCTAAATGCCGCGCGGTCATCAGCGCCGCCAACGGACTCTTAGGTGACCGACCCATCATCCCCCAAAAGATGATGTTCACTCCCCGTCCTCTCCTCGCTCAGAGTCAGCTATCGGACAACTGGCTTCGAGACGTCAAGTTGAGGACAGGGCACGCTCTTTTGCCCACACCCGAGCAGGAAAGGACAGAGTTGCTCCAGAGGGGGACATCGGTTTGAAGGACTGGGATAGAAGGACGACATCTTTAGACTTTTTGTCTTCAGAACATCCATCATAAACAATATCTTGCATTTTGTATATACGTATCATATATCCGGTATAAGGTTGCTGCTCAAAGTAGTGTGGACTGGTTACAATTTATCATCAATACCTTCTTCCTCCTCTCGATCCTCCACCCGGTCCCTGGTACGGGCTATAATCCGGCGGCGGTCGACCTCCTGAAATATCTTCATCATCATCTCACAGGGACTCAGGATCACGGACCGAACTTACCTCCTCGAGGAGGGACAGGCGGCGGAGGCGGAGACCTTGTCCTAGTCGAACTCGAGCTCGGAATAACAGCATTTCGGAAAAGATTCATCAAGTCCTCAGTACGGAAAACCGGTCCATCAAAGTCGGAAGCAGCGGGAAGTGAGCCTAGGAAGTACGATAACACAGGAGGGAGGGAGACCGGTTTCTCTTCTTCTCTGTCCTTTTCTTTCTCTTGCCTTCGTGGCGGCGGCAGTGGAGGACGTTCACGGTCTTTGCTCGAAGGCGGGGGCGGGCTATATCGTCGCCCTCTTGAGGACGAAGAACCATCCCGGGGGTTCTCCCATCGATCTCTTTCTGACGGCCGAAGTGGCGGAGTATTCGGACGAATGCGCTTGTGCGAAGGACCGTAGTCACCGCTCCTATCATCCCGAGCTTTGCGGTGTTCGGGGGATGGAGGTCTCTTGGTGCCACCAGCAACCGGAGTGGGAGGCGGGGCCAGCAGACTCTGGATCGTATCACTTCTGCCCAAAGCTGACGTGCTCTTTTTAGCGATAGCCACTCCTAGATCTCGGGCAGCAATAGCATCGACGCCCAGGTAGACATGTCGTTGTGCAAACCTCTTCAGTGATGGATCTTTGCGGAAAGTTAGGAAGGTATGACACTATCAGAGAGTAGCTTACCGTTCGGATACACGTCAGACATTCTTTTTTCGAGCTTGAGTGCGGCTTCGAGGTCAGCATACTGATACTCGTATCGAGCCCAGCGTTCCCAGAGCGGTCGCGCCTTTTCAGGAGGGAAAGTACCGATGACCCGCTCAAATAACGCTCGTGCGTCTATTACCAATCAATATAGCCTAGGAAACACCCACAGAGGTATAATCACTTACTGTTCTCGTCGTTGATCGATATAAGGAAAGCCAGATAACGAATGACGAACTGGATCTCGGTGCCAAAGGTGCTGAGACCTTTCTCAAAGATCCGGCTGGCGATGTTTTTGTCGTTCGAGCAGTGGTACTCCATGAGCGCTGTAGAACGGCTTTAGCGACGGACAAAAAGTGATCACAACAACGATCTCACCTGCCGCCTCATATACTTCCCAAGGCGTCCAGCGATCCTTCCTCGCCGCCCCAAACACACCTCGAGACTTCTGCACACCTTCCGTACGTCGCATGAAACGCATATAACAAATATACACTAAGCCGTACTCTGCCCGCTTCTCGGCAAGTTCACTCGGTTTTGAAGGGGTCTCATCGGACGACTGGCTGTTGAAGGAATAATTATTTGACAGGCTTCCTGTTTCGTGGGCTGGAGGCTGTACACCAGGGACATCCCCGTTGGTGCTACTGAATGATGAATTGGCGGTCTTGACTTGCTGCTCAACCACTTCAAGATCGGCTCTCAAGTTCCCGAGGAAAGTGTCAAAGGTGGCCTTGACCTCATCATACTTCTTGTTCACTTCGAGCGCTTCTGCATACGCAAACGTAAGGAGGAAACTATAGCAACTGTGAGCATATGTTTGATGAGAGCGGGCAATGAGATAGATGACCTCAGCGGGTTTGCTTCTCGCCCATTCTTGAGGATGGACATTGCTTCTTCATTCTTGCCAATGCTCTTGGTCCATGTATATGCCATGTACCTACCCAAATCCCAAGTCAAACGTCGAGGTACGTACACAGCTCGATCATCACAAACCAAATTTCAGGAAAGTATCGCATTCTAATGACGGCCTTCCGATACACAGTCTGTACGCGTAGGATCAATAGGGGCTTGTCCTTGTCTTCGATTTCAAGGGGGTTGCTTTCTTCCCATTTTAAATACGCTTTCCACTTGCCGACTGTAGAGCGCTCTGCGGGATCGAACGAGGGCAATGAGGGCAAAAAAAGTTCTGGGCGGCCCGTTGATGGAGGATACAAGGTCGATACATAGTTATTCAACTGCCGATACACTGTTCGCGCTTGCATATGTCCCGGTGAAAGATCGGCCATGAACTTTTTTGCGGTGATCTTGTTCAACTTCATTTCGAACGCTTCAAGATCTTGCCAAAGCTTCTCTACGTTGTCGAGTGGTATTTGAACAGCACGATGATAGACCTTGCGTAGCGCATCCATGTTTTGCTGTTGATCCCAGGTAGTCGTTGCCGTAGCCTGGCAGGGTTCAACCGATGCCTCAGATTAACGACGATAAGAACCTACCTCGCTCTCACTCAAAAACTGGATATAATCGTGCCAGATGTCGCCTGCGTCCTTGTCTTGGCCGACGCCATGGGGTGGATTCAGCGCAAATTCGTACGCCTTTCTGACGACTTCTCGTTTGGCTGGATCTCGCTTGGTGGGATCGGAATGTACGCGTCTGTCGACGATGTCAGACAGAACGTGGGCGATGCCATGCTAAAAATGACTCACCTGACATAGGTCAAATAAAATCGAAATAGGTCCACGGAAGGTGAATGCTTCAAGAACGTCGTGAACAGTGCCTCAGCTTCACCAAAAGTCTTGGGACTGTCAAGGTAATGGCTAATATACGATATTTGAGCCGCAGACTGCAAGAAATGAGAAAAGAATAGACTTGCTGCCGGCAGTTCACGCACCGTGTTTGGGTACTGCTTTAGCAACGAATCAAACACAATTTTTATCTTCTCTGTTTCACCACTTTGCTCAGAAATTTCGACAAGTCTCTTCCAGAGAGCCGGACTGTGCGGTTTTTCTGCCAATTGGGAGCGCAAGGAATCGAATTCGGATAGCGGTGGCAGGCTCTGCAACGACGGTTCGGTCTTGATTGGGCTGTTCAGAGCCGTAATAATCTCTTCGCTCGGTTGAGTCTTGTCACCAGCAGAGTCATCTTGAGACATGCAGAAGAAATTTCAGTTGTACACGCAAAGAAAAATGTAGGAAGTGGACAGAGACAAGATTGGTTGAACCCTAACCCTAGGACTCTTCAAGAAAGCCCGGATATCTCCGGTGGCTGTGCACTCGACAACCGCCGCGAGTTGGCCGCGAGGTTGCCACCCATGATAAATTTGCCAGTATATTTAGCATTAGAATGACCCTTTACTCCTTCCTAGGACGCCAAGAATGCGTCTTTTTTTCCTTCATTCGCTCGCCACTTGTCTCCAATTTGGTTTCGGAGACCTCGTACTCAGCGATGTCACCATCAGGACTTTCATATCCAAGATCTGGGCTATCCTGTGGCAATTATGGAGGGCCACCCTACGAGTTTATCTGCGCAAAACATTGCATGGTACATATGCGAATGAGGGAGAGGAGCAGGCCTACTGGGAATCAGCAATACGATCGCATTTATATCTGCAGACGTCTGGTGCTATGAAAGTCTGGTCCTTTCCGGTCATAACATCCTATGCACCCGCACCTCCAGTATCGACGTCCCAAGAGGACGAACCCGAATCAATAGAATACTACCTTCCATCAAAAACATTCTGTAAATGGCATCGAATGGTTTTCCCCGAGAGCCCGGTATGCGACTTCAAGTCTGCACATCTCGCAATCTCTGACTTGAGAACTTAGAACCACCCGACGCTCAGCCAAGCCCGCATGCTCAAGAAATACTTCAGTAGTCTTGATCGTCGAGAGATGCATCGGATATCACAGTTGTTATCGGATGACGTTGTCTTTGGCACCCACAAATGCTGGGGTTCCAAGTACAGAACATTGTGGAACTCGTGGCTCGAGAAGAAGGGTGCAGACATAGCCATTGTCTTTGCAAAAAAAAAGTCAATGAACCAATAGGTACTCCATCGAATATACTCGTCTCTACATTACTATCGTTTTAGCGATCATGCCCATAGTAATAAAAAAAACCACCAACCTCGACCTCACATCTGTCCCCTCCTCATCAAATTCCTTCTCACTCGTCTCTTCTCAGCACCAAGTCCCTCCCTCTTCCCCCACTGCAAAAACGGCACCTTACCCTTCTCCACACCCGCAACCTCGTCATTATCCGTCCTAAAATCCAAAAGACCCCAGATTGGCAGCTCCATCTCACCCTTCACAAGCACCCGCGTCTTATGCAACGAAGCCGGCGGTGTAGGCGTCAGCACATGCAGCACCTTGGGCGATAATGACCGAATAAGCGCCAGCCCGTAGCACGACGATACTTCCGGAGAAGGGGGCAGGGCGCCTTGAATGTACGGTATACCATCAAGGGGTGTATCCGGCTCGCAGCTCACCAGCCCCACCAACGCACCATTAAGCACGCATTGTATCTCCGAGGGCCGAACATCCTCCATACCCGCCCCAGTGAGAATGACCCGATCCACAGCAACCGAAATATCCACCTCGTACGGCCGCCTAGCACACAGCGGGAGTGAGGTGTTCCATCTCGTGGCTGTGATCTGGCGGAACGCACCGGGGCCAATGGCAGAGGGAAACACGGCATGGAAATAGGACATTATGGATAGTGATCGCGTGTCTACGGCAGAGTACAAGTTCAATGAGGGTATGGGCTTGAGCAGGTGATGTGCTGGAGCTCGAGCGGGCCAAGCATTATCGATTATCGGGGCCTCAAACTCGAATATCTGCGTTGGCTCGACCATGTCATGGATCTTTTGTAGGAGATCTGCACCTAGACCTTTCGTCCAGCCCATCGTATTGACAACGAGCGGGATGCGGTCACAAGTGCGGTCATCGTCACCTTCAATACCCATGTCGGTAGGTATTTGGATATCTAGACGGTAGCTCTGGACTAGAGACTGGATGGCCGATAAATAATGTGACGGGGACGACTTGGGTGTTGTTGCGCCAATATAGTGAGCGTGAATCGGAAGGGTCGGATGAGTGAATGGTGGGCCTGCAACTTTGCAATGAGTAGAAGCCAACGCAGCAGTTTGTTTTTCTTACCAAACAACGGGGACTCTATTATGTTCAAAGCGACCATACCTCCAGGAGTAAACTCCGACTGGCCTAGATCACACTCTAAGTATGCGACCCGTTGGTATCTGACGTATTTCAGTCAGCATTATAAATGATATGAATGATGCTAGCCAATCACCTAGCCAAAAGCCGGTTCACCAGGGTCCTAGCAAAAGTGCTTTTGCCAGTCTTCTTGGGTCCCTCCACGACGTACACCTCAGAAGCATCCACCTCCGCCGCTGATGCAGAAGAGAGGGCAGAAGACCACGATAGTGGTAGGCAAAACGGCTCAGAGTGTTTAGTCCTCCGACTGACCTAACCAGTTCCGTGAGTTGTACGCATCACTGTAGAAGGAAGCAATCCTCACCATATGAACGCCTGGTACACCAAAATCAAACGCATCCTCGTCATTTCGCCGATAAGGACTGAATACCCTATCAAACGCCCTGCATATGACTTCAAGACCGGAAACGTTTGTCTGCAGCTCTTGGACGACAATCAAGGCGTCGGCAGTCGCCAATAAGGATTGAAAACGTGGGGGGAGAGTCGATATTTTTGACGGACCCGCTCGACTCTCAGTTTCTACTGCAATAACAGGCAGAGGAGAAGAGCGTGGGGCGAATACATGGTGCACCCGGGAGGGCGACTGAAGAGTGGTACCACAAACCGTGATCGACCCATGAAGAACAGATAATTTGTACGCCCCCAAGAAACAGATTGTGTCGGACGCGCTGAGGGCAAGGAGGATAGCCGCGCCATCGCCCAGTCCAAACGAGCCAAACTCGTCAGGGGCCAAAGTAAAGGTATTCTGGTCACGTATGGGACAGAACGTCGAAAGCGTGTTGATTTCTTCCGAAATGGTGGGCGGAGGTCGTAGAGCTGGGACTGGTGCTGGCCCTTCGTCCTCCTCGTCGGAGGAATCATTCAATGGTGCACTAGGAGACCAACTCCGTTGTACAGGCTCAGGTTCTTCGATGTCCCCTTCATCGGACGTATCCGAATCATTGATAGCAATGATGTCCTCCTGTATCCGGAACGGGTCAGGCTCCTCAAAGTACCGTGAACGCTCCGGACGCCTGTCATGATTTTTCTTCTTCTTTCGAGAGGAGGAGGCGTTGCCTGGTGAAGGTTTCCGTTTCGGTGGTTGCGTCAGTCCCAGTAGAACCCTCCCATTTGCATCCTCCCTCATCGGGGGAGTTAGTTCTGGCTTTTCCTTCGCAGCCTGCACTGCTTTACGAGCGGCGACAGCGCTCAACATTTTCGAAGAGGACAAAAAAAGATGATTATCAAATAGAGACACACAATTGAATCGGGCCGCACTGCCGGTCGCGCTTCTACCACTCAAAAGGCTTGATCAACGTATCATATCTAATGATTGGCCGTTCAAATCTCTCTCTGACTTATCTCTTGCAGAGAAGAATACATATTTTCTTATCCATGTTGCAATTGTTCACTGTGACACCTTCACGGAGAAGATATTCATCTAGACGGAAGCGATATATTTATGCTCTTCTCACCTTTCTCTGTCAAGAGACTTGGAATCGACGCTTGAATGATTGCAGTCGAGTTCGACGAACGACGACATCCCTCACCATTTCACTCCAGTAAACTTCAAGGTCAAATGACCTCCTTACGACTCCGGCGCAACTGCTTCTCCTTGTGCTGATGGGCACTGTGACAGAATGAAGTAGCCCTTCTTATCCCTGATATCGATGGACGCTTGATTCATTTCCACATCACATCTCAATATCTTGATCCTCATGTCTTCCGTCCTGCCTCTAACGCGCTCGAACAGCTACGCCTCCTTCGTTACAGCAGTCATGGATGACTCCCTGAAGCCCGGCATATATAGGATCCAACTCGCAGATCCTAACCCAGAAAAAAGCGATATCCACATCGACCTCTCAGGGCAGGACTTGAGAACAATCATTGGTACGAGCATACGTCCATCTAGTCCTTCGACCATCTCACCGCATCTCCACAGGCTTCTCTAGTCATGACGGCGATAATCAACGGGTATGACAGAGCCATCCCTTGCCAGTTTGCCTTCTAATTGTCAGTGGGAATTTGCGACTTTGGGGGCGGGATACTCTATTCGGAGTGTCTACAACGGATCATACTTGTCCATCGATTTCAAAGCTCTGCATGACCTTCGACCACACGTCGTCGCTTCCTCGTTTCCTGTCAGCTGGGACGTTAAGCTGTACGATGCAGACAATGGAGTATACAGGTTTCGCACCGTCTCCCTCCGTCGTACTGCACATACTGATTTCCGTGATCGACAGAATCCGGTGGCCCAATAGCGAATATGTGTTTAGCATGGACATCACAGCCGGCGATCTCCCTCCTGTGTGTCGTCTTCTTAACCACTACGCGGCAAACTTTTGATTCAACATATCATCAGGTCTTCCTTTCCAAGCAGCGTTCAAATGCAGATTCCTCGCAGCTGTGGTTCTTCCGTGAATGTGAAGGTGTTCCGTTGGCAGCCCAGTCGGCAGCAGACACGGTGGTGAAGTTTGATGGAAGCTCTGAAGGGAATATTATAATTACGACTACCACCACGACCATGACGAAAGTCAGGAGAGTTATTGGTTGATTTACCTGTCTCTGTCTACCGGAACTTTGGAGTAGAATTCACAGTGTATTGTTGAACTTGATGAATACCGACCCCAAAGTTCCAAACCGATCTATACGATAATAACAAGTCCAATTTCCTGTTTCATTAATCCTCAGGTGAAAAGAATAACAAAAATCCTTCAGAGTATGACATGTAAAGAAGAAAAAGTGTCAAACTACCACCAAATGATTGATGAGATTGGGATTTGAACCCTAGCTTTCCGTTCTCAGCACCCGATCGGCCATCTCCCTTCTTTCAGGACTTGGCTCTTGTTGACACCAACCACGTGGTAGAATCGTCCTTCCCTCGTTTTTCCTGGCCATTCAGCGACGCGACCTCGCCGACTGCAAAGTTGACCACCGATGTTACGATGAGGTGCCTACGGTTTATTGCTGTGCCCAACAGATTCGCAGCAGGAACACGAGAACACGAGTAAACCACGAGGTGTCGTACAGCATCGATATGGACTAGGCGCCCCTTGATGTTTCTCTCTGCTGCCGCCACTCCACAACTCGAAAACGAACCGAACATCCACCTGCTCTAACTCACGGCGACCAATGTCTAGCAAAAAAGTTCCTTCGCATCGTACGCAGGACCGGGACCGCTCTGGCTCTGAACACAATCCTCTCGTGAAGCCGCCTTCTCACTCTTGGACCGTGCAAGAAACATCTCTTTCTAGAACGACCGTAGAATTATTTTTATGGAGTACGTCCGATCTCCTCCGTCTCAGCCATGGACATCTTACATCTTACGTCGGTCGCGGTTAGCGGATTCGTGGCTACATGTGAACGATAAGATGGACGACCACGATAAATTCGCCTTCTCTCTCCGGCAGGCTATCATCGTCCCGATATCTGTGGCTTGGATAGATTTCATCTCTGTGGTTCCTATGCAGTATGTCCCTCAGCTGAAGAGCCCGCCGAAAAATTGGAAAAAGATGAAAAGTGGTGTGTGGCGTGATTTTTTAGCGATAAGCAGGGGAATGATTACTCAGAAGCTTTCACTAGTCCTAGAGGAACTAAAGCGCACGTTTAACGTTCACGGGCTGTTGCAAGAAGAAAGACCATCTGAGATGCTGTAGTGATACCAGAGTGCAGAGCGTGCAGATACCTTCACACGACATATGATATGTACGCCGGGTGTGGTGCCTAAAAAGCTGAAGAAGAAGAGGAGCGCTAATGACATGCCTCCACGGCCTATGTAACACTGGATCCTCATACACAATTCCCGAGAGTGTAGCGTCACACTGATAAATAGGAATCTGGCATTGGACAATCATTGGAGTGACCTCCAGAACGGTGGAAATGAAGGTGCGTTTCTCCTTCCATTGCACGGTCTCAGCGTCAAAAAAGGCTTGTTCAGAAGCGAGCCAAAAGTCAAGAACGTTGATCGTCATTACTTTTTGATTCGACATTCGCCGTTCTCATCGGGAGCCTTGGGTGGTTCTCTCGACGCGGGCAGAGCTCTTAGGTCCCAATTGAGGTTTGAGATACAGCATCGACATGACATGCGTTCTTCAAGCGGCGCGATACATCCAGAAAACTTTCTTGGACCTTCCGGTGCAGCGTCACCCCACCGTCATTTAAAGGTTAGACGCCCCAACCGTGCTTCTAGTATCAGAAAACTTTCCTTTTAGCGCTGCATATATGTTTTGACGCCGATGAGTATTCTGACAGCCTGATTGCACCCCCAGAGCTTCCTGGACGATATCCAAACACCCGGTATATCCTTCATACTAGGCGCCTTCCAGCCAGCGATCCATCAACATCTCATTCTCTGACGGACAGCCCGAACACACCTGGTCCTTCCATATTACTAGTAGCATCCTCTTATAAAGGGACTCACAGACCAGACCATACACCACAGAGAGTTAACCATGCGCTTCAATTCCCAATCCGTCGTCGCATTCATTCTCTCCACTCTCGCCTTCACCCGTGCAGACGTAAGCAAACATCATTCCACCTATCCTCTCACTACTCACCACTCACCCAAAACTCCCAGCCCGCCGGCGTATACTTCTGCGTCCAACCAGACTTTGTAGGATCCTGCGCCTACGTCTCCGCCGACGCGGGCACCTGCATCACCTTCGCCGCCGGAGACTCCTGGAACAAAGCCATCTCCTCTGTCCTCCCGGATGCTGCAACCGCGTGCACATTCTACAGGTACGTTCCGCTCAGGCTGGTTCGTAGCGGGGGAGAGCTTGATATTAATTAAAACAATGATGCCCCAGCGGCGTGAACTGCACCGGGACGACATTCCAGGTCACTTCGGAACAAGCTACCCTCGTAGGGACCGGATTCAACAAGGCGGCCAGCTCATACGCGTGCTCCTAGGTATGCGAGTCAACTTGTAATCGTAATCGTTGTTGTTCCTCATTTTGCTTGACCGAGGCAGTTCGGTCCCGTCGACGAGTGGTGTGGCACCAGCGCTCGGATGGTAAAAAAACTCCTGGAGAATTCCTCTGTAGCTCAACAGTACCCTATATTTCAATGGAAGCATATGACTCGACACCGTACTCGTGTACACCCAAGTACGAAAAAGCGAGATCTGAAATCATGTAGGGCCTCGTCGGCTATACTTACAAACCAGGAAACTTTGTGGAATCAGCTCCTTGAAGATTTTGTCTTGACTCGTGTGGATGCGAAAAAAACAAAACTTTCCCACCAAATTAAACGCGGGACCAGTGCAGTGCCCCCCCCCAAATAGACACAATATACGCGTGTCAGGGCCATCGGCTGACAGTGATCATCAGTCGATAGCTTGGAACCTGCGTTCGCGTTTGACAGTGATCCCCCGCTCATTGCTAGCAACAGGACGTCCGTTATCACGAGTCATCTTGGAGCAAGGCGTGACCCATCTACCCAGACAACGTTATAATTCTTGTCATTACCCTTGGCGCCGCACGATGCACGCGCGTGTCCCGCCAAAAACAAGAAAATTCGGTAAAACGGCCACACCATCCCACTGAATGTCCCATCCCACCGAATAGCGAGTCAGACCTTGGGCGTATAAAGGGAGAAACGCGTCGCTATCTCTCACCAGGCTCTCTCCCCCAGTCCCTCCTAAGCAAACTCTCCGTCACCAACATGTTCATCCTCACCGGTCTCGCTCTCCTATTCACCACGGGATTCCGTTTCAGTGCTGCCCAAGTAGCCAACTGTGCTCGCAACTACACCGTTCAGCTCGGTGACACCTGCAATGCGATTTCTGCTGCTCAGAAAGTTTCTACGTAGGTGTCTCTCCCATTCATCATCGTTCTCACCCCCCCCTGATGACCATGGTTTGTTGGTTGTAGCTATCAGCTCGCTCAGGTGAACACATACATCGACGAGAGGTGCACCAACTTGGTTTTGGGCCAGGTAGCTGTCCTCGCTTCTCATAGCGTTGTGAATGTGCACTGAGGTTTTCGTTATCGAAGGTCCTTTGTCTAGGCATTGTCGATAAAGATTGTACAGAGACCTACGTGATGGCTTCGGGGGATCACTGCGCAACTATCGCTGTCGCCGAGAACACCACGTACGATGTTATATTGGCCAATAATCCCAACGTGGATTCGACCTGCGATAATCTCTACCCAGGAGAGGTGAGTTTTATTATTAAGGGATCATTTTTACAGAGCTAACCATGTCTAGGTCCTGTGCGTCGCATCTAAAAATGTGTACACGTAAGATAGACGAACTTTGAAAGAATCAATTGTCAGACGCTAGTCTTGTCTTACTTATTATATACCCAACTTGGATAAATAATGTTGTCGTTTCTTTGGACTTGGAAAGGAACAGAAGCCGAGCTCTGTTCCACCCACCTCTCTAGCTCTGCCAAGACAGCAAGGACTCAATAGCAACTCTTTAGTGACGATCAATTTATTACCATCATCAAATCACGATGCCACATACCACTCTTCGTCTTTTTCTGTTATTTCAGGCTCTTCATCAGACACTGGGCATGGGCACCGTAGAGATAATATCTATCTGAGCTAAGACTGAAAGAAACAGATGATGAGTTGAAATCAGAATGAAGCGTGGCGCAGCTCACGTGCTCCCGATACCAACTCCGGCTTTCCCGGTCCGGGGGAGAGGTGGGTCCCAAGAACAGCGATGCCACCATCGCTTTTCTTCGACGCGGCGCATCCCAGATTTCTCTTTGTTCTATTTTATGACTGTGTGGTCTTCGTCCCGCGTTGCTTAGCGGATCATATACAGTTTCTTGTTCTCCGACCTTGTTTTACTTTTTGACCTGCACTTATTGTCGAGTTATTGTACGTCCTCAGCGCTGACGGGATAAAAACCAAACGCAGGTAGTATTGAGTACATCCCATCTCATACGTCTTATACTTTGGATCTGCTGTCTGTTGCTCTGTGGCACCGTGCATACCGTCGTCGACGCAGAAATCTTGACTTCCGATGGTCCAACATAGAGCAGGCTTTGACTTTGGCCATACGACCATGGGTCATCCACGAGAACGAAGCCGTTCTTATATATATGGAATGCCACCACCCAATACAAGCGTTATATCCAATGCCTCATCACCACAATCGTCCAGGTCAAGCTCCCGGTCAAGTCATAGTAGTGACTCTAGTAGCAGCTGTAGTGACAGCGGCTACGGTTCCGCTTCTTCTTCTTCTTCGTCTTCGTCTGCATCGCATCGTCGGGATACTCATCACCACTGGCTTGCTCACCACCGTGATTGTCCAAGACGTGGTCCGCCAGGGTTCATACCCTATGATCCGCCATCAGACGGCGGAATGCCGGTGATCCCCGATCCTTCCGCGTCTTCTGCCGCAATCCCACATGTCGGATTCGAACGACCAGACCCATTTATACTACCGCAAGGCGCTCCCCCTCACATACATCACAGGCTTAGCACCCCTCCTCCGAATCCCCATCCAGTGCCGAACCTCAATGCCCGCCCTCCGGACGATAGAATCTACGCATTCCACGCCCATCTACAGCAGTACTGCCACCCCAATCCCACGGATACCACCGGCTTCATCCACGCTCCCTCTTTGCAGTGGGACATCATCCATCCACCCTCCAGGGCGCGTTACCTACCAGGAAACGGCACCATACACTCCCCCAATTACACGGAAGCCGCATGTGCACCTCCCACCGTACGTCGGATCCACTTCACGTCAAGACACGAATGCCTTCGTTTCTGGATGGCGCCTGACCGGTGGGGCCCTATCATCATCGACGACCCCCACCTGCCGACGGTCCACAGGATCCTCGAAAAGATACACGACTATCTTCGCCAGCCGCTCAGCCAGACGGATATCGCTACGATCCATTCGAAGCCTATCAATCGAAGGAGACTTAACGAAGCGCGGCTTTTCAGGCTACACGACACGGCGGGTATGCACCCATATCAAGGATATGTGAGGTCGGACGTACTGGGTGGTCATCGACGATTCTTCGGTTGCATAATGTTCATCCAAGATGGCCTTTGGCGAGCTTCAGTGGATTTCATCCCCGGTCCCGTCCCAAAACTCTACCACTAAGTTAGACTTAGATAGCGTATTTATTTACTTCGTTAAAACGCCGCGGATGATTCATATTAGACATCAAGGTTAATACATGAAATTACAAGACCTCCGCAGCTAAGCTGGGCGGCCTGGCTCATACATACAAGAACAACAACAACGCATTAATCTTAAGAAATAACCCTAGAATTCACCGACACCCTGAAAGTCGTGGTCAGTTTGAGTGACGATGTTCATGAGGACGAGTCACTCACCGGACCGAAATGATCCCCATCTGCGACGGTGTAATATGTACATTCGTTATAGTCACAGCCCCCATAAGGAATCGTGTTAGGCCCCTACATAAAAATTAAGAGCCCAAGAAGAAGGGGTCGTAGCGGGACCACTCACCCAATTAATCTCAGCGCCAACATACTGCACGGCGAAGAACTGGATAACAGCAGACAGGGCAATCGCACTGTAACGCAAAGTTTTAATACGTTGGAAGCATTCACTCCTCATACACAACTTGTTACTCACCATGTAAAGGCTGATGCCAAGATACTACGAGCAAAATAGATGTCAGAAGTGTGTTAATAATAACGTAAGTATGTAAACGCACTAGTTATATTTCGACCACCATGAGAGGAACCGTTTCTTGATGAAGATATTGAAGACATAAGCAATAGGCACAGCCGGCCACGTATTCGACAAGTTGTAAGGTGCCCTAGAAGTAACCATAAGCCATCACTGATAGCAATTCCCAACGTCAAAACACAACATACCAGATAAGTGTTCCGACCAAGAACACCGGGAGATGGAAGTACTTGAAAATCGGTATTCTGGGCGTCAAAAAGTACACGATAATGGGCAAGACGAAGCCGATCAAGAAGCACCAGATCAGGGGATTATAGATAGCCCCCGACCCGAACATCCTGGAGGGACCAAGCGTTCCCCAAAGAACTGACGCAGTGAAAAACGTGTTGGCGCCCGGGCAGGTGAACTTGTCTTTCTGCGTAGACGAGCAGACATCGGGGATCTGCGTCATCTGGAAGTTTAAAATCCCAACACAGACAAAGGTCGACGCAAGTGTCGCTACCATCTGCACCCAGAACGTAATCCTGGGCGGAATATGGGTGTAGTGCGCGAGCTTCAGATCCTGAGCAAATGCCAAGGTATGAGCGGTAGTGACATAGCCGTAAGACTTGAAAAAGTTCAAGGCGTTGGCATTTCCAGGGAACCATAGACCACCGAAGAATTCAGCCAGAACATTGAGCGTCACCTGGCAATTAGTGATCGAAGCGATGATACCGATAGGAATACAAAATATGACCTGAAATTTTCTTTTGTCAGGACAACTCATATGATATATACAATTCCACGAACCGCGAGGAGGATACCATAGAGAACAACAGCCGGAGAAGTTGAAGTCGGGTAGGCGGCTACACCAGCAGCACCGAGGCCGACAGAAATTGCTAGAACACTGAAGATAGTAAAGAGTAAATACTCCTATGACACTGCCGCCAAAAAAAATACGTGCCAGAGATAGTGCCACTCGGGAACCTCAGCGTAGGCCCCCATTAGCTTGCTGTGTACATCAAATCGGTCCTCCCTCACAGGCTTCCTCTTCCACAGACTTTTGAAGCCCAAAGCTATTTCCCTCCGGTGGTAGAGGAACGTGTGGGAGATAGTTGCCGCATACGTCGCAACTGCCCCCCCGTGATCATCATCAGTTGCAGCAAAATCGGAAGTGCAGCGGAAAGAAACGCACAGAAGAAACCATACAGCAAGATATTACCCGCGGCAAGGTATGCAGGGGAGTAAGCTTTATATGACGCCTCGTCGAAAATCGACTGTGCGTCCACAGCCTTAGACACGTTATATCGCGCGCCTGTGTTGTCGAATACACCATTGGAATTGATCGGCAGATCTTAGATACGGCTTGTCAGCTACGTAAAGAGGAGGGGGAGGACTCGAAGAAGGAAGGACATACACCCAGTGTACCAAACGTTGTTCACCCAAATTGCAATTATCTGCCAACAGGGTACCTCAGTCAAGAGAAATGATCTGAACATCAAGGGATCAAAAACATACAATTGGGAGTGTAACGATGGCACCAAGGAAATAGTTGGCAATCGTGAAGAACGGATTGATGAGAGGGTCACCAGCGACCGAGAGAACGTTATAATCGAATGTAGGGATCGGATTCAAACCAAGGCCTCCGATACTACCTGAGCAGGTTCGTCAGCACGTCACATTAAGTTTGTTTACAGCAGCAGATCAACCTGTTACCGCGCCGAGCAGGACGTTTTCGGGAGCAATCCATGTCATCCAATTGAAATACGACAGAGCTTGAAAGATGTAACTGTTAGAATCACATTAGCGGATATGGATTCATGCATGGAGGTTTTTTTTTTTAAAAAAACGCATACTTAGGGAACCCTGTGACGGTCATGCGCCAGTGAGCCATCTACCCTGATACCGAAAGATAAGTAACGTACAGAAGTACACGAACATCCCTCCAAAAGCGTATAGGAAGAACCTCATCTGAGAGCATCTCGTGAACAATATTTCCTGTTATAACTACATGGATACTTACCCGAGAGACTTTCCAGCCGTTAGCTATCTGGTTTGTTTGCGAGTGGAAGGCACGCTAATGATGCCGTAATAAAATCAGAACACAGGTGGACGGACTAGAACCTAACGCACATTCAGAGCAATAGTGGCTAAATTTGTTGGCCATATTGCGTAGGACGGGTAGACGAGGAAGCGTCGCGTGATCCCAGCCAGACCATAACCTTCGATTTCAGGTCACAAATCTTGTCGCTCCTAAAGCTATTTTGAGCTCACCAATAAAGTTCGTAGATAGCGAAACTACGGGGACGACATTAAGATAATCATTGTTCGGGATCGGTGAGGAACGTACTAAGGATCTGGTATCCGAAGTTTGTGGCCCAGGACTACCAAGTGTGGGTGAGTCAAGAGGGGGGTGGGTGATACATACGACCGTTGAAGGACAAACCTCATTGAAGAACCTCTCAGCAAATTGTACCCATATGACATATGCTGTGTATCTAATGATGAATCTGTCTGAGGATGGGATTATTACAGAGAGTCCAGAAATACTCACGGAGTAGTAAAACCAACGTTAGCCATGATAGTAGCGACCATGTGCTCTTTCATGTTGAAAGGACCGCTATAACTATATTAGCTTCCTCGCCGCAGGACAACAGAAGTCGAACTAACGGATTCAATGACCACTCATAGCCAAAGGTATTGTACTTCGTGGTAGGTAACACCTGTTCAAAGAATTTTCCCGCAGGGAATGCCCTGATAGGAAGCGCCAATTGAGCTACTTTTTCGTTTGGTTGAACGAAGCACTTACAACAACTGTGCAACATTCGAAGTGATCGTAATTCCCGGCTGTCGGATTGAGAAGAACTGGTTGAGGAAGGCCCCGATAACGACATAGATGAGCCCAATGACACTAGCTCGGAAGGTCAAGGCCGGCATATTAGGATCATCGTGGTTGTCAACGACCGCACGAACTTCGGCATAAGGAGAGTTCTATTTTCTTCGTGGGTGAACCATATATAGCACGAGGGCACGGGCGCAACGCACAACGACGATCAGAGCAGCTTCAATCTTGACCTCATCATAGAGCTTCTGAAAAGTAATGGGGTCGTCCCGAATGTCCTCGTCGAAGAGATATTGCCTAACATAGTTCATTATAAGACACCTTTTGCCACTGCAGCAGCAACTATGCTTACCGGCTCAGCTCCAGGGCTCGCCTTGGAAAGTTCTACAACGACTCAGTTAGATAGAAAATGTAGAAGGCGGCGGTGCTTACGGGATCCTTTCCATGCTACAGGTGGGGGGTGTAAATTGAAATTAAAAGCGTCTAAAACCCTCAGGGACTTACCATATCAACTATGTGCCTCAAGCATTCCTCAACTTCCTCCGTCGACATAGTGTCAGAGTGAGCGGCGGCTTCCTCCACATCGGCACTGAGAGCTTGGATATCCAAACCAACGACGTCCTACCAGTGCCATGTCAATATCGAGTACTTGCGAAGCAGCATGAATGAAAACGCACGATAGCCTTCTCATCGAAGGAGGCCTCGGAATCCTTCTCGACGACGTCGGCATAGTCTTTCCTCTTCTCATTGGCAGACATGAAGGGCAGTTGAAGATACGGATCCCGAAGAACAAGCAGATGAAAAACCGCTCCTGATATACGAACCACTTATCTACATAGGGACACCTTAGCGGGCAGTATGCACATGGCGAATGGCTTGATGCCGGTCCCATGGACCCACGAGTCCGGTCGCATTAGTGCAATACCAATAACCTGTAGTAGAATGGCCATTGCCATTGATGCAGAGAGATAAGGCACAACCCAAGTCTCTGAGACGGCAAATCAGGGTGAAGCATGTGGGTATCCATATGAATCCCGGAATTGTTCCCTTCAAGCCTTCGATATCTGCGCCGCAGTATCTCTCCAGCCGACTCTCATCGATGTCTTCCCTGTGCGCATGCACGTCGCCAAGTCCCGACAGCTGTTTGAGCATGACTCCTAGGTGTAAATGGCACCCCGTGGGCTGATACGCATGGATAGTCTTGCAGGGCCATCTATTCCTCGATTGAGAGCAAAAAAAATCGTCGTCGATAGAGACGTCTGGAACGTCACACGAGTCTGTAGCAATGTCAGGGAAAACGAAATAGGTGATTCGGAAATAGCGATCCTTTCACTAGGAATCAACAGAAGCTACTCAATTTTGGCTTGCGGCAGGCGTTCTTTGCCGTGGAAGGATACAGGGTGAGAAAATGGACTCAGAAATCAAGATTACAGAGCCTAGAAAAGCCGTAAGTTCAAGTTGTCCCTTGTCCCCAATTGGGGTTCCCGGCCAATGACACACCCCGGAATGGTGATAGCGCAATTGACGGTAAGGCGCCACTGAGCCCTGAAGAAAGACCTCGTGAGACCAAGACTGCGAGCGAGAGGTCGCGGCAGCCCACATGCTTTTAGAACTGATCGCGAGCTCGTTTTGATATCTTCAGGGACGTGATTGAGCCTTGGCCTAATTTTTACTAGTGAGACATTAACACAGACGATAAGAAAAACGGGTCTCTGGGACGATTTTCACAATAAGCAAGCCTGAGGTCTGATACGGATACGAGCTGCAGTCTTTAAGTTTCTGGACGAAGCATGGTGCAATACCTGAAAAGACATTCATAAGATGGCGCCTTTCCACGGCTCCGATACGATAAGTAGCATGAACCCGAGGTCCATGTGTATATCGTTGGAAAAAGCCTCCGACAAGACACTGCCATCATTTGTCAGCGTACGCCTCAACGTTTGATAAGATATACGTTATTATGGTCTGATCAGATGTGATCCGTAGCTCCGTGCGAAAGTTGAGCCCCAAAGGTTCATATTCTGGGGTATCCGTTACCTGAGGCAGGAGTAATAATAAGTAGCAGAACCAAAATAGACAAGCAGCGAAATGAAACTTACAGAGGACTAGTTCCGACTGGTAGGTAACCCTTCTACTCGTTGGAGGTAAAGCTATCTTCTCGATACAGCAGTGCATCAGTTATTATTGGAACCCATCCATATGGGCTTCGATAGGATATCAACGGCGCTTCGAGACAACCGTCGCCACTGTACATTTATCTTGTCAGACGACACTCTGAAGACCTTACACCGTTCATTGAACGGATCTCGGCCGCCGAAGTAAGCTTATTGTCCTATTATGAGTAGGAGATTGTGAGAAGATCATCAAATCAATTTCAAAAACGCCGAACGGGGATGGATACCTGGGAGGTGAGCACCAAATTGGGACGCAGTCGGGCTTTAGGTTTTTGTTGGCCCTGAAATTCGAGACGACACATCCTGCTGTCCCCCCCTCACTGTCAGCCCCAGAGAGAGACACGAAGATAGTGGAAGAAAGCTTACCAACGGAAAACTCCGTGAATCCTCTGATCACATACGACTGCTGCATCAATGATTGATTCAGATTGGCAGAGCACTACATAGCGAATTCGCGGCTCCACCAAAGAGAACAACCCCAGTAGGAAGAATACATCATTGAAAAGAAGATAAGAACAGGACCTGCACACGACAGACGACGTGGTACACTCGAGCGCAGTCGAAGGCGCAGCACCAGACTGTTCGTCGATATCACTGTCAAGTAGTAAGATATTTCACATCCCATCTGCCATCTGCAAAAAAAGGAAGTCAATTTCAAGCTGACAAAATGAAAAAAGAGGGGTAATCGCATGACTGCAAGACTTAAGACGTTTGTTCTGGTACGCGAGAGTCTACGCGTCGACTAGCCAAGCGTAGTACTAATCGGTACGTGTGAGGCATATTTGACATCGAGCAAGCATAACTCGTGCCGGCAAAACTGCGGCTATACGAGCCTATACCACCTACAGTTAATATTATCAACATGCGAGCCGTAGGTTAAGTGACCTTTGATATGTCCTCTCCCCCAGTGTTCGGTGACAGACGTAAAATCTGCACGCTCTACATGTACGGACCTGCCCTAGACCATAAATCATTGTCAAAATTAGCAGTTCTGGGGCCAAGTTATTCCGTCATCAACGGGAAGAGGATGAGTTTATTTTCTGGATAGCCCGAAGTCAGTCCGCGTGTGAGCTATTTCCGTTTGAAGCACAGTTACGGCAAGCACACGGTGTGTTATCTTTGCCCGAACCAACCGCCGGGATATGCATATGCACGACCTCCCAATTGCGATAAACTTTCTTTTACGCTAGTGACGAGTTGAACATGAAACGTAAAGGAGCTTCCTGACCTATAGATGCAAACGGGTGCTATTCAGAAAGGTTAAATCCTGCCACACTTGTGTAGGTTATTAAGATGAGCACGAAGAAAACACCTGTTGCCTTGAGGTGAACACCCTGAAATGTACATCTGGACCTTGGGGTCCGCATGGTACGCCCTGCTACAGGGCTAACGTTGGGTAATGTCTGGATCTGTTCAGAAGGGACTTGATCTACCTGAGTTAGGCTTCTTCTGTCTCTTGCGGTCGCCCTGTGATTCCTTCGGTGGCAAGTGGGTCCCAACATCTTCTTGTGCTCCTTGGAAAAGCGAAACCATCAGCAATTGGCCATGTACGGGAGCAAGGACACGGCACGGCGTATGTATCCCCAAAAGAAAAGATCAGCGACGCAAATCCCTTTAATAAACGATCACTGATGGACCCAGGTATGCGGCGCTGGACACCCTTTAGCATGTGAACATCGCTCTCCGGTGGTCAACATCAGCGTTAAACAGGATCATCATGGAGTATATGGTGGCGTGCACTTTGGTACGCCACACGGAGGCGCAATGTCACCTTGAGAAACTCTACTCTGCTTACTACGAGGCAGTGCGAATTTGAAAGTCATTAAAGATAGGATTGATTCAGACTTAGGCCTGACTCCTCCGCCTTGAACGAAGCTTGTATGAATGAATGCACATGTGCACTTACCTGGGCCTCTATCGTTCTATTATGCTATGTATACGCCTCGCCTTCTTGGTACGATGCCGAGCTTCCCTGGGAATTCTTGCTCATCGATGTCCCGTTTTAGCAATTCCTCCCGAGCGCATTGTCATCACACTATGCGCACAGAACTGTATCGACAACGCCTTTCCAAGTTTCAGAGTGAAGCCAGAAGTGTATTATCGGAAAATCGTGGAATCTAAAAAAAAAACATCTACATTCAAAACATGGTACATTTATACTCTTTATTCCTTCTCTACAGCCGGGGTATCAGCACGTTTCAGGAATCAGGGCACACCACACCGATCTTACTTACCATCTCAATTCACTTGTTGTTCGCCGCTAAAGTACTCAGGGAGAACATATGCCAGCTTCTTGCGATGCTCGGGATCCTGCTTCTCCGATCGCGGCATAATTGAGAAGCTCATCGAACCAACTTGTTCCAAGAGGAAGTTTTCTCCGCTGGCGCTCACAGCAGCGTGCAGCTCATCTAACACGGTCGCAGCCACGAGCCGCGACGTGTCTGCATTGGCTTTCAGCGTCTTGAACACCTCAGCAGCAGTGACCGTATCCGAGTGTGGACGCCATGCATCGTAGTCGGTGGCCGTAGCGATCAATGCGTAGCTACCAAGTCTGCCCGTCAGCGAAGCAGTCCCACACACACAAGCGACGGAAACACGAACCTAAGCTCCGCCTCACGCGCCAACTTGGCTTCAGGAAGGACGCTCATGTTGATCAGGTCCCCACCCCACTGACGATACATGATACTCTCCGCACGCGTGGAGAACTGTGGTCCTTCCATACAAACGATACACTTATCCATGAAAAGCTTCACGCCCCTTCCCTCCTGTTCGAGCGCTTTGCGCACTCTGTCCTCCAGCCACGATACCAGCTTTCCGCTAAACGGGTCGCCGAAGCTGGCATGGGCGACGATGGAGGTACCCTCGAAAAACGACGCCGCGCGCACTCCCTTCGTCCGATCGATGATCTGAGACGGCAGAGCGAAAGACCCGGGCGATATCTCTTCTCGAAGCGATCCAACGGCGGAGAAGGCGACGATCGCACGTACTCCCAGGGATTTCAGAGCTGCGATGTTAGCCCGCGCAGGAACCGCAGATGGAGAAATGGTATGTCCCGTCCCATGCCGTGCAAGGAAGGCCACTTGGATTCCAGATGGGAGTGAACAAATCGAAATGGGGGATGAAGGAAAGCCCCAAGGCTGGTAAAAAGAAAAGAAAAAAAAAAACTCCTCAGGAAAACGAAAGCAAATTCACTGTCCTTGCACATACAGTTTCAGGATTTACGTGTTTTCTGCAGATTCAGTGAGAATTTTATGCCAAAAAATGAACGATATGGCGCACAAAAACGTCAGGTTGTCCAGATGATAAAGCCCACTCCCTCCAATGATTCCGATAAGTACTGCTGAGAAATTAGTTGATATCTGGGTAGGAACAAGGACCAGAGGCATACCCTTTTCCGTCATTTTACTAGTGTATGTCCTCAAGAACTGAACCGATCGTGTCGAAGAAGCCAGAGAGAAAACGAGAGGGATGAAGAATGACGGTGAGCACGATGTCGTTTCATTGAGGAAATATGAGAAAATCAAGGACGCACGTGGGGGATACTGTTTATCTTATCAACAAATCTTAATCACGTGCCACCGGCCCGGGGGGGGGGGGGGCAAGTTCGAAAATTTGTCACTCGAAGACCGATATCGATGCTATAAGGATCACTGCGAGGAGGTCCACGTATTACTTACTCTTTATTCTATCTGCCAGTTTCCTTCTCGCGACAAGTATCTTCGTTTGCACCGTTAGCACTTGACAATCTGGCACAAATCGCACGTCTCTTCATATTTTCGGGTCGGATAAAGTGAAATGCGTCACCCATACATACCATGGAATGGATCCCAACGTTTGAAATCATATCGGTCCGCTGCTGAAGCTTTGTAAATGTTCAGTCGGGATCGTGGATAAACTTTAGAAATAGCTTGAACACGTATGAAATCGCGCGCTAAGAAATCGACACCACGATGAGATTCACTACACACACACACACACAAGGGAGTCAAAGCATCAACGTTAACCTGCAACCTACAATTCCTCATGTACGATCCCCGCAGCATCTCCACTCACACCATACACCGGAGTCGTCGACATCTCAAACACAACATGTCCCCCATGATAAACATCTTCCCACCGAATGATAGGACTCCCGCCATACAGATCCACCCCCACCCCATTCACCGCAACCGACTTCACATATATAGCCTCAGGGTCGCCACACTTCTCCACCGTCAGTGTATACGCCCCTCTCTGTGCATCATAGAAGGGCGACGACGCATCAGCCTCCAAAGAAGGCAGATGCAGCGTAAGCTTGTCAAAGAACGGTCTAACCAATCAGGGCAGAGACATGGGAAGGAAGAAGAAGAAAAAAAAAGAGTAACATACGAGCCAATGACGAATTCCTTTGAGACTGGATTCACAGGATAGAACCCCAAGGCCGCAAAGATATACCAGGCGCTCATCTGCCCACAGTCTTCATTCTACTCGAACGTCAACATCTCAACAGACAGACCACCAAGGGAAAAAAAAAAAAATGCCACGTACGCCGCTCAATCCCTGGGGGGTATCATTATAATTGGCACGCGCAGTTTCCCGGACACGATATTGCGTCAGGTCAGGCCGCCCAGCCAAAGCGTACAGGTACGGTACATGATGAGCTGGCTAACACAGAAATCAGCCTGATTCCAATCTCCAGCACGGTCCCACCTCACCTCGTTCCCAAACCAGTCCCAGCCACCATCATAGTACTCGTCCAGACTCTGAACAAACGCCTCCTTCCCGCCCCGTTTCTCTATCAGGCCGGGTATATCATGAACGACATCGAACGAGTATGCCCATTTGTCACCCTCCGTAAACCCAGAGGCCGGATCTTAATCACACGTCAGTCCATACCACCCACCGCCAGGCGAGGTCAGAAAACGAACCGGCCCAGCTGCCATCAACATTCCTGCCTTGGACAAATCCTTGCGTCATCCCTTGGAACCGAACCTTATCTTCCCCATTCACATAGTCATCAACAGAGGTGGCATCGCTGTTCCACACAAGCCAAGGCGCCTTCATTGAGCGCTCGTGTAAGAACGACGTGACGGATGGAGACTTGTTGAGATGCACGGATAAGAGCGACAGAGCATGATCATCATCTAACCAAATCAAAAATAAACGATCAATCACTTCATGAAAAATGGCAAGTGACATACATGCATAGTCCAACGTCCTGCTAACACTTTCCGAGTGGACATCATCATCGACCCACCCTTTTCTGGGATCCGCGTACGACGACGAAAGGCCTGCTCTGACCTCATAGTCAACGCCCTAATGCGAGTAAGATACCGTTCTCCCTCCCAGACAGTCGATGAATCTCACTTCTTCCCTATCCTCGTATCTGACCTCCCAATCTCTCTCCGGGGGAACAGTGGCATCCTTCCACACAGCCTCCCAAGCGAGATCAACGTCGAACCCGGACTCAAAGCCTTTCAGAATGGCTTCCGTGATCAAAGAATCCGCATGGGTCGCGATCATAATATTAGTTTCTGTACAGTGATCGTTAGCGTGAGATGCCTAATGTCATCGGGGGACCTTGCATACCAACGATGTTCTTCCACATAGGTAGCCACCCGCCCTCTTTGTAATCTTGCAGCATGCTTTGTATCATTCCGGGTATGCGTTCCGGCGCAAAGAGGAGCAAGAAACCCCATTCGGCTCGATACGTGTCCTATTTATTTTATTTTTTTAATAAGAGGGTGCCAAATGCAAGGTTGGCGACGTACCCAGATGGAGTAGCCGCTGTATGATTCCCCATTATGGACCTCGTCGTCGTACGCAGAGTAATACTTGCCATGCTCATGTTGTTCATATGGATACTGTACACCACCGTGAGCACGAACTGCAATTAACTGTGGGAAAGAACTTGGCATATGCATGCATATGTTCGAAATGGCCGTTCGTTCGTACGTTGGGAAGCAGCCAATTGGATCTGACCTCCCAAGATATACGTGCGGGTATTTTGAACATACCCAATGAGTACACCAAGCTATGCCCACGGTAAGGAGACCAAAACACACATACTTGAAGGGCGTGGAAGACACCCGTCATCAAAACCCGTCTGTCTTCCAACTTGCCGCCTTCCACCTCCACGAGGTTCAGTTTCTCCTCCCACGCCGCTCTGGTTTTCTGCTCCGTCGCCTCCAAAGGGGTCCCATCTGGCACTTCATTGTCCAGGTTGACAAGGGCTTGCTCCATCGAGATGAACGAAACCGCCACTCGCACGTCAACAACCAGCTCCTCCTGATCGCTTGGATACTCAAATCGAGCGTAAGCACCGATTTCCTCTCCAAGTCCCTCAAGTGCCCTGTCTCTCTGCTCTGCGCCCTGCGTCACACCGTAGCCGTCAAATGCCCGGTCAAAGGCTGCGCAGAACCAGCCCTTGAATCCACCGTGTCCTCCCCCATCTTTCGGTTTGTTTTCGACATTTTGCGCAATGGAGATCGGGGCGATCACCCAGTCCTGCATCTCAGAATTGTATCCACAAATCCGATTTTGCTCAGGGAATACACGCGTCCAGCCTTCGGGATACGAGATATTGAAATGAGAAGCGGTCGGGGTGGAATGAAAGAGCTCGGAGGGACGTGAAGATTGAAGAAGGACATACGGATGCCACGCAGAGTCCGTCTTGAACGTGAACCGTAGATGTCCCACCCTAGATGCTACTAAAAGTTAGTCCAGACTGAGAAAACAGGAAAATTATCTTACTCGCCGTCATCGCAACACCAATGCTACCGCCACCGCCGTCGTCGTCGTCATCCGTCTCCAGCTCGACCTCGTACAAACTGACACCAAACGTCTCACTTCCATTTCTTCTCCGTAACCCTCGCTCCTCGAAACGCGCCTTCACCTCTCCGTCCGCACTGGAACTCAGCCCCGGCACGACCCCAATCATCCCGCTTTCTCCCATCCAGATAGCAGGCTGGTGCGTCCCAATGAAGCCATGGATAACGTCCGAGTCGCTGTAGTTATACGGTATCCTCGACACGTAGTTTTGGTGTGTCTGAGCGACCCAGCGCGTCATCCCGAACGGCGGTGCGACCGAAGGTATCATTCCGCCAGCATAATTAGGCTCCGGACCTGTATTTCCGATAATAGGATTGACAAGGTCAATATTCGAGGTCGTAGCCGTTAATACTAATGATAAAAGCGCTGTTGGGAGGAGAATTTTCATCGTTGTGGGTGGTCGAGAGCATCGGTGACCCCGTGACCTCGACCCAGGGCGGAACTTCGGCCCGTTGATCGATTATCACGACTTATTCGGACATGGCAGGTGGCAATTGCTTCACGCGACGCGTTTCTGCACCACCACCCCCCACACAGCGCAACAATTACAAAACGAGCTCAAAGGAGCGCTGAAATACTCACGATGAGCAGAACGATATTTCTAACGATTGCTCGCGCGTACAAGGCACCAGCATGCCTCCTGGCAGTCCTATCGTACTGCCAGACACTTACGCGATTCGTTGCAAAACCGATATACGTGAAGCTGTCGATAAACACAAGCTTCTATCCGCTCTATGGTTCGTAAAATATCTCCTTTCCCACCGTAGATGCGAGGGAGGACCCTATTCAAATAACGTTCGAAGAGACAGCTGCAGCTGTGCTCGTCAGCTCCTTCGAAGTTGAGCGGAAATGGTAATAAATGCTGATTATATGCATCCGCCAGACAGATTTATGCCATACAATATGAACCTTTAACGCGGAGGAGCAGAGCTACCGAACTTCGAAGACGTTTCACCTCCTCGAGGCCCATTTTTCATCACCCATTCAGCAAAGTCTTACCAGGAAAAAAAAATTCATCAATTCCAGATAGCCTACACTCGCGGAGACCGATGACTCCCAGTTGGAGCGCATCGCAGTAAGCATCCGTTGTGCTCTTAAATGCATCCGCTCTATGACAGCTGTCCTATTGATTAGATTCAAGCGTCATTTTGGACTTCGTTCATATCTTGGCCCAGGCATCCTTGATATCGGTCTTTTGCACTCAAAAGAAGAAGTCGAACTGAATGGGCACGCACCGAAATTTTCAAACTTAAAAGCTCGATTGTATCGACCAGGGTCGGTCTGGTCTTGAGTGCGAACGGCGAACAACACCGCGTGCAAGATTGTCATCATCATATGAATAGCATGCGATTCTCACGTGCCTCGTGGCACAATTGTATCTACTCGATTGTGGGAGTGCATCCCAAGACGATTTGCCTCAGGAAGGTCCATAACGACATTTCAAGAAGGGTTATCTCTATGTCAGCATTGCGGTCAAAGACCCTTGTCACAATCCGTTTTGCCCGGTACAAGGGGACAAAAGTCTAGCACTCGACGCCATGCTCCAACGCCGCCGAAATAGGATGCACTCGTGAATGATGATGAAGACCCAGTTTCGTCATCGGATGAGAAGTAGGGAGTTAAGAGGCACCGTGTCCGCATTCTCATCCTTGAATATCTATGGAATCTATAGGTCAAAACGTTTCGTCTCACCGCAAACACTTTGGCGGAGGCATTTACTCCGAAAAGGCTACGTAGGACCGGCTTTGAAGATCCTGGAGTTTTCCTTCCGTGCCTCATGCACCGCGCTGTAAACGTAAGTTACGCCGTTCTATTCCGGTTACAGATATTCATGTATTTCTATCACAAAGTACTTGGAGCCTGATGCCTAAGCAAGTTCTTCATCCCCCTCCGTACCCGGTAGCCTATTCAAGCAAGATAGCGGAGCGCTGATGCTATTATAATCAGAGTTGTGGGTTTCGAAAGGCGGGGCGCTGCTGTCGGAACAGCCGACGGGACAAGGACGGGAAGCTCAGCGATGAGTCTCATCCATCTATCGCTTCTAGCGTGTGGAAGCGATGCTCATCCAACACTCCATCTTCGAAGTATTGAGTTCATGGCGATGTTAACTGATTGAGATTACTGTTGGCTTAATTGATTGCCTCCGAATATCGCACAACCGAGAGCAAGCTCCGACGCTACATGGAAGGACGGTCCGTCCTTGTCCCGTGCTCTGATATATCTGAAACTAGGGTGAAACGTTGTCCTGCTCTCGGTTCCTCCTCCACACAGCACAGGTTTCCAATCGATATCGCGATCGTGATTATCTCGCCAGCTGCAGCGAAATATCTCCTTGTTCTACGGTTAAACAGACCTGACTTTGCGCGCTGATTTTTTTTTTCTCACTTTCGCATTGTAAATCGCCGGGACCGGTAACAGCTTACCCGGCCTGGAACGGGCAGCGGCATTATCCGAACAAACGTGTTCCTTATCTTCGAACTTGAATGAGCTTCCAGGCCGCTTCGACGTCCGACCCCGTTTTGCTAATTAATGCACATTGATTGGTCAGGTGATTCGGTACGTACCTTTAGCGTACCTGATAAAGCGGAATCTGACACCGCCTACAAGGTTTCTGACAGATGGGTAAATCTCCATACAGGAACGTACGGCCCTGAACCCTCCTTTTCTCCCCTGGAAATCTCAACAATCTCTATGAATCTTTCGCCATTTTCCAGCCATTTCCAGCCATCTTTCTACCGAACGAGAACGGAAACGATCCGAGCGAGCGTTAACCGGGTCCAATGAAAGCCGGAACCTTCTCTACTCTATGAATCTGATCAGTGCTAATCATGACATAGATCGCTATTATTATAGGCCCGGCGATTGAATATCGCGTGTATCGCTTTTGTATAAAGAGGGGGGGCGCACCCGCTAGTAAATTTTCCAGTTTTCCCCCTTCCCCCTCAACGTCAACTTCGAGGCTAACATGTCTGATACCAAAACCTATCCCAATGAGAAGGGCATCAAGTGCCCAGTCACTGGGCACGACTATCGTGCACCTCAACCCGGTGATTCTCGTTCAGTATGCCCTGCACTCAATACCATGGCGAACCACGGATACTTGTCGGTTTTTTTTCTGTTTTTATGTTCCATCGCTCCATTTTGCTTATCGGCTCGTAGACCGCGTAACGGAAAGAGTATTTCTATCCCAAGACTCGTATCGGGCCTTAAAGTATGCTATGGACTGTCTACGGGACTCGCTGCTTTCCTTACGATCGGCGGCTTCCTTTGGATCGGCAAGTTGTTCTCTATCGACCTGTACGATATTGGTCGGCACGGACGAGTCGAACACAACGCGTCGCTCGTCCACGCAGATACTCCCGAAGGAGACATATACGCTCCCATAAAGATACATGAAGACTGGGTAGAAGAGGTCGTCGGGGATATCCAACCCTGTGCGCTGGAATGCCGGCAGGAGTCCCTGGTCGACGCGGAGGATGTGGCGCGGATGCGTGTTCGGAGGGAGAAAACTTCACCCGTCATGGACTCGGTGCATGCCGAGGTGGCGCGGGGGGAGATGTCGCTTATACTTGGGATATGGGAGAGGAAGGGCGAGACCAAGACGGGTATGCCGCTTCCGTGGCTTTTGGATTGGCTGAGCAAGGAGAAACTCCCGGAGGGATGGGCACCTGATCATACGCAGACTTTGTCGGATACCGTGGCGCGGAGTAAGACTATTCGATTAGGGATGGAGAAGATCAGGTCGGGGAGTAAGGTATAGCGGTGAGAGCGATTCGATTCGTTATCTTGTTGCTGCAGACGCTCATTTTGCTGCCTTGCAGATTGGTTTTAATGTGTATTATTATTGTAAAGGCAGCTGTTCGATATTGTACATTATTAATCTACCGTTTACTTTGAATGATTACTCAAGTTCACGATGTTACGGCTTCCACGATGCGCAGCGCAGCGCCGTAGCCAAGCCAACCTCGCGTACCTGGCGCAAATTCCATCGACCGAATCTCCACCAGCTGTACGGCTCGCTTTCACCGACTCTAGAGCTCTCGTGGGCTGTCTTTTAATGCCGGTCTACGGAGACTAAGCGCGCAAGATGAGGAAAGTACGGAGATATGGGCGTATTGCACAGTGCAACTTGACTGTGCATCGGGCCAGCACACAAAGTAAGCATTTATGACAAACTTGGGAACCCGTCCGATTCCAGCGCTTGAGTGACTGAAGGGTTACTAGTGTTCTTTTGGTCTTTGTGTTGCCATACTGGGGAGTTGGGGCCTTCGCTCGACGGAACTGAACATTTAATTGCATCTTCATTTAACCTGTCATTGTCATTGACAAACGACATGACGCGGTGCCTGTGCTCTTATGTTGTTCCTAGATATAACTGGTCTTTGTGCTCATTGACATTAATGCGTCCTTGGTCGATTGGTCGATGGCTGGAAAAGCACTACATATGTTCCCTAGTGAATAAATTGGCTGATAGAATTTGGAGCTCATCAGAGATGTAACAGAGGAGCGCTGTGCACATCTTGATGGACCCAGTCCAACCAAGACGCCTTCATCGTCTCTTCTCGTACGCACGACGACCGCGTGGAGAACAAAGTCTGATTGTCCTGTGCGCACAGGTTCGTAGCGTCTGTTCTGTTCTGTTGACCGAATTGGACCGTCATTCACTATTATAAGCACTAAGCTGCTGTGCTGAATAGATTCGGACTTTGAGGCTCGTTCCCGCTGCGTCAAGTGCCCGTTGCTACCCGACAGCATGAGACAATATCATTGCTGTTCAACTTCCTGACAGGTGCTACTTCCTACCCCTTTCTCTCTTCACAGATCGGATCATCGTTCTCTCACCTTTCAAGTTACCTTTTCTTTCATCATCATCATCATCAAGAAAGGAGGGGACTGACTTGTTGGGCAAGGCACATGGAGATCGGAGATCGGGCCGTGAGTCCCTTGCTTTCAACTATCACAGCCAAGTCCTAACGAAACGGTCCCCCCCAAAAGTGACAATGATCCATCCACCGTTGTTGTTCTCCGTTGTTGTTCTCATCCTTGTCCTTCTTACTCTATATATATCCCCAACTCCCACTCACACAGGCGGCCTTCTTCAACCGCTTGTCGATCGAATGATATCCTCACAGAATGGGGGGGGGGGGTATTACTGAACAGACCGATCGATCTGATGATATGCGTACCTGGGCTCGAACTCGGCGCGCCTGGACCGAAGATTGATTTTAGAGTTGAACTTATTTCTTTTTGCATTTCCCATCTCTGATGTAAACCTTCCACTCTACAGCCCGGACGGTTCGTGAACAACAACCAGTGAATACCTTAGGAGGGACTCAGGAGAAGCATCATCGACAAAGGCACTACTATCCTGAACATTACACAGTTTCGCATGCTCGCCGTCGTTCGCCATGCCATCAGCTCTCCATGAGTACCCGCTTCGGCAACGGACCCCGTCCTTCGTACACCTGAGAAAGGAAAATCAGCGACCCGCCATCAGTTCTTAAATGCCAGATTGAGGAAGGCCTACACAATGAGATCAGCATGCCCCAAACAGATGCGTACCGAAGGCCATACATAGTCCTGCCCCCTGCGCGATGGTTTTTGAGATTTTCGAAACAATGTCCGCTTCAGCCTCAGGATCCATCGCAGAACTCGGCTCGGCTCGTCCACTGCAACGAACGAACTTTAGTGCGTTCGATCTAAAGCGCATGAACGTCCAGTGATGCCCTCAGTAAACGGTGGAAGCCGGCATCATAAACTTACGCGACCACCCCACCCGCTGCTTCTCACCACCAGAGAGCTCGCTATTTTTAATCGAGTCTCTCAAGCTCAATTTTTCAGCGGGTAATCGTCTTCGGGCAGGGACAATGAACCGCAATGTGCTCTCTTGTACCAACGTCAAGACTGTGTCTTTCCTCCCTTCTCCAGCTTGTCCAGACATGGTGTAGCTCCGCCGCCTTTGCAATCTTGGCGGCGTCAGATATGTGCTCGACATAGCCCAGGACCGATGTTCTTATAGGAAAGACCGTATGATCCCGCGTAAGCGTAGCTATCGCCCCCCGTCAAAGATCAGCAGCCATGCGATAATCCGACACGGGCAAGCCGTCGACAAGAATGACGGGTCATAAATATATACGCGTGAGGATCTTGATGATGGGTGGATTTTCCACTGCCATTAGCACACCCACACCCACAAATGACGAACCAGTTGAACCTGATTTGATAGTCAAGGACAGATTGGAGAGTGAGACATGGAGAATTTAGGGGGTCCAGAATCGCACAGAATGTGGAATATATCTGGGGAGAGCACTTGTGCTTGTTCAGGATAACCTATCTCGCAAACGTCGGTCGTCACGTACGGTCGGTTGGAAAAAACACCTAATAGTTCCTTGACGATGTTACGAGGCGGGCGAGGTTAAGCTCACCCGTTTAAAGTAGTGAGCATTCAGCCCAAATCCCCTAGTCGCTCAAGCGAATTCTTGTATTCGAGGGGATGGAGCTCATGTGAGAATCGTACGGGCAAGTTACATATAGTTTGCTAAACCTCCTCCGACGATCTCAGACCGATAACTTTACTTTCTTCGGACATGGTGCGCAACGCAAAAAGGCACTTATAAGGCTCATTAATCTGTGTAAGCAATATCATCATCATCACAGAATCCTTCGGACCAGAGAACAAGGGCCTACGTCCTCTGTGCCACATCGCGTTCCGCGGTCGATTGGCCTGGAAAAGCACATCAGAGCAAAGATGCGCCAAGTTTTTAGTGCTAGAGGAGGAGCCAACAACCACAAACTGACTCCCAGCTCTTACTGTCAGCGAAACGATCTTGGTTCTAACCAGCAACCGTCAATCAATAATCAGGAAACATGTCTCCCCGGAAAACCCTTCGCACCTTGGAGAAGTAAGACCATCAGTGCGTACTTAACCGAGCTGAAGGGGGAATTTTTCGAATCATTCAAAGTAACACAAGACACAAGAGGAGCCAAATTCCTGCCTTGCATCAGGTACAGACAACGAAGAACGCCACATAGCCCGTGACGAGATCATGTAAGATCAAGCGGACAAGAAGCGCTTGCTTGAAAAATGGGCAGGAACATTGGGGTCTTCCTTCACGCAAGCCTTTATCACAACGTCAGTATATAATATCCCCAAGGGTATCAGCCTAGGAACAAATATCACAGTCTTTCAAAAGCCTGCTTGACAAGATAAAAGCAGAATCGCAGTCTCTATCCTGGCCAACACGAACAGCGGGGTCCAAAGCGTACAAGAGTCGTTTCATCACCGGCCATGGCTCTTACTCACATCCATCCAGTATCGAAAGGCATTCCATTCCGCTCGCTCGTATCATTCTCGAACCATCCAAATCTCTCTTTTCGAACCTCTCTAGCTGGTGGGGGGGGGAAGGGTCTTTCCGTGCCCTTCTTCATCTTCATTCCGAGAAAGTCGGGAAGAGGGCTCGAGCCACTGAAGTCCCATTCAAAGGCATTTTTACAATATCGAATTGTCGGGCTGGAAAAAAAAAAGATACAAGGAAGCGGAATCATACTCAAGGACGCAGGTCGAAAATACCCAGACCAAGGCTGCTGGAGCCGGGGAAATCCAAGAGAACGAATCCGAGTCGGGTGGGCGGGGCGCTTATTTTGTTGGACTCCGACTGAACAGCCTAGCTGCCTTACAAGGACCGTAACTGAGAACCCCGTAACAAGGAACCTATATCATGAAATGATTGGCCGGCTGCTATTCGGGGTGCCTATTCATTGTCGACAACTGCGGAAGAGGGCGTCGCGTTTTCGACTACGGCAGCTCCGGCCCGAATACCCGATCGCATTATTTTCTCTTCTAGCCGCTTAAATTTACCTCAGTACCAACGAGGGTTGCATATAGGACAATGACCGCACCCCAAGAGGTACGATCTCAAAGGCACGATCCATCGCCCAAAGCTTCATTACTCTCAGCGCCAATCAACGCTGATGCTTTACCCTACCCTACCCTACTAGGCTGACTATCTACGATGGAACGGATGCGAGTTACAAACGAGTGAATACACGGAGTTACATAAATGGTCCTAAAGGCTGTCCAAATTGAACGGCGGTTATGGGTTATGGTACAGTACACATGAGAGGAGGAGGAGGGGGAAGGAAGGGGATATAAAGTAACCTTGCAATTAAAAAAAAAAAAAAGAAAACCGCTCATACAAACTGTTTACTCACATAAAACACCCTCAACACCGCGATGCGCTTCTGCTCCTCCTCGACCCACCTCACCTGCACCTCCGACTTATACTTCTGCCGTATCTCATGACGCACACTCTTAACTGTCATCCTGAAAGCAGACGAGACGGGCCGGTGGTCTGAAACGTTCGCCTCGTACCGCCGATAATGCAGTTGTTCCACTCTCGACGGAACCCTGGAGCGCCACAGAACACGGTCGCACCACGCCGGCGAACGACGTTTCTCAGACGAGTCGTACTCATTTGACCGAGGATCATACTTGTATGTCGGGGGGAACGTAAGCGGCCCCTCCGAGAACCCTCGCAGACGACATCCACGATTATACTTGATCTCCTTCAATAGCTGATCATGAGAAAGCATCGACTCCCATTCATTGGCGCGAACAGCTGCGACGATGGCATCCCGCCGCTGGTCGATACGATAATTCATATCACCATTGATCTACAAAGGGGGTATAAATTGATAGAACAATGTTGAGGCTTAGCTTGAAACTTACGAAAACCATTTCATGATCTCTAACAGCTGATCCATCACCACCACCAACGAAAGGAACGGATTCTGGAGACATTGGGAATATAGTTTTCTCTTCAAGGATACTAGCAATGTCGGCATTGCGCGTTCGGACTTTGTTCTGACCAGCGCCCAGATGGCAGTTAATGAAGCACATTGAAGAGTCTTCGATGATGAAGCGAGCAACAATACCGCCCTGCAAGGCACAGGATAAACATCTGCAACACCTAAACATCGAAACAGACGACAAAGGCATACCTTATTACCATATCGGCCCCCCATGCCTCTTTTAATAGTTGAAATAGCCATATCCCTCAAGGTCACCCTCTCCGCGTTCTTCACAAAGATGCACGTAAATAGACCCACGAGGCTCTCCGTGTGCACGACCGTATACGGACACTCCGGTGGCATCGCCAGCCTCACGGCCAACAAAAGCCTGTCAAACCACCTCTTATACGCCCCAGTAACCTTCTCAGAAAGCCCCGGTAGCACACCCTCCTCGTGCTTCTTCCCACCACCCGTCAGCAACACATTCTTCGCCGCCATTCTCCTACTTTCCAAATCTATCACCTCCTGGAACCCAAACGAGATGATGTCCGGGCTATCAACGCTCGTCAAGACGTCGTGCAAGAAGTTGATGTTGGCAGGGTCGCCGGTCAGAGAGTCTGGCTTGGCAGCGTCACAGTTCCATGACACGAGAAGAACTGTGAGATCTCGGAACTGGCTGTACGATTGTTCGTGCTTCATCAGTTCGTGATCTGCAGGGTTCACGAAGATCAATGTGGATCAAAATCAAAGAAGGCGGAAGAACCGACCTATCCAATCATAGGAAAGCAATCCATCCCAGAGCCTCAGCGCTTCATCCCTGCTCACGCTCAGCACACAGAGCCTCCCCGTACACTCCAGTCCAAGCGGATCAACCTGCAGCTTCATTACAGGCATTCCCGGGTTCGGATTCCAGCAGTTGGTCGCGACCCACGGCCTCGGAACCACGTCGTACGCCGATATCGTTCCACCCCTGCCCCCCGCCCATAGTCTATCATTCACACCCTCAAGGCACAGAATATCTGACGTCGATATCTTCATTACCTCCACACACTTGGGATACCGGTCCTCCGTATTCAGAGCCCAAATGGTGATGTACCCCCCCTGGTGCCCAACATACGCACGTTCTGGATCTGACGGCAGAACAGCAGCACATGTCACAGGTCCAACATGCTCACTCGGCAATACTGTCCGTCCCACGCACCCTGGCGAAAAAATATCATAAATCCGTATAATGGGCGTCTTTGCAGGGGTTTTTGCTCCCGCCTTGTCCGACCTCGATGCTGTCCAGAGCATTCCTCCCAGTAACTTTGCAAAATCTACCTTTTCCGTTATTCTCACCACCCGCGGTTGGGTATGCGATAACCTGATGTCTTCGTCTTCAGAGTCGGGGGTAAAGACCAGGACCTTTCCAGCTTCATCTACAGATACCATTGAGTGTCCGTGGCGAAAGAAATGGGCTACGCCATAAAGGTGGGCGGAGAGCTTCACGCCACTGAATTGACCGCTCTTAATATCCACCTCAAATATGTGCCCCTCTTTCGTCCCCACCCATGCGTATCGTCCTTTGTTATGCCGCTCCTTCGCAGACCGAAACTCGACGCTCGTAATTGTAACACCCTTAACACCAACTTCCTTCGAATCAAGCACCCACAAAGGGGTATCTGTCACAGCAAGGTCGTATAACCTTATCTTGTGGCTATGTCCAATAACAACACGCGTCCCAGACATGCGTACATGGCCGGTGTACAACTCGACAGTGATTTTGGTATGTATTTTATATCCTTCGTGGACGTCATGCATGAATGGAGGCCTCCGAGAGGACTGACTACTGTCGGGAAGCATATCCACCCCAGTGCCCTTCAGATCCTCATCATCCGAATCGTCATCGGAAGAGTCAGAAGGTACGGCACGGCGAGCAGGTGGTAGTTTATCGCCTAAAGCGATGGTCCGGGTCGGAGGAGGCAGAAGCCTGCTAGCGCCCAGCACTCGCCGTTCCGTATTGGATTGAGGATTGGGGGCTAAATCAGACTGTACAGTGGGGGGTGGGGGGGTGACACGAGCACGATTAGGAAGACGTGGTGGAAGGGTCGGAGGATTGCAATCGATTCCCACGGGGCTAATGGCTGCGTTGGGCCGTGAAGGTAAAGGGGGTGGTGTTTCTGCAGTTGGAGTGTACGGCAGCGCAGAGGCTCTGTGCCTCGGTGGTGGTCGAGGTGGCGGCGGGTGGCGGTTAGCCTTGGGAAGAGGAGCGGAATGCTGACTCAGTTCGCTATCAGGCGAGGAAAGACTGGACGAGCTGGAGCGCGGGCTCAGGTCGATGAGGGGATCTTCATTGCTGGTAAAAGGCGGATCTGGGTGTGACCGTATTTTATAAGGAACATGAGGCTTTGGATGGGGCACAATATGCGATTCTGAAGCTCTCGAGAAATGTCCTTTGGAATCGATATTCCTACGCAGAACGGACACAATAAGACAAGGATCCATGAGGAAACAGTAAGGAGACGCACGAGAACTTGGAACGCAGCGATGAAATGCTCGTGACTGCCGGTGTCCCATCACTTTCGCCCTCCGCATGTTTGTCAGCGTCGACTAAAGATATAGATGGGGTGCGGGGGTGCCCCGCGTTCACCACGTTATTTGCCGGTGCAAGTGAAGGTATAGGCAGTGAAGGTATAGGCACGGGGCGTAGCAGTGGTGATGGATTTGGTGATGGCGTGTTGATCATGAGTCCTCTAGAAGGCGGGGGTGGGGGTGGTCGCTTCCTGAGGTCCGACGACGACGATGAAGCCCGCAAATGTTGTATTTCGTCCTGGACTTCATGAGTATACGAACCGGATGTCGTCCTCTGCCTCGGACTGCCTGGCTCCAACAACGAACTGTTCCCGTTCCTGCTCGGTGACCGCCTAATCCCATTCTGCGCGGTCGCCGACGTCGCGACGGCGAGCTGCTCAAACTTGGAGCGCAAGTTCTTCACCGCCGGCTGAGGCATCGTTTCTATTTCGTCATTCTGCATCCTTCGACTGTCGCCGCAGCGGTGAACAGCGTCGATGTTGGCCTCAGGTATCTCGGCGCCGTTATGGAGGAGAATTAAGGAATAAAAGTAGGAGATGCCGTAATGACGTGGTGGTTGATGGTCAAGAGGGAAGTGGCCTGATTCGCGGTCACGGTTTCTTGAATTCGAACGGCCATCAACGTCACCTCAATATTTTCCATTTCCCTCGTTGTGCAGCAAATTCAGTTTTTATATCGTTGACATTGCCTCGAGGCTTCCGGCCGAATATTCCTGGGCGTTACAAAGGCGATCATTTGCGACATCTCGCAGCCGCAAATTATCCTTGGCACTGGGTTAGGTAGCCGACTCGTGGCACCAGATTCCCCTCATTGCCTCTAAGTGCGATAATGGGGCTTTTGAAGGCGTTAATGACAGCGCTTATTGGTAGAAGTGGTGCCCAGGATCTGATTAATTTTCTTATTGTCTTAAGCTCGCTGGTAATATCCCTGGATGGTGGGTGTCCCACACTTTGAGGACGTATTGGCGGTTTGTTGCTTGATTCCGTCCAGTCTTTTCAACAAGCTTTTCCTGCGATCAGCAAAGGTAGCCAGCCCCATGCGACTGTGACCCGCTGGATTATCAAGTGTCCTGATCTTTCGGAGGAACGGATATTTTGATGGCACCGTCTTTTAAGTACAGGCTTGTCTGATTCTCCGCCACCTTATTGCCGAAAATCACGTTGTTAGCGGCAGTGAGGCCCCAGTGAGTTCGGTTTTCTGGCAGAGGAGTCTTTTCTATTTTATCCCTTGGGCTGGTACGTATATATCATCCCTGTAGTATGGAAGCGCCATCAGCTAATAGAACACCTACCTTGTTGCAGTCATGCCGTCTGGTATAGCCTTGTTTTTCTACAACAACTTGTCTGTATAGCGTCTTCAGAGGTCGACGCTGTCATCAATATCTATCCCGTGCAGCGTGTAGCTGACACCAATAGCGTTGTGTCGGCCATGGCTAGATGGCTGAAAGTATATGGACCATCTTTAGCTTAAGCCGGCATTTCAATTGACAGAAGCACAATCAACACGTTATACCGCCGCTTGTCTTCTGCCAGGCCCTTTCCCAACTGTTGGACGGGCCACAGACTTCTTATTTCTACTGTAACCTCCCGATGTGGATATGAAAATGATGCTGCCTACTAATAATTGTTGCCAACTGCACAGCATCCAAGTACAGCGGATTGCCGCCCAGATATCGGAGCTGATTGTTATCGGTCTCGCAGTGTTTGGGCGTTAATTTGACGTGTGCCCTTCCTCTTTCCTCAGCTGTATCTGACGATTGACAACTCCAACGGGTCCAGCTCACTTCTATCCTTTGGTTACCACGGTATAACTCAATTTCCTTGCAACATGCCTGTATTTTGGGATTTCTTCGGCGCATTTCCCAATCTTCGTTTCCATCCTTGGGCGTTCAGAGACTTTTTCAAGTCTTTTCTTTCTTCGCATCTGTCACGGATGGTCAGAACAAAGACGCCTCAGCCGAATCCAGTCCAAGTGGAGACGATACAATTGGGAGTCTGGAAGGTTCTCCTGGCAAAGAATGCTGTGAACTCTCTGGATTTCTCGAAGCAGTGGAATAGTCTCACCTCGTCATTTCCTTTTCTCAAACGCCTTATCGTCGACATGTATACTCTCGATCCGTGGCTGTCAGTCTTATACCTCCTAAGCAGGATGTGGTGGGGTATGGAATCGGCTGTGTCTCTGTATCTCTCGAGTCATCTCTTGAAAACAGTAAGTCTTGCGTACAGATGTATATCAAGCATGATGCTTATACGAAAATTTAGATTGAAGCCGGCTTACGCGAGGGAAAGCCCAACCCCAGCGCTATACTGAATGCGTTGCTAACTCAGGTGGTCGTTGTCATCGCTTCCGTCACGGTGAGATGGACAATGTGAGCATGCGTGTCAGTCCGTTTTGATTCGTGCTGTTACTGATGCGTCCTTGACATTCCAGTGACAAAATTGTGCCCCGCCTCAAGTCCAAAGTCGAAAATCATTTCAAGTTATACTTGTTGCAAGGCAAGAAACTAAGTCGTTTTGTAGCATTTTGAATAGATATCTCATGTAATGATTTAGCTCGACTCAGTACTGATGTACCCACCTCACAAGGTACTCTTTACTCTCTCTACAGACGTGGGGGATTTTTCTCATGGTTTCTTTACTAGAATCAGGACAGCACGTTTCAGCACAGTCAGCTTGGCGAAGCGTGTCGGGGATCGTGAATCTTGCCTCAGAAGTAGTAGGCGCGGCAGGTAAATTGGTGGTCATCGTAGAATCCTCTCGGGCTTCGGGTTCACCTCTTTTTGCTGCTATGTGCATCGCCAAGCCCTTGATATTAAGCTTTTCTTCAAAGCCTTTCCACACGCTACGTACGTCCCTTCTGATATAATATCGGAGGTCTCCAATTAAGAAGTGATAATCAGCGTGTCTTGTGTATACCGACAACGAATATCGTCAGCGTACGCAATCACTGCATAGCATGTCCGCGGCGAAATATCGATCCGAGATCATCAGCGGAGACCTAGTGAACTACATCATCAGTGGTGAGACCCTATGCATCTTCTGCGTATAGTTAAATGACATGCACTTGTAGAATATAAGAAGGCTATGGCCTCTATGGCATCTCTTTCTGATGAAGAAGTCTCAATGCAGTATAGAACATCGTCCGCATCTCTGATGTATAGCATCTTCTACCAACTCCTGGGTGAATTTCCACTGGTGCGTTCGTTTGAAGACTTTGGGATATACGTTAAGCTCAAATTGCTAACACACAGATATATTTCTCAGCAGTAGCCGTTTTAAATCCTACAAGATTCTCGATGTCTTCCATCGCCATAATGCAACAGACGTCGCAAAACTTGGAATGGTCAATCAATTGCATTATATATCATGCCATGTATTTCCATGAACAGTGCCAGACTTTGCGTGGCATATACGAAGCCGGTGAGGTTAAAAACCTGCTTCGAGACGGCTCCACGCGATATCCCCAGTCGGACGAAGAAAAGGCCAAGGGAATGTCCTTCGAGATCCGGTAAGTTGCGTTAATGATATCTGCTGCTTCTCCCCTTCTGATTTAAGTGTACACAGAGACCTGTCCTTCTCATACCCCGGCAGCCAAAATATCAAACCGGCAATCTCGAACATTTCCCTATCCATTAAACCAGGCCAACTCGTCGTCATCGTTGGAGGCAACGGCAGCGGAAAGTCTACCATCATCAAGCTCCTCACACGCATGTACGACCCGTCATCCCCTCCTGAGTCCATCCTCGTCGACGGCTTGCCCTTGTCGCATTACCGCATGTCTGACCTTCGCCAGGCTACGGCGACGCTGACACAGGACCACACCATTTTCCCTCTGTCTCTCGGAGAAAATATAGGGATGGGATATGTCCAGCATGTATCAAATGACTCAATGATTGACCGTGCGGCGGAGATGGGGGGCGCGACGGATCTTCTTGATAAACTGGAAAAGGGAAAGGACACGGTGCTACCTTCTAGACATGAGGCGCATGGCCTTAATCTTCCAGACGGGGAGGATCACCCTTTACGCATCCTTATGAAACAGCTGCAAAAGCCCATCGAGCTTTCTGGAGGCGAGAAACAGCGAGTTGTCGCGTATGCTCTTGTTTGTTAATCGGTCCGCGGGGTTCGCTGATTTGCGAACTTTTTTGCCCTCTTTAATAGATCTCGGACTTTTATGCGTTTCAAGTCTGGAACTGTGAAATTTGTTGCCGTCGACGAACCCAGTTCTGCACTGGATGCTGAGGGTGAGGCATTACTTTTCGGTAATCTTTTACAGGCTCGGGAAGGAAAAACGATGATCTTTGTTACACATCGGTTCGGACATTTGACGAAGCACGCGGATCTCATCGTGTGAGCGTCTCGTTATTTAATATTTAGCGATTTGGACGTCTGACAAGGATGACGTTTGTAGATGTATGAAGGACGGAACCATCGCTGAAGCTAGCACCCACGCAAACTTGATGCAATTAGATGGAGAATATGCAAAATTGTACAATATCCAGGCGGGCCCTTTTGTGGATATCTGAACTGGATAATTAATATTACATAACGCCAATACTAGATGAATGCCCAGAATGCCTCATAACCGTTGGCCCAGTTCTAGCTACGTCTTGGCAACAATTCTCTGCGCTGCTGACAGAAATATCCTTGGACAACCTGGTCAAGAAAATCGGAAGAACGCAGCAACAGTTTCACAGGAGAGGCAGCCGAAGTAAGGAGGTCGGTAGACCTTACTTATATCCTTTGTTCGTAAGCGCGCTGAGATGAGGCCTGTTCACATATCACTAAATCATCTTTCATTCACAACAAGAGTAGTGTTTGGAATTCTAACTAACCAGAGATGAATAAACTTAAGTAAATTCTCCATGGGCCGTAGCAAACAGAAGACGCGCGAATAAAGCACGTGAACCCTTTTCGTCTCTCTCTGCAAGCCTTTGCCAAGGAGAACTGGACACGTCGTTTACAGCACAGATCCTCTCCCTAGATACCCGAAAATATTACCGCCTAAAATAATAAAGTTAACCCTCTACGTTCCGGAGAGGAAAGAAATACTCGCCAAAAATTATGGCTACCTTCGTGATTTCCCTTTCACAAGTGTGAATCCATCTTCGTCAATCTCAGGTTCCTCCTTCCGTCGATGGTTGAGCAACTGTGGCACGGGTTCATCATCCATTTCCTCCTCTTCGCCGGATTCGTCACTGCCATCATCATCATCATCCTCCCACTCCTCCTCATCGTCTCCAGAAGTCTGGGGAACATCCATTTTCCTCCCCTTCAATTTCTCCGCCGCCTCCTCAAATTTCCGCACCAAGGCATCTTGACCAGCGTGGCACTGTTCCCACAGCTGCACGATATCCACAGCAACCGGCTCAGCGCTTCCGTCTTCTACTTGCGTTACGAACTCGTCTTCCATGACCTGAAGCAGAATTTCCTCTACGTATTGGTCATCGGGAGGGGGCGATTGTTCTTCGAAAGCATCAACGATGACAGACGCCAGCCAGGTCCGTTTTTCGGAATTATTGGGACCGCCCCAGTTTTCCTGGACGGCCAGACGCAATATCGGCCATATCAGGAGACGTGCGATTACTCCGCGAGCGAACAAGACAGACGTCGGAGGAGGGGGCGCCTTTGTCGCGTTCATTTTTTTTTTTTGAGATGACGTTCCGAAAGCAGGAAGAAAAATTTCAGTTGTCGCTTGTTTGTCTGGACGATCGTTCTGGGAAAAGCGTTCATTTCCTTTCCTGGGCGGACTGTTGCTGATTGGGGACGTTGTGTGCCGGTATACTACAACCACCCAGCAACAACCTTCCAGGAATTTTTTTCTTCCACCCCCGATGCCGAGTGGAAATTCTCGGAAAAAACTTGTTGCGACGAGTCACTACTTTCGTGTTCTGGTCGATGCTTAATTTCCTTCAATGTTTGCCAAGCTTTCGCCAAGTCTGATACTGCGGGAAAGGATGGTAAGTAACCTCGGCGCCCCGCTGGATGACGATGATGTGCTGCAATAGCACCGTCACCCATGTTCTTCAATTCTCATGACTGAAGATAATCTTACCATCCTGCTTGCTCTAGTAAACACTATCCAAGGTAACGACGATCCCGAATCTGTCAAAAACAGGAAACAAGCCTTTAGGTCTAATGTCAGTCCAGTGATTTCTCCAGTAAGGTCCCTCCGGATAAATCTTGTTTCATCAAAAAGTAATTTTCTGTTCGAAGTCGTGGCCTAGTACACCGGGCGGCTTCTACTTGACAACGCTGATATGGTACTACATGCCTCCCCTCAGCGTATAAAAGAGCAGTCTTGAGCTAGCTTTGCGACTCAACAACCCTTTCCCTCATTTACCCCCAACCTTTCTTTTGCATAAACTCTCCTTCTCTCCACCCACGCCAGTCGTTCGTCATCATGAAGTGGTTATACTCTGTTCTTGCTCTCTTCTCCGTCCAGGTCGCTCTCGTGCGTGATTTATCATCTCTTTGTGAGGGATTAAAACTCACTCACATCCCCGCTGCTCTCCTAGGCTGCCCCCCAACTGAAAAAGCGCACCAGCACTTCTGAGGCCTGCTCTGTTGGATACTGTACCTTGAACGGCGGGTGGGGGGTTCTCGTCGCGTCTGTTTACTGTGCCATATCTTTCTGATCCGTCCCTTTTCAGTACCACCGGCGGTGGAAGCGCTACTGCTGTTACGGTGTCTACCCTCGACGATCTCGTTTCTGCTGTAGAAGGTGACGATTCCAAGGTCGTCATCATCGATGGTGCGTTCGTCAGTGCATATAGTGTTCCCAAAGGCTGAGGAGTGCGCCGCAGGTACCATTACCGGTAGTGAGGCCGTCTCTGTCGGCTCGAACACGAGCGTCCTCGGAGCATCCGGTGCCAGTATGTTTCTTCATCCCATTTTCACTCATGCACGGCGTTAAAATCCATACTCTACAGCTCTCAGCGGTGTCGGCCTTCGTGTCAAGGATGTTTCGAACGTTATCATCCGTAATGTCAAAATCGAGAAGGTTTTGGCCGATGCTGGTGACGCTATCGGTGTCCAGGCTGCTTCTCAGGTGTGGATCGACCACAACGATCTCTCCAGCGACCAGGACCATGACAAGGACTAGTAAGCAGTCCGTTTGCTCTCGTTCGCGGTCTAGCTGACCTGCGCATAGCTACGATGGTCTCTTGGACATCACCCACGGATGCTACGGCGTCACCGTCAGCAACAACTACCTCCACGACCATTGGAAGGCCTCCCTCGTCGGTCATTCTGACAGCAACGGAGACGAAGATGCTGCCCTCCGAGTGACGTACTTTGGTAACTTCTTCGAGAACCTGAACTCCCGTGGTCCCTCATTCCGCTTCGGTATATATATATTCATCTTAACTTTCTTTTTTGTGTTTTCTAATGGGTCCGAACAGGTGAGGGCCACATCTTCAACAACTACTACAGCAGCATGAATGATGGCATCAACACGCGTGACGGTGCGGAGCTCTTGGTGGAGAACAACGTCTTTGTCGGTGAGTTTTTTTGGTTTTTCAATCGCGCCTTGTCATCTTACGTTCACCGTAGACTCTGACGAGGCTCTCTATTCGACCGATGAAGGCTACGCCGTCGCTTCCGGCAACGTGAGTACCGACTAATTCCGAAAAACACTTATGATGACCAGGAACACTGACTTCAGGACTTTGGTGACTCCGAGAACACTGCTGACACCGGCACTATATCCGCTTCAGACCTTGGCTACGACTACGACTTGATTGACACTGACAGTGTCGCGTCTTCTGTCCAGTCTGAAGCCGGCCAGACATTGTCCTTCTAAGCGGCAGGGTTTTTTTTTAAACCAGTGATGGATCTACCCAGGGCTGGCGGGCTGGCCTTGACCATTACTATATCTATCTATCTTTCATCGTTAGGTATTGCTGGCCCAAGCCACCTTATTCTGGGTTCACTAGGGTATAGTCATAGCAGGAATAGCTGGTACTTAGGATAAGGACGGACCTCTTTAAGAAAGACCAAGAGACTGAAAACATCTGCCATATTCAAATCTAAATCATAACAGAATCGCACAACGAAGCCTACACAATTACATGCTATTCTTGAGTTGGGGGAGACGGAGGAAGGGACACAAAAAAAAAAGACCAGGTTGAAAAGGAAAGCTCATTACAACGAGGGAACTTTTCAAATAACAGGGCTAATAAGACTGAACCACAGCGAAATCAGGAAATGAACCTTTCCCAGCATTCCTTCGCCATCATCCTAAAAAGTTCATAATGCTGCAGAACCTCCCGCGTAAACTCAGGAACTTCCATTCCTTCACTAAGACGACAGGAACGTGGCGCAACCACACACTTGACCATTTCCGTTTCCGAGAGAGGGTACCGAGTTCGACGAGATGATAACTGCGAGAGGCAGAGTCGTAGTCGGCAGTCGTTCCAATTCTATTTAAGTATGTGTACAGTACAGTCTATATAAGAATATCACAGTTTATCATTTCAATCCTCTTCATCCTCATCATCCAAATCTAACGAGTGGTACGTATGCTTTTGACGGTCCCTCCAGCATGCATACACACTCAAGAGGAACGCCAAGAAACAACCAGCGATGGTGAGATAAAGCGTGTCCACATAACACGCCTTCCCTTCTAGACACTGCCGCTCTCCACTCATAACCATAACCTCCCCCAATTTCGCATCCTTCGGTCCATGCGCGTCCAGATTCTTACCGAACGCCAGCGAAAAGACGTTCCCCCCCACCATAGGCGCTAACGATATGTATCCCCAGTTCTCCGAAAAATGAGCTGATCTCACAAACTTTTAGCGGTCCGTAGTGATGGCAAAATTAGAACAAGCACATACGCATGCCAAACAACTCTATGCAGAGAGTGGGGTAGGTTCCGAATATAGACCCATACGCAAGGCCGAGTAAGGAGCTCGCCTGCCACAAGAAGCGCACGTCGTCAATTTGAGACGCTAGTATCTGCGAAATCAGAACAAGGAGAGACACCAGCATCAGGCTGTAACACCTGGGCGTCTCATAGTGGTGTTTCGCAAAATCGGATAGGAGTCCTACGCGTTTGTAGTTAGTTGTTGGTCCCGTTGCAGGGAGGGTTATCAACATAGCGCCAACCTATAATGATTCGTCCGAGACAGTTCATGATACTGATGGCGGAAACCTGAGCAGCTTGCCACGGAACAGCGCCATTTTCGTCATATGTAGGGTTATTGTGAGCGAAAAGTGCTTGAGACATCGAACCGACATTGTTGATGTCTAGAAAGGTAAGCCGTTCAGTTTTCATTTCACTCTGGAGCAGAATAATTACATACACATAATACCGGTTCCGCTCACTATGTAAAACGATTAGATGAATGCCATGCAGTGAGAGAGGTGCTTACGGAGTAAGAGGATTGAGAAGATGAGCCAAAACTCGAAGGTGCACCACAGTTTCCAGCCGTAGATGTTGGGAGACTTTTCGTGCAGAAGAATGCGTCCTGCAAGGCTGAGACTTCTCCCGTTACTCTGGGAGCGATGTCTGGAAGTATTGATCTGAGGCGGAGAGATGCTCCTGGGCGGGCTAAGCTCCAGAGCACTCGTTTCTCCAGGACTATAATCTACGGCATGCGTAGTAGGACTAGCTTGATCAAAAATAAGTTGGGTATCTTCACTGCCCAACAAGCGTGTTTGACTGCTGTTCTCGTGGTAAGAGATAGCCTCCGCGCTCCCTTCGGGAACATGTCGCTGTTCGGACGCGGGCAAGGGGATAGGTCGAATGAAAAAGTACCCTACTACCTCGGGCAGAGCCGTTCCCAGAGATAAAACCAACAGGAAAGAAGACGTGTCGCCTGGGAAGGCAAAGTGAGCAATCGAGGAAAACAGGAATGCAGACAATCCGAAACCCGACAAGACGATTCCCGTCGTGGACGCGCGCTAAATGGAAATTTTAAAAAAAGCAAATGTGAGTGAGCGAGGAAAACGTCAAGGAATAATTTCCGATTGGGCACGTACGAGTCTTTCTGGGAAGGATTTTGCTGTGGAGTTGATACCTCCAGTCAAGGCCGAATTCCCACCCGCGCCGGTCATACAGCCGAATAGGGTGAGCAGGCAGAATGTAAAAGTGCTGATGGTGGACTGGCCATATTTTAACCCCACGTCGTAGACGAGTCGAATGCCGGAATATCCCAGTAGGAGCAGTGCGAAGGACGCTACCATCAGGATACGTGGGCCCCGAGCGTCGACTATCTTTCCCCACACCGGACCGGTACTGTAGACACCGACTGAGAGTCGAGTAAGCCAGGGTCAGGGATCAAAGGGAGTAGAGAAAAAACTACCATTTCCTCCAAGCGCGATGAGGTTTAGTTGTGTATGGCTGAGATTTAGTCTGTGTCCCATTTGGGGGGCGTAGGCTGCAGATCCGAGACATAAGGATGTTTTACCAACTATTTGAAGGAATTTACCTGAATAGACCTGGGATTGATGAAAACTATCAGATTCCTATTGGGCGAGTTACAAACGACACGTACATAATTCGTTCCCGCTCCCAGGGCAACGAGCAATGAGACCAATAGCGTTCTAATGCGGGGCAGGCTGAAGTGCCCTGGAATTGAAGTGGGATTTGGTGTAGGCATTGTAGCTTCGATACTGAGGAACGGATGCACGATAAATGAAGAGAGAGACGTAGTGACAGATTACGGGTCCATGGGAGGGAGAGATAAAGTAAGGAGGGGGTTTTTATTCCTCGCCGGCCCGGATATCCCCACCGGCAGATATCCGGCTGGCGTTGTCCGAAGGTCGCGTTCCAAGATAAGTTCGTTTTCAGTTATTTGACTTATTTAACCACATTTAATATAGCTAAGACGCGTAGAGGTACGTTCCCTCTTTACCAAGATAATGTGGTATCAGCACACCGGCCAAAGGGAATGATGCAAAAATCATATACTCCTGGCGACCAACGACGCTTGGTTTCCCTTTTATCAGCTGCGGGCCCAGGGATCTTCAGGCAGTGCCACCACCCGATGAAATCGCCGATACCTTTTGCGTCACGTTTGGCGTGAATATAGGCGAGGTCAGTGGAGGTCAAGGAACCTTTACTAAAGACGTGCCAAAGTTGAGCTGGCATTCCGTTACCGACTAGAATTGTTTGTTCCTTTTCTGAGTGATGGATATTGGACACTGGACGACCATCGATCTATTTCCCGGCTTTACCGTGACTGAACCCAATTATCATACTAATGCATGAATGCACACCTCTATTTCATAAATTTCTTCGTAAATATACCCTAATAAGTGCTCAGTTTAAGCCATTTGACTGGAGAAAGCCAAAAAGAATGAACAATTTACTTAGCTACGGCTGTTTCTTATCGCACTCTTTGCCCTACCAGTTGCCTATCCGACCCTTCCTGACCGACGGGGGAGGTCAGACTCCGTCAGCGTCAAATACTTCCTGACCCGGATAACACTTGAATTATAATCATTATTACGGGGCACCAAAATACCGAAAACGTCCGTTATATCCACATCATATGCCAAAACACCAGATAAAATCAGGTGAATGAGCGGAGGGACCGGGAAGGAAGGAACCTGAACGTTGTGAGCAGTCCGAGCTTGCGAGGCAGCGCATATAAGGTGCTGACTATGCGAGTAAGAGCTCGCAATCAGCATCGCCAGTGCCAAAATTCGCCACCCACCCACCCACACCCGAGTCTTGCCTCTGGAATCTCACTCGCAAGAGAAATAAGGATTTCTCTCACCCCCACCTCTTAGGTTCGTCAAATTCGGAAACGGCTTAGGCATACTTGAAATGCTGATTGCTGAATCCAGAAAGTCATGGACTGCATGCCGACTGATGTAAACTCAAGACTGTCGTGACTTTGCCGAACCGGCAAAGCACGTGAAGGACGTGTAGCGGAGTTTCAATTGACCCGCAACCCTTTTTCCTTTTCAGGATCTTCACCTCCTCCCACCACCTGCGACCTACCCGCTCTCCCCGTTTTCTTATCATGCCCCTACTTGCGCCGTTATTTTCTCCTTTGGACGTTGAATTCCCTGAACCCCTGTCTACTCAACGGCCGATAACAATTGCGGCAGCGCTGAAACCATTCGAAGAGGATGGGGGCAAAGACACCGTGGTTGAGGAAAGCAAAATCCCGTCAGTGCAGCTTGATATGGACTCAATAACGGATACTGTTGCTGCAAGTATGGCCTGCAGTCTACTAGGGCATGTCCTTTTCCTCAAAAATCAAGTTCCTCTGTGAGTTGAGGGTGCTCGTCGAATCTTTGGTGACTGATGGCCGTTGTAAGGCCTGTTCCACAGCTGGCTCGGATAGTAATAACGGACAAGGTGCGCGATCCCCTTTTATGTTTAATGCCTTTCCCTTACAGGACGCTAGGCCAATGCCCGCACTACGAAATTGCGGTCAGAGTTACTGGATTCCTTTGACACGCTACTGTCACATCTAGGAACAACATTCACGGCGCTATCTACTGCATTTGCACGATCTTTGCCACAAGAAGAACGGTCCAAAACTATGCATACAAACAGGGCGTACATGGCGATCTTGATGGGGCCCAGTATCGGATCTGCAAAGTCAAAAGTCATGTTGGCAGTGGATGGTTTGGAGGCCAAGGTGTGGGGCCAAAGGGATGATATACGTCTGGCAGACGAAAGTGGAAACAGTGAGAGCGATGACGATAGAAGCGATGACGAGGGTGGCGATGACGAGGGACCCTCCGACTCGGACGACAGCGACGTGGACGATGAGGACGAAACAGAATCAGACAATGATGGCGACGACGACGACGGGACATCTTCGCCACCGCTACCATCAGCCTTCGCCGAAGAGCAACGTATACTTCGGACTGCCGACAGACTACTCTCGCGAGCGCTTGTGTCAGCGGACTGTGATGGAAATGGATTGGCATCTGAGATAAGTAAGTGCTTCTCCACACAACATCTGTTTTTTTTTTTACGAGATCCACTGTAGGTCCTACGCAGACACATATACTGATACGCGCTCCAAGACGATTTGTTCATCCCGCGTGGATACCTCGGCAGAATGTTACGGCCTCTATGGATAACTTTCTGGAGCAGTTCCTTGGGGCCGCCGGGCATGGGCCGAAGACTCACAAGAAAAAGGCCAAGATCGAGGGCCTGTGGGTAGCATGCCAAAAGCCGAGTACGGATCTGGGAAAGGACGCGAAAAATGAGGAGGACGAGATGATATGGTGGAGTTGGGATGGTAAGCTTGTAGGCTTCGCTGGTTGGTAATGGTGTATATACTCACTGCATTGATTTGTGTACGGACATCGAGCATCATTATACCTGTATCCATATACCTTTTTTACGCTATAAAATTAGACAATTACTCATGACGCAAACGACAAATCGGCTCGATGACAACTGAAGTTGAACTGAATGAATCTTATCACTAGCTCCGCTGTTGCGATTAGCCGCATATCTTCATTATACTCTGGTGCTGTTAAGTCCTACTGAGTAGGTTATTTAAGACATTGCTTCATGGTACCCTAGGGAACAAGATCGACTACGCCTCTAGTAATATAACTTGTACATCCTTATCCCTAGGCATCATCAGCAGCTCACCATCAAAGGCAATCTAGAATAACGGTCCGGTAGAGTAAGGATTTTGAAAGAAAAGACTAAGAGACGAAAGTGACCTTCTTCTGGCGCTTTGCCGCACGCAACGTTCCGTTCAATGCTTCGACTTTGAAAGCAACAATCATGAGGGATGATGTTTTTTCTGGCTCCGGCTCAAAAAAAACCAGACGTACGGGTGTTGGCGGTCTTATCGAAGAGTACGCCGTACGAGACGCTGCTCTTCCCGTCGGTGTTGAGAGAGCCGTGCTCCTTTATGGCCTCTGGACGTAACCGCCTATACCTTAGTGTCATCGATGTAATTTTGCAGGAGTAGGATCTTACGTATTAAGATTCCAATCTCGCCTGTAACGTTAACTAAAAGCAAACAATTAATATTTTTCCCGGTCATTATCGACGTTGTCTCCTTACCCATGCTTGTTGGAAGAAAGAAGGAAGAAGGGGATTTAATCAGATCGTGATCAGATCACGTTTGAGATCGATATATGTAGTTACTACTAGTATTTATTTATGCTTCTTTTTCTTTTGACTTGGTAAGATCCTTTTTATTTCCGGGCGGTTTGACAATCTAAAAGCTATTTTTACTGCGAGGTGAACCTTTGGAATGAAAGAGTCTGGCTGGCGTTCGACTGGACATACTTACGATGCAACCTTGCTGCTGGTGGCAAGGAGCGTATAAGAGAACCCGAGGTCTGAAGCAGAGATCGTTCCTGTTGGTGTGGTGTTCTCACCGTCATCGCCAGAGTCTGCGCGATAGACTACGGCAGTGGGAAAAGGAAAGATTAGCACACCATTTCCAGAAATAAGAGCGTAACCTCCATTAGTGGAGTAGAGAGCATCGGTAATAGTGCCTGATAAATCTTGAGCACGAGTACTGCTAGTATTGGGAAACTGAATAGTCACCTGTGAAAACATTGTTTTCGATAAGGAGCTGGGCCTCATCTCGGGCGTTAATGCCGTCGTTAAGGTCGACGTAGCTAATAATCATGAGCTGGTGTCTCGAACCTCATAAGCACAACTCACTGTAAGTTATTGAAGATGTGACCCTCGCCTGTGAGAATTAATGAGCCGTGGGCGAAAGGAAAGCAGAAATCACTCGTACCAAAACTGAAGGAAGGATCACGAGAGTTCAGGTTCTGCCATCAATTAAGAGCAACAGTGACTCTGAGAACGGCATCTTCGTCCCCCGTTGCTGTCGGAGTGGCAGACAAGGGAAGCTTTCCAGTGGTTGTACGGCTTACTGTTGGTGACAGCGATACATTAGGAATCGTGGATGACATCAAGAAGATCGTCGTAGCTGAGGAGAAGTAGTTGGAATTTGCCTAGGGAGGGAGGCACAGAACTTACTAACGCTAAGTGGATGAATGAGCAATCGATTAGAACTTGGGAAGAGCATACCGTGTCGTGATCCAGGTCGCTAGGGAGATCGACGTGGTCAACCCAGGCGTTGTGTACTTCTTGGATGCCGCCGGCGAATCCTCCACCTACTGAGGAGGATGTCGCTGCTAATGCTGTTCAGGCGGGCTCTTGCGGCCATTGCTAGGGCGACGAGAAATGCTGCTACGACGCGAACTGCTACTACGACAGAATCCATCCCTACGACGGCCACTGTTACGGCCGGATCTGCTACTGTGACGGCGGTGGCCACCACGTCTGGGACAATAGCCCTGGCCGCGACAGACACAGTTGTTGCACTGAGACGAAGAACTGGCGTAGCGACTGATACTAACACGCCCGGACGAATTCTGAGGCTGAAGTGCCTTGGAAAAGAGTTGGGGTCTCTATTCGCTACTACATGCATTGGTTAGTTGCGTGGCTCAGGATTATGGTTGCTGGCAAGCTGGTCATCAATTTGGGTGCTGGGGTGCTAGGCTCTCTAAAGAAAGAGTTGGGACTGAGACGTCCCAAGACTACGGGACGTTTCTCCTAACCAGTGAAGGTGCAGGAACGTTTATTTATCTCGCTCGCCGTCTTGAAGAGAGAGATCCCTTGAGCCAGGCTTGAAGTGGCAAGACGTGGAACCCCACATGGTGGTGGTTCTTGATCAAGGGTCTCTGGAACATGATTCTTCCATTATTTAAATCAAAGAGGATAGTTGACAGACGAATTAACATTACATCTCGAATACATTTGCTTTTATTTTCCCTTTTGCGTTGACTCAGAGACGACCTGTGTAACGATAAGCCAACACCGTGGGACTGGCATGGACCGATTACGCACCAACGTTGCCGAGGTCTTCACAGGCTTCCTTGACACGAACAACAAGCGTCTTCTCACCCTCACGCACCCAGACACGAGGATCATAGTACTGTGTGTTCAAATCAATCTCAGCAGGAACAATATAACTGAACCGAGAGATACGCACCTTCTTGTTGGGCTTGTCAGCACCCTCAGGATTACCAACCTGAGTCTGGAGGTATCCACTCTTGTTCTGGACAAAGTCCCGGATACCGACAAGATAAGCGAACTGAGTATCTGTGTCGACGTTCATCTTGACAACGCCGCTGCTCACAGCAGTTTTGATTTCCTCCTTGGTGGATCCAGAACCGCCGTGGAAGACGAGGAACAACGGCTTCTCGGCTTTTCCACCTAGTTTCTGGCTCGCGTATGCTTGGTGCTTTCCGAGCAGTCCAGGCTGGAGGCGGACGTTTCCAGGCTTGTAGACGCCGTGGACATTACCAAAGGCGGCGGCGATACTGAAGTTAGGAGAGATCTTGCTGAGGGCGTTGTAAACATCCCAGATGTCCTCTGGCTGGGTGTAGAGGCTGGCATTGTCAACGCCTGTGTTGTCAACACCATCCTCCTCACCGCCAGTGATACCAATTTCCATCTCAAGCCACAGGCCGAGGGGCGCCATGCGTTTGAAGTACTTGACGCATGTCGCGATGTTCTCCTCTTTTGGTTCTTCGGAAAGGTCGAGCATGTGGGAGGAGAAAAGGGGTTCCTGGTGTTCCTTGAAGTAGGCTTCGTCGGCTTCAAGCATTCCGTCGAACCAGGGCAGGAGTTTGTGGGCGCAGTGGTCACTGTGGAGAATGACGGGTCTATGACGGAACGTTAGAATACAGCAAAGCGCTCAAGGAACAAACGTACACGCCGTAAGCCTTGCTTACAGTTCGAACGTGGACTGCGGCAGCTGTTGCGCCTGCAATAGAGGCTTGCTGCTTGTCGTTGGCCAGGCCCTTTCCAGCGAAGTAGGCACTGCCGCCTTGAGAGACCTGGATGATGATGGGCGATTTGATGTCCCTACAGTCGCGATGAATAAATCACCGTTGGGTCACGGTCATGACGGGGCTTACCTGGCAGCCTCGAGTACAGCATTCGCTGTCGAGGATGAGGTTACATTCTTGCGACATGAACATGAGTGTCAGGAAATCGGATATGAATGGACAGCTCACGATAGCCTATACGGTAAATACCGGTGATGAGTACAGATAACAACTGGCAGCTGCAGAAAACTCACAGGAATGGCAAACTACACGAAAAATCAGCACATATGCACTAAATTAAGCGCTATCCAGCGCACCTTGTTCTCCTTGGCGTATTCGAAGACTTTGCGGACATTATCGCCTGTCAACACACCAGCCTATGGTCATCGTTATCGTCGGTGTCCAACATCAACCGTCTGCGACACTCACCGGTACGATATCGAGGATGCCCATAGTATTGTTGTGGGAGAAGAAGGAAGATTGGAGGTGGTGGTCAGTGTTCAGGAGTGATCGGATTTGAGTCTCCCGCGAAACACATGCTGGATCGAACCGGCCATTGCCGGAGCGGTTGCCCCAGGAACGCTGTGTTGCATCACGAAGGATCCGTTCAAGGACACGGTTTCGAAATCGACATACGTCGGTGGTCTGCTGCGTTTCCGAGGGCACGCTCTCCTTGCCGAAAGAATGGGTGATGTGCGACATATCCATTATTACTTCCGGAAGGCTGCCTCAAAACCTCCAGGTGAGCGGCTTTCTCATGTTCTTTCTCCCTGAAATTTCTCGGAGGAGAAGGAGATCAGTTTGGTGGGGCAGCTACTAAGGAGGAGGCGAAGACGCAGGTTCAGGTGGAAGAAAAGGTCGTGGATGAAAAGCCTGAGGAGAAGCCAGTGGTCAAGGATGAAGAACCGCCAGCTCCTGAAGCTGTCGCCGTGGAAAAACCAGCTGGGCCATTAGGTGAGGCTGAGGCTGACAAAATTGCGCACGAGTTATATCCTGAAGAAGCGGACTAAGTGCTAGCCCTCCGTATATGTTCTGCGAGTAGTTTTCCAGTGCTTAAAATATTCAACATTATGAATAGTTCGCTTGATTATACCAGGAATTCCTGATTTCTTCCCTTTACCCTCTTATGTCGGCATTTTTGGAACTGTTCGTTATCATTGATTCTACTCTGTATGGATGCCAGTATATGGCTGCGTGATTACGAGAAGCTAGGGCTCTGGTCTGCACCTTAGCGTCACCAGAGGCGGGGAGGTTCGCTTGATTCTTCGAGGACGCGACGACCGACGCCGCTGGGGGACTATATGACGCGTCAATGAGCGCGCAGTCACTCATGAAAAATGAAAGAAAACGTACGAGAACCAGAAGCACCGAGCATGGAAGTGTTGGAGCCAATCTTTACAACGGTGTTATGTACCTATAATGGCACCTAAAGGAAGGCGTCAGGAACAGCATTTCTAGGGAAGTTATGATATACCGCTGATGACGACGATCTTGGCTGAGTCGTCGGAAACCACAGAGGTGAGGCGGAGAGAGTGGTGACCGTGGTGGTAGTGCCGCCAGTTCCCCCGGTAGTACTAAGCACGAGTAAGGATGCCGTTAGAAGTGGAGAACACGCCCTCGCTGGTGCTAGTCCGCTTGACGATCTGATTGGCTGGGGAGGCCTAAATTGGCGCGCGAGTATGTCGACAGTCCACTGCAGGGGACGTGACGCGTACCAGGACAGAAACGAGCTGGATGGCGGCAACCACGGAGAAGGGAGAGATCCACTTCATGTTGAACCGCCAGGTACGGGAAGTAAGCAAAAGAGAGAGAAACGAAGATCAGGGTTTGATCGTCCGTCAGTGTTGCAGTGATCCCTCCTTTTCACTGCAGTGTCGAACCTCTTACATTATGCTGCAAGGATACTTATTTCTGCGCAGGAGTTTTTATTTGGCGTCAAAGATGATGGCACAAGAACCAAACAAAGAGCTCATCACTTGTTACCGCTCCTCCACAACATTCTTTTTCGTATTTCCTGTTGGATGTCCCAAGGGCCCCGGGCATATTCTGCTAGCACATCTATCTTTGTGCAACGTTTTGCGAATTTACGAATTTCGTCTGTGGGTACGAAGGATTGAACAAAACGCGGCCTGCCTGATCATTTTCCTTCAGCTGCCCTCCGGCTCGACAATATTTCACATATTCTATTAGAGTCTGGCACTCTAATAACGTTCATTTCTCTCCATTTAGTGCCCATTTTCTGCCATGCAAGTCGGCATACGACGACCATCAGGTTCTGAAACGTACGACTTGCGTGACCGGATCCATGCCGGCGACAACGATCACATAGAGGCACACGCTGAGGCGGCCAATTACATGGACGAAGAAGAACAGCATTCCGTTCTCGAAGACGACTCTGATGGTGAGGAACATTTCGAGGACGACGTGTCGTCCGATCTCTCCATACCCAATGAAGCCATCGATTTCGACCTCGTATACGCATTCCATAGCTTCGCAGCGACGGTGGACGGTCAGGCCAACGTCGTCAAAGGCGACAGCTTGTTCTTGATGGATGACAGCAACAGCTACTGGTGGCTGGTCCGCGTCTTGAAGACCCAGGAAGTGGGATATATACCGGCAGAGAACATTGAGACACCCTTTGAGAGGCTAGCAAGACTCAACAAACACCGTAACGTCGACGTAAGTCTGCTGGATTCCATCTTACCAGTCGTCTGACAAGTGCTCTCTAGCTAGCACAAGCAACCCCAGACGAAGAACTTGGTATGGCTCCTCAGGATCGTATTAATGTCGAATACCAGCAGGGTTCCAACCAGTCACATTCACCTATATTAAACACCACTCCTTCTCGCTCTCATACCCGTGGTGTCTCTTTCCGCGCTGGCTACTATGTTCATCGCTACCTGCCTGCTCTCTGGCACGAAGAAGAGGAAGAGGAGGACGATATCGAGTGGGACGACATACCCTATGAAGGTGAAGATCCTGATCTGGCCGAGGAGGAGCATATGAGGATGATGGAAGAACACGCGGCGAGAGGCATCCGCATACCAATGGAACCTGACGATGGAATGCAATGGGAGGATTCTGCCGCAGAGGAGATGAGATCCCGACAACAGGCGGCTCGGGATGCGGACGCTCAGGCTACAGGTCCCAGCGGTGCAATCTCCACATCCCAGCGACCCGGAAATTCGCAGCAACAGCCCTCCCAAGTGCAGCCGCTTCAAATACAGCAAGAGCAGCTCACGCGGACTCTCAGATCACCATCATCTCAGGAACGTCTCCTCCAAAATAGTCCCACTGGTTTGAGAAACATTGATCCCGCCGAAGTCATTGAAACTCGTAAACTCACGGCCACGCCTTCCATTGCTCGCGATTCCGATGAAGCTTTGAAGCATACTGGAGGAACCGTGTCATCTAGTGTCTCTATTCAGCAGCGGCAACAGGAGGAGGAAAGGAAGAGACTTCGAGATGAAGAAGACGAGGCTGCGAGGAAAAGACAGAGGGGTAAAGAAAAGATGGCGCCCCCCGTGAGCTCTGCAGGTGTCTCCCAAGGGAAACCTTCACCAGGCCCTACATCTGGCAGTGGCAAATTGCGTAAAGAACGGACCGAATCAGACGATGACGGGAAGGACAAGAAAAAGAAAGGCGGTATGTTCAGTATTTTTGGGAGGAAGAAGGACAAAAATGGTGGGAGTAAGGAGAAGAATAATTTGTCTGGTTCAGTTGAAGGTGACGGACGGACGTCTGAAGATTCGAGCAGATCTGGTCATCGACCTTCAGATTTGGTTGCTACTCCTGCCCCCAGCAGCCCCATGCAGCAGCAACAGCAGCAGCAGGCACTACAGCAACAGCAGGTGCAGCAGCAGCAGGCACAAGTAGCTAGGGATGCTGCCGAAGCTAAGCGTCAACAGCCGGAACAGCAATCCGCGGCGATGAGCTCACCTCCTCAGGTATCGCAGCTACGTCAACGCGATCAACAGCAACAAGCGTTGTATCTACAATATCTCAATCGCTCCCCGGCATCTCCTCCGGAAGCTCAGCCTTCTTATGGCCTCCAATCTGCCTCTGCCGTCTTGCCACCAAGCTCGTATCACAGTCCTTCAGGGTCCGCAGGGTCTGCGACTGGTTTAACTCCACCAACGACGCGCCAACGACCCGGCTCTTTGATCCTTACGGCCTCTTCTATGGATGGCCAAGGCGTTCCCGACCTCAGTGTCATCCGCGTCTTCACCGGGAAAAATCTCCAAACCGACGCCACCTTTAAAACCGTTCTGCTCAATTCATCCACCACCTCGGCTGACCTGGTCAAACAGGCGATGCAGCGATTCCGCTTACCTTCTGCCGAGAACGCGCAAGATTACTATCTGGTGGTAAAGCAAATCGAGGGCTCGTCGGCAAGATTGCAGGATCAGGAGAAGCCTTTGGGCGTCTTTGAGACGCTCGTGGAAGCTGCGATGGAGATGCCGAAGGTCAAGAGGAGCAGTGTGGGGAGTATCAGCTCGATAACAAGCAATCTTTCGATGCACCCTGCAATCAAGAAGCTTGCAATGAATGACTTTACGGATGATTCTGCTGTCAAATTTTATCTCAACAGGGCTGGTGACGAAGACGATAGTCTTGAGAACGAGGAAACCTTGCTGGCTACCGACCTCTCTGGTGATTCGGAGATAGTTTCTTCGCCTAAGCAGCAGTATTTGACCGTGTCCACCGCTGCGACCACTGTCCCGACGGAGAGGTTTAGTTCACCGTCGTACCGATTTGCGTTGCAGCTCGTAATCTACCCAGATGACTTACCGGACGATATGGTATTTGATCCTCAAACTGAGGCAATCGTGTTCAAGGAGACGTTGAACCATCGCCCTCAGTCCGGTTCTGTGGCGTCCCCTGGTATTACCCAACATCTCCGTCGCAAGGTCTTTGTGTTCCCGAAGAATGTTACTGTTGCAGAGGTCATTGAACTTGGCTTGGAGAGGTTTGGTATCCTAGAAGGTGTGGTCGATGGAGGCGACGAGGTTGAGGACAAGTCGACTAAGAGAAGGAGTATTTCTCGCGTTCGCTATGGTCTCGCTGTTGATGCTGGTAATCACGGTAAACTTTTTCTCTGCTCTTATCAGCCAATGTCTAACTAATAATCTTCCAGAGCGAGAACTGTCGCCGTCGAGCAGAATTATTGACGCATATCCCCGGCCGCCCAATTATCGTGCAGTGGATCGGCGTTACCCGGACAACAAACGTCGTTCTATTGATTCGGCTCAGTTGTTGGGTAGCACGGATGATGTCGGAGAGGACGATCCTGTGTTCATCCTCCGACGTGCCATTTCGTATCGTGCTTCCTCCTCTCGTCATCGGATGTCGGCGCCTCTTGATGAGATTGCGCTGCGCAATCTTCACCGCGAGTCTGTTTCTAGTACGGGTTCTGAAGTCCCTGCCGCTGGTGCATCTTCAGAGACAGCCATGCCGCTACAACCTTCTCGTCAGGAGATCATCGAAGCTCAACGGCAAGCCAAACGTGCCAATCAAATGGCAATTGTTTCTGCGCAGACTAATTCCGTTAGGGGATTGGATCTTCTTTTACCGGGAAATGCTATGCTCCGTAGTTCCCGATATGACGCCAATGATAGGATGCGCTACTCATACGTGGAGCCAGATGGTGAAACGTACGATATCAGCGACCTCGTCGAGGAAGAACTCAAAGGAAGCGACCGAGCACACCAGAACGATTTGTTAGAAGGTGTTTTGGACAACAGAGGCAATAAACTGGATCGTGTCTTGAACAAAATCAAGTCCGGGAAATCTGGACACCGACGTCAGCTTAGCAGCGGCAATAGCAGGACGCCTTCGTTGCGATCGACATCGCCTTCCTCGCAATATTCATTAGACGATAATACTATTGAAGGTATCGCAACGCATTCGCGCTCAACAACGCCTGCTTCGGCGGGTCTAGTGTCAAGAACACCGATTCCTCCTGTCAACCCATACGGTCGTGCATCTCCTGAAGTACGGAGTAGGGCAGGAACAACGACACCTACGGTGAAGCCCACTTCTGCTGCTAGTCGTCGACAGCCATCCATCGGTTCTGTAATGTCAGATCTCTCGGGTTACGTTACAGCACCTACTCCGCCTGCGATATACTCCAAGTCATCCACTGATAGCACTGATTCCGGCGGTACAGCGCAAAAAACACATCCAACTCGTCGACCGTTCCTTCCGAAGGATGATTTTGGGGTGTCTAAGATGCTGGCGGTAATAGAGTATAGAGCCTCCAAGTCGGCTGCTGCTCCTCTACCGAAGCTAGATCCCGTCGACGAGATGCTTTTTGGGCGGCCTCTTGATGCAACTGGTTTACACCCGAAAATTCGGGAAATATATGCGAGTTCTTTCGAGAAACTTGCGGAAATGGATAAGGTTCGTTTCTGGCTTACATGGTGGCTATTCTTATTGATGTGTTTCCGTGTCTAGATTCTTGACGATCTCATATCTCAGCATCCTTGATCTTTTGCTTTCGGTTCCAGTTATATGTATAAATGATACCCTTTATGTGTAGGCTATCTTGTGGAGTGTAATGCTTATTGTTCTTGGCTCTGGACCATCCGAGGTATCCGTATGAGTCATCTGCGCGCATGTTGGCTCATCTACAGAAAGGTGGGCGGCGTTGCGCTCTTTCTATGGTATTCCCGTCCTACACCCGCTCTTTTTCCTTCTTTGAGGATATCTGATGGTTGGTAGGGAAAAAGTCTATACCGACGCTCCTAAATTCATTTTTAATTCCATCGAATAACCAAGCCAGGCGCAGTCGCGGTCAGTTCGGTCAGTTTCATCCGTTGTTCAAGTATAAAAAAGGGTACTTAACTTATCTATCAAACCTCCATCCACTATGCATCAGACTATTGAAGCACAGTCTTTTCTAAAGTTTCTTTTCTCCGGAATCCCTCTTGACTAAGTCTTGAAGCCATCACTCGATGAGGCAGAGCTTCGCCGTCTTTTTGCGACCGACAAAACTGATGAACGGCTCAGCAACCCTTATGTAGGACTTGTGAATGTATTCGATGCGCCGGAGAATACCAATTAAGTGACGTGCGCGCGAGAAGTCAAGGACACGGATGATCTGATAGCAAAGTACATCATGGCACTCAGCGAAGAGAACCGTCGACAGAACGGTGATTCTTGTATGGTCCTTGACATGGACGCGTTCAGGAAAAACTGGCCCATCTTTACCGAAAGTCTCTCTCTCAGCTATTAGACTGGAACAATGTCGTCGCAGCTGATGGTTTTGTTCTTGCTTGCTTGACACCCTTACCAGAGTATGCTACCGTATCCAGGGGTGCTACGAGGAAGTTCTACCATTCCAATGCGTATCCGACCTCAGATGTGGATCTGTTTCTTGGGGGGTATGACACTAGAAGAAGCCGAAGCAAAAATTTATGAGGCTGTGCGGGAAACAATAGGTAGCGTAACCGTGAAACGAGGGAGTAACGAGCATAAGGAACAAAAAAGTATGGAGTGACGGAACAAGAACATTTGAACAATGGAACACAACAGACACAACGAAACATAGGCCCTGAGTAAGTACAACTAACCAGGCAAAGAGTCGCAGTACGGAGCAACACGAAGGTATCTCGCCTGTCCAAGCATAATCGTAGTTGAAGATCCAGGAACCATGCATTTTCATCGAAACCACAAACCCGTAACCACAGAACTGCAAACACAAGGACAAAAGGAAAGCACCGAGCAAACATAGGATCGACATGGCATAGGGAGCAGCAGAACCTGGTCCCATGAAAACCACAAAACGCAAGGGGGCACTTGGATATTGCAATACGGTTAAATGATATCCAGCTAAATATTTACACCTTCCTGTATCTGCCGTGTTCACCTAACATATTGTTCCTGTATCCCTGAGAAACGAAAACCTTTCCTTCTTCGTATGTGGAGATTGTAAAATACCGGATTCAAAGCAAGCTGACCATAAAAGAACGATCCGAACGTCGCAGATATGGAAATCTATCGCCCACATCCATGCTGGCACGCCGAGGCCGGTCGTGCGTACAGTCAACATAGCCTCTTGCCGAGCTTTAGACCTTTGAGCATGAAAGAGAAAAATTTGAGGCGAGAATTCGAATGTTGATCAGTGGGCGTTGTGTATCAAATATCAATTGGGAGATCGAAGCGTGTTGAGGGAACGCAGAGGTCATGAAGAGGGCAAGAGCTTTTCCTCTTGTTGGTCTTGCCCTGGCCCCAGGGTGACAAAGTTGGTTGCGAAGGACCGGAGATGAAGCTGAAGGACACATGCGCCAATGTAGGCGTGTGTTCGCCTCTCGCCTCTCGCCTCTCGCCTCTCTGAATGTGTGATACTCATAGCGGCGACGGACCCACAACTCGCATACCATCCTCTTTGACGCCGTGTGTGAGAAAACCGAGGTCTCATCGACATCGATCGCCTTTCCTCCAAACCTCAAACGTACTCCAGCGATTAGAGGCTGAATACGCCACCACGAGCATTTCAAAACGCGCTTGGATGGTCACAGGATGAAGAGAGCGATATTGGGACTGAGTACAGCGATTTCTGCTGCAACGCCTTGCACCGACATGTGTACATTTCTTTCTCCGTTCAGGCCCTCGTCGCCTTGGCCATACAGCCGTCGAAGAAATCTGTAACCGCCATGGAAAACAGTATCGCTAGTGATAATGCTGGACACCAACATGGGGAAGGCAGAAAGACTGACGATACCACATCCGACCCTTCCTGGTCTTCATCAAGCCGAACGTGTGCATGCAGGCCGAGGGTTCTAAGTGGAAGCGAGCACGGATAGCGACATGTCGGATACACTGAACAGTCGCCTCAGAGATTCGGGTAGCTCCATGGGCTCGAATGGTGTGGTGGAATGGAGATCTGTTCCAATCGAGCACATATCTGAATGGCTACTTGAGCAGGTATACGAACACCGATAGCCATAGATAACGCCACGAAATCTTCAGGCATTCTTGATTTCGGATTTCGAGGACATAATGGCTGGAGGTCCAAGACGGCAATGGTTCAATGCTTTAACGTTTGTCGCTACCCTTCTGAGCCTGATGGAACGACGCGTCAGATCCAGACACAGAAGTCAGAATGGCAAGATACGCACCGTATCTCTCTTCACGACAGAAAAAGAGCATCTTCTTCGTCTCTTGGCTGAACGGCGTATCCCTTACTTGATAGATGATGGACATCCCCCTAGCTCCATGGACTCGGATGCTGGTGCAGCGAGGGGCAAGACTTGATTTGGAGTTGGTGGGGACTGAGATACGCGTTTATGGTGACGGATGTAGATTTTCGTCAACGTGGTGGGCAGGTCTTGACGGGGCGAAAAGTAACTGTATATCTGAAAAGAGGCCAGCATACTCGACCAAAACAGATGACCAGCTGCTGAATGTGTAACGACAGGTAAAGAAAGGTGCCTCTATAGCGAGAAAGACGTTGATAATCGCATTGAGCTTGACTTGCTGGAAACCCTGCTGTCGTCCAGTTGTTGCGCTGCTGGATGGAACGGCGATTCTATTGCTATTCATGAGAAAGAGGTAAGGATGCTGAGAACCACGACGCACTAAGATTCGAAGCTAATAGTCGCCCTCCTGCATATCGCTCGTCATAGTAAAAGGGAGTAACTTCTTCCAAATAAACGTTCCTCGTTGAGAGTCAGCCGTGTCTGGATGCAACATTAATCACGAATCATGAATCTACACCAACTGGACTGCACTTACTCAAAGAAACCAGTCATCCGCTGACGCCAGTCAGGTCGTCGTTATCCAACTCGTCCATCCTTGAAATCGTGTCTGGTGCTGAGGACGGCATCGGTATCATGAAGATTATTGAAGAAGAAGCGTGGCGTGAGAATGCAGTCCTCCTTCATCCGCTTTACGTCCGCTCCTCATGATCATTTCTCCCAGCTAGGGATACAACAACCAGCAAACGCATAGTCAACGACATCAATGGTGGCACTCGAGCACGCCGAACCGACGCCAGACCGGGATGCCGTCAGCAAGTCCGTGCTCGAGCATCAAGGCCAAGGACCCAAGGACCAGAGTTTAGCCTCATGTCGTTAATGGAACTACGCCAGCATGTACCGGTGCTAATCCACGATCATGAATCTAGTACGAGCATTGCTGACAGATCAATGACCCATGTCTCTCCCACCTGAACGACACTCGCTGTCATCTCCGCAAGCGGTTCTCACACTGAAGAAATGATGATTAGCGAACCGTGATTCTCTGGTAGATTGAGATAGCGGAGGTCAGCATTTGCATCCACATTGGGGCTAGAGGGACACGCCACCATAAACATGACGGGCAAGTCCATGTACCAAACAATCGGATGGAGCTGTCAACGGCGATGTTGCCAATGGAGGTCTGTCACTCATCGATCGAATCTGGTAAGATATACTTTCTTTCGACATCATAATTGGATCACAGTCGACGACCTCTGTTGATTCAGCGGTGGATCGAGGCACGGAATGCAAGTACAAGGCAGAGAGCTATGGTGGACGAGTGGATCATGATGGGCAAAGCGAAGCACGTAGGTTGCATGGGGAGCTTTGTATCGCCTTAGGGGATATCGCGAAGGCCATGGAGCGCTGTGCTTACCTTTCCGACCATAGATAGAATCAATGTTGGTAGGAAAGGGCGCGTTAGAGCGAAGGGGTTCTATACCATTCGAGTATGCATTCGATGGCTACCCGAGCGAATCAGTAATGATGGCCCTCAGAAGCCAGAAGCTGTCCTCTATTCGGGGGATGTTTGTGAATCAGGGAACCGCTATAAGTCATCGTGGCGCCAGGACGACGGTGGGTTGAAAGCTCTGGTTTTCTTACTGACGTTCGTCGCTGTCCTTCTGGGCCTGACGGAATGACGTCTTAGATCGAGATATGGAAGTCAAAACGGTAAGATACGCACCGTATGTCTCTTTACAACAAGACGGGAATCTTCTCTTAGCTCTACGGCATATCCTTGGCTGGATCGATGACCTTATCTCTTCAAAACGTCGGAGGGGTAGAGAAAAGTGTGAAAAGTGTTGGTTGTCGCGATCCCGGTAAGCTGAAGCTCCTCACTCGAGGGCATGAGGCTGGCGACTGGCACTTCTTATAGATACGTGATATGCAGACGTGTTCGAGGGCTGAGGATGGATGGCAAGAGACCGCAATACGTCGTTACCAGGGCTCACATTTGTGAACGCGGGTATTATAGGAATATACCTATTCAGACAGTCTTCAGTGTGAAATCGACGAGGTCAAAGTAGAAAGCTTGCATGAATTCAAACATCACGACACGGAAATCGCGACAAGCGTCTCAGTTGTACGATATGTCGTTGTCGTGCAAAAGAGCGCATTGGCCGAAGGAAAGCCGCACGCTGTCTCTCGATTTACATGCCAATCCGTCTTTTCCATTCAGATAAGGTCTGCCCACTGTACTCTGAGGCCGACAATGTGTCAACGGGCTCGTCATGATGGTCTGTAATGCAAGAAACCAGGGGGAGTAGCAGAGGATAATGCGACTGGGTGCGGCTGATAGGCAGAGTGGGAGCGAGCTCATACATTTGTGGGTAGATCGTGGGGCGATCAGCAAGAGGAAAAGCTCTGCCATCTGCTGCTGTTACCGCCGTAGAAAGCCAGGTAGACTACTCCACGGCCATTAGAGAGACATACATGTATTACCTGTTGCAAGGGGCGATAGGCAAAGCCGTGAACGCCTCAGCAGCAGCGTCTTGAGGGCTCGTACGATGGAAATGAAGTTGCCGCTGTCGCAGTATGAAAACACAAAGCAAGGAAAACAAGAAAGAAGGATGCACGATACATATTCGTACTTCACAACAAATGATCACCGATGATACAGCACGTATCCACACATAATTCGTCATGTCCTGCTACCCTCTTCATCGCCTCTGCTTCCAGCAAACTCCTCCAAAGGACCGGTCCACGATTTGGGCAATACAAGCGGCATCATTGTCGGAAAAAGAACAAGATAGCACCCGGCGGCTACAGCGGCTTCATACAGCGCTAGATAAATGATGGTGGTGGTAAAAAGCTATGAGGCGTGGGGAAACTCACACGCCTCCATCAGATTCATATCACTGCAACGTGTGTTTCTTCCACTCGTACACTCACCATCGACCGTACAGCACAAACACAAGAATGCAAGCTCCATCCCAGGCCGTCTCTCAGTCTCCAAGTGCAGCGACACCTGTTCGATCTGCAATCCTCGCGCCTCCAAACCTCGCTCCTGATGATACCGACTGGATTTCAAATGCCAGTCTAACTTTCAAGGTGCTTGCAGGTGCAGGTGAACTGGATCGCACAGGCATTGCAAAGGCAATTGCGAATATTGCCCTCCCGATCCTGGAGCTGGCTCAGGTGTGAATCTATCATCCTTTGCCAATATTGCATACTAAAAGGTGCACATTATTCAGAATAATAAGAAAGCACATGATGATCTAAAGGATACTATCAAGTATCTCGATGAAACACTTAGCTATGTCTCTGAGGAGATCAAGCTCCTTCAGGATGGTCAATCTTTGACTGGCAACCAAGCAGCCTCCACCCATCCGCTAGCACGTCTACAGCAAATGGGTGATGAATTCATCTCGTTCGTCATTTTGTTTGATCTTGGTATGAGTATGGAGATTAATTTCTGCTATGACCAGTCACCTCAAAGATTTAAAAGATGATCTGAACAAGATCTATGGAAAGAGAGGGTTCTTGGCAAAGATCAAGAAACCATTTCAGAGCAAGGCCATTTTAGATCGTATTAACCAGCATAAAGAGTATGTCAAGGAAGCTCGAGATAAGCTTGTTGTATGTTTTTATCTTGCAATGATTGAGAAGGATACTGATATTTCTCAAGGGGAGTGCTGTATTTTCAGCTACTAAACAAATTACTGCTATTCATAATCATCTGGTGAATATTCTTATTACAGTTACATTAATGTATATTAATACTCTCATAGTTGAGTCCTAAAATGGTTCAGCCTATCCGGTATGTCTCTATATATTTTATAGGGTATAATAGGTCTTATAATAGTCAATTGATTAGTAGTATTATGGTGTCTGCTATTCCTCCACCTCCTCCATCCATATTTGAGGGTAGAAATGAGTTAGTCCAAGAAGGCATAACCAATCTTCTTGCTGATTCTCCTTGTTCTATTATCATTATGGGATTTGGAGGTATGGGCAAAACATCTTTAGCTTTGAAGTTGCTGCATAATGTAGCTGTGAAAGCTAAATATGGGGCTCATAGATACTTCATTCCTTGTGATACTGTCTGCAGTGCTGAGCCTACTGTTGAGGCATTGTTGGAGACTATATCAAAGTTGATGGAGTTGCAATTGACTGATGATGCAGTAAAACAACTGCATACTATATCAAAGCCAACAATTTTGGTTTTGGATAATTTTGAAACACTTTGGGAGAATAGTAAAAATCAACAGGATGTTCAGAGACTTTTGGAACAGTTGGATTCTGTGCCACAGATTATGCTAATAATTACTATGAGAGGACAAGTTCCTCCTATAGATATAAATTGGCTAGAACTTCCACATAATGGTCTGTTACCATTAGCTGAATCTGTCTCATTGAATGTATTCAATGCTATTTCAGGGCATAATGTTGGTGTGAAAAAAGTCAGTGAACTAGTAGGACAACTAGCAGGATGGCCATTGGCTATTATGTTGATGGCACATCAAGCTAAAACTGTTTCTCCAAAAGTACTTGTTGAAAGCTGGAAGAAAGAAAAGACATTATTATTAGCAAAACCTGGAATTCAGCCTCATCGATTAACAAGTGTTGATATTTCAATCAAGATAACTCTTGAATCATCATTGATTTCTTCAAAGCCAGATGCTTTGAGGTTATTAAGTGTGATATGTAATTTTCCAAATGGCATTCCTACATGGACTAGTCTATTGAGTAAAATAGTACCAGATCTTGCTCAAATTACTTTAATTATCTTAAATCTATTGCAATCTGGAATTATATATGAAGATGATAAAGAAGGATTGAGATTATTGTCACCAATTCAGGAATATCTCAAAAGCTATTTTCCACAGTCAGATATATGTATAAAGAAGCAGTTCTGTGCTTTTTATCTGAATGAAATTACAAATAGACACCTGAATAAACTGATTTCAAGAGAAAATACAGAATTTGGTGTATCACATTTGAAAAATATTAAATGGCTATTAAATAATATGCTGGATAATGCTATTACTGAAAGAGAATTGACAATTATATATGATTTTTGCTACTTTCAGTATTTAATTTCAGATTCAGATATTTTATTGCTAAAACTAGTGGAAGTAATAGAGCCATTGAATCTGAAATATTTATATGCATCAGCTTTACTGTTATGGTCTTATAGATTGATGCAACATAATCAATGGATAATGGCAGAAAGCAAAAATAATGATGCAATACAAATATTTAAAGAAGTTGAAGACACTTTTGGAGTAGCACAGTGCTTGCAAAGCTTAGGAAAGATTTTGCAAATGACACATCAATATTCAGATGCAACAAAAAATCTTAAGCAAGCAATAGAGATGTTTGAAACTATTGGGAGCAATCTTGGAGTAGCACAGTGTTTGCGAAGCTTAGG